TAAGTCTTGTGTATATAAGTTTTATAAAATTTATACTTATTTCATTTTAAAACATGTATTGTAAAAATATGTTTGATTTACTAAATAAAGATGAAGGTATATAAATCAACTGATAAAAAAATGAGACCAGAATAATTGAGTACGACTCTCGTTAACCATCTTTTGCATGAAAGAATTATATCCTAGCCCTTGTTGCTTATTACGAATTCGTTTATAACATTCAAAATGTTAATAAGATTTATTGAAAGAATTAAATAATTCGTAGAACACCGTAACCGTTCATGGGTGTTAGACCAATTCGTTTTATAACAGTCTTATTCGTTTTAAAATGGATTTAATTCGTTTAATGACAAGACTGGAAGTGAATGAAACGTTCTATTTATAAAGTTAGACATTTTCGAGCATAAAATTGATAACCTTTTATTTAATTATTAATATTAACCGAATGTTTAGTCTTAAAAATTACTTTTTAACTAATTAAACTGAAAATTATTTTTGGTGCATAGAACACTTTTGATTTTAATAATATTTTAACTTTCTTGTATTAATATGGTGGTTGTGATTTTGGACAAGTTCCAAAACTCTCAACGATGAGCCTATTGTTGACATCCTTTCGCCCAGCGTAAAGATGGATCCGTGCTATCGATGAGCACAGCAATTTTTCCATTTTCAAATAAATTTGTTATAAATGTTTTGCCATATTTCTTTATGGCGTTGTTCTTAGTTTGAAATTACTCTGCTTGGTCATTATAATTCTATTAACTGTAGTTTAAAAATGTTTTCAACTGTTTGCCTTTTTCAATTTTTATAAAACGTAATATTGTTTATAATTGTGGATTAATGGTTGACTACATTGAATAATTGAACAGAACAATGTTTATTTATTTTATTTTTTTACTGATCACCCCAACCATTCTTCCCTTCAATAATAGTATTTAATTTTAATTATGCACTTAAATATTATTTATGTGAATATGTTCACTCATAAAAATTATTTTCGGTCTGCAAGACACTAATATAGATAGATAAATCTGAAAACATAAAACTAATTTTGCCTACAAATATGCTTAAGTTAATTCAGTAACGTAGTAACTATAATGAAAGTTTTTATTTATTCCTAGCCATCATTGATATTAGGAGATAAAAATTACATCCATAAACATAACAAAGAGAAGAATAGTTGGGGGGTGGTCAGTCAAAAAGGAAGGCAAAAATAAATGTTAATATTTATTTTTTACATATGCCGACGTTTCGACCTGAAGTTCAGGCCTTCATCAGGGCTAAGAAAATAACCAGATAACAAGGTATGAGAAACATAAGTAATGATGGTAAAAAAGATAATAAAAAATAAAAAAATTAGAAAAAATAAAATAGATAAATATAAAGTAAAATGAAATTGTTAGAATAATGACTAAGAGCTAAGAGATAAATAATAAAAACCGTTACAAAGTGTGGAATGATGAAGTAGGCATAATCAAAAAGGGTGACAAAAGTGTTACAATGCGAATCTTAGAATAAAATATAAAACTTAAAAAAGAAATATGAAGTTATATAAGTAATGAAAATAAATAGTAAAATTAAAACATTGAGAATGGAGTAGTTAGATAGAAAATTGAGATATTGTAAAGTCTATCAAGATGTACAGACAATGTATAATATAATACAGAGTTAAAAACAGAGAAAAGGAATGAAAGGAAGGAGGGAAAAAATATTAATATGTATATCAATTTAATTTAATATATTAATATGTATATTAATTTTTTTTATTACATAAAATATTATTATGTAAAAAATAAATATTAACATTTATTTTTGCCTTCCTTTTTGACTGACCACCCCAACTATTCTTCTCTTCATTATCCACGACAGTCAAGCAATTACCAATTATGAACATAAACATAACAGTTGAAACATGTTTTATAAAAGAAACTGTTGGATTATTTTCATGATGAACTGATAGGTTCGTTGGAAAGCAGAAAGAGCTTCTGTTTCGTTTGTAAAAATGAAACGAAAAACTGATCAAACAGCAACTCGACTAGTGGAAAACGGGTGAACTAAAGAAAAAAACAACTGTTATCCGTTTGGAAGAACAGTTCATTCGTTGGAGATCAAGAACTTTTCTTTTCAAATGTTTGGCGTTTTCTCTCCCACCCCTACTTAAATTATTAAAGAATTCTACCTCCTCACTATTATCAGTATTGATAGAATGTTACATTAACCAATAAAATAATAAATATGAAAATAAATTATCTGGCTGCTGAAATTATGTTGTTACATTTAAAAATATTGTTAGATTAACATACTAAAACGAAGAATTGTGTTCAAATATTGACTTAAGAATACCTAAAGGTAAAGAGAGGTCAAACATACCAAACGTGTGTAATATATATATATATATATATATACAGTACTAGTAACATATTTCTTAGAGTGAGTAAGAAACAAAAAATCGTGTATGACCAGTCACCTACTTAACAGTCAGTATGTGATTTAATATCTCTTTTTATTGCCCTTTTTGATATGTCATTGTCCCTTTTTCTCTAAGAATCACCCATGATCTCTTTCTTGTTCTCTCTCCATACAAATCTGGTTGCTGATTTGCCCGCTTGTACTCCTATTTACTATGTCAGGAGATTAATCTCTCCGTTTGAATTTCATCCTCCCACAAGTCCGGAATTTTATCCCTCCGGTTCTGGTTACCATCCTTGCGGAGTGTTAAGATTGATCCTGTATACCTCAGACCAAGAGTGGTTCGGGTGCTGATCTTTCTTCATCATTATACGTCCACTTAGTCATCTTATTCCTAAATTTAGCAACGCTCTGTCAAGGCCTTCTGGTAACTGTTAGCCTCTGTACTATACCCTGGCATTACTATGAAAATTGTAGAATGGCTAATTTTTTGTGTAGTTTCTTATAATTATTTTATATACAGGTATTATAACACTGTGGGCAACAGTCATTGACGCAGAGAAATGCTTTTTTGCACAAGATGTCTGCCCAAGTGAACATATCACGTTCTGGCTGCGAACGAGGTAAAGCTGTTATATTTCTATTTGATTCTTAATTGATTCGTTTTAATTAAAGTACCATATATATATATATATATTATATATATATATATATAGATATATATATATATATATATATTATTATTATAGATTCTCATATTTGTTGATAAACATAAAAAATAAATAAGTTAAATTTTTTATAAGTTAAATGAATAAATAAAATAAATTTTTTATTTTAAAAATAATATTAACTAAAAAATAGTCGACATGAAGTATACTCATTGTGTAAACCTAAGTTGTTTTCGTCCTTTCTCAATTTTAACGTAGCAATATTCTATTAACGATCACTAATGCATCCAGGATTTAGTTTTGGGAGGGGTTTCAGCCCGAAAGATGTTTTTTTTTTAATATATAACGATAATTACTTTGGAAGAAAATGAAAGAAACTCGCTATCTATATGATATAGAGTTTAAGTGATTCTTTAAGTACTATTAAATGTGATTACATGAACAATAATACTTTAAGAAGTAATTATTAAATATTTTGTTCATTAGACATGATTATATTTTACCATTTGAAGGGGGGGGGGAAGAAAGGGGCTTCAGCCCAGGAGCATAATTTACGCAGATTTATATTTTCTTGAAGACCTCAACCTCATAAAAAACGTCCATCAATGTCTTGAAAATCTGGGCATTTCACATCCTGCTCCTTCCCGTATTGTCTCCTGATATTGATTCCATTAAACACACGTGGGATGGACTGCAGAGAAGGATTTTTGAACAACATCTGCAACTTCTTAATCTTCAACAACTGAGAGCAGTATTACCATGTTTATGGTATGAAATTCCTCGTGAAATCAGTGACATTATAAACAGTATGCCTAATAGATGCAGAGAGGTAGTACTTAACAAAAAATATTACACAAAATTCTTAGAATTCCCAATCATTAAAAAAATATCACAAATACTAAAGAATAGAATAGAAAAATAACTTTTTTCAGGAACCAATTCACTCAAGAATGACAAAGTTGTACAGACAAAAAAGATTACTTCTGACCAGAAATCTGTTACATTAAATAAATTTAAAAAACTGTAAGTAAACTAACATTATATACAATAAAAACAAACGAGGATGCAACAAAATAATCGCTATTTAGAAAAATTATCGAAAGGTAAAAAAAATCCTCTAAAACCGTGTACATCTTTATTTAATCGTGTTTGAAAGGGTATGCATACAATCATCAGTCAGTAAAGGAAAAAAACAGAGTACATGGTTAGCTGGTATCTGGTTGTTTCGTGAATAGTAGGGTGTTAAAGGTGGATAAGGATGGGACATGAAAATTTCATAAATTCGATGCAGATTTGTGCAAAGAGGCACGGACGAATCTACGGGGAGAGGGGCTTTCGGGCTGAAGCCCTCTCCCCCCTCTCCCTCCCAAAATCGTAAAATATTACCATGTTTTATGGAAAAAAATAATTTAAAAATACCTCTTAAAGTATTATTGTTCTTTATTATTACTGTAATTACATTTAAAAGGACTTAAGAAATCACTTAAACACCATTTCATATACGTAGTTAGTTTCTTTCTGTTTTTTCAATTACCGTTATTTTTATGGAAAAAAAAAAAGGTTTGGTGCCGAAGCCTCCCCCCAAAATTAAATCCTGGATCCGGTAGTGCAAAGATGTGTAAAGAAAGATTTTCTTTTTGCATTACTTAAACTGGAATTCCAGTTTGAATTTCATTAAATAAAATTTAATTAACTTTTGGCAATTAGATCTTAAAAATTTATTTTAATTGTCAAAACCAAAGTGTTATTATTTTTTTAATGTTTCGGAGAATTCTCCTCACCTTCAGAACATCGGTAGATTTTATACTATGTCTTATCATGCATTAACATATATTTTAAATTTAATTATCGTTACACTAGCTAGTTTATAAAGCCACTATGAATCTTTTAATATTTTAAAAATTAGCATTAACCGTTCCGTAGGAAGACTGGATACGAAGGTATCGTAATTACAGAAAAAGATATTGATAAGGCACCTCTCGTTGACGGTCCATTGATTGTACTCATTCATGGATACAAGGGACATAAGGAATATATACCTAATCCTCAGCTTGTAACAGGTAAACAACATTAATAATATTATATAATAAATATATATTTTGTACAACTATAAACCATTACTTTAATATTAAGGATAAATGATATATACTTGTTATTTACAATGGTTCTACTGCAATGTTTCAGCTCATTATACGGCCATTTTCGAGCAATACATAAATAATAAACAAATATATAAACATATTTTAAAATTTAATATTTGTATAAAATAATAAATCTGTAACTAGTAGCGTTACTGGCGTAAAAGACTAGAACTAGCCTTGGCAAAGATGATTTTTTAGGGTCTTGGGTTCAGTGTAGGATAAGTTGCCTACAAACTTTTTCTCTTTTAAATAACCTCGAGGTCTTCATAAGGAAAATTGATAACAATATGGAGTTGTTGATGCATTTATTACACTATTATACTGCAGCTTAAAGCGCCTGTCAATATTATGAAACGAAGGGTTTTAGAGCCCGTAAACAAGTGCATTTTTCCTTTAAAAAAAAATTACATAAACAGCTGGCTTACGTGATATTTCTCATTTGGGTTTTCCTTATGTACTCCAACTAGATTAATAAGGCCAGGTAATCATATAGGAAATAAAACTACAGCTACACCAGAACCGGAACTTGAGGAGGGGATTAAAGAGGCACTTAATGTCCCGGGCGCCAAAATATTTTGGGCGATCAATTTCACGCGAATTTTCATTTTTAGGTTAAGTAAAAACTGTAATTGTTATTACATTAATATAGTAAACTAAATGAATTAATATTATGAGATTGTTGAAAAGAATTTCGAACGGTGGGATTGAGTAGTTATGCCAATAAATTAGGAGAAACGACTGACTAAAGCGTCTTTGTGTCTCATTTATTGAAATGGAAACATCTCTTAGCGGACTCTTCTTGTAAGCTTCTCCACAAAATAAGGCAGGAAACAAGTGAAGTTCATTTTATAACATCAGTTCTATTTATAATAAAATAGTTTTTACTGGCGAATCGGTTTGATGGTAGGTATTATAGTTTTAATTTTTAGTTATATATCTAATATCGAGCAAAATTAGTGCTTATATTGCGCTATCCGCATGTTTTATTTGATGCATCTTTTTATGGTTCCATTGAATGGTTCCAAACACGAGGAAACATTCATGTGCCAAGCACAACTATACTTTCACACATTCGTACTCAGCATGATTTGGGTGCTGTGGTAACACGTCTTAACAGAAATTGATCATAGACAATGGAATGCTATGCGTCTATAATGAATACCGTTAGTTTATCGATTCTTATGCGTTTGCAAACGAAGATTTTAAGTTATTTGCTCGTAAGAGACCATCGGCGACGACAAATGGAACCATTTCAAAATAGTAGCAAACGCGTCCTCACCGTTTCATAGGGATTGATGTGTATGTTAGAAACAATGATGGAAAGGCATGGGCTATTGATGTTGGAGGAAACCAAGGACTCGTCTTTGGCTTATGCAGCTATAATAATAAGATATTAATTTACAATATTTTTATATCAATTGCTCTATGTTAAACCAATATAAGTGTTATTGTTACATTTAGCCTACCTAAAAAAAGGTGACTACAACATCATCACTGTTGACTGGGACAAAATGGCGCCATTACATTGCTACGTTACAGCAACCTTTAACACTAAAGTTGCCGGCAAATGCACATCCAGGTTGCTGGAACAGCTGTATTCAAAGAGAGGACAGCACTGGAAACAGGCAACACATGTACTTGGATTCTCACTTGGAGCACATGTCGCTGGTATCCTAGGACACCATCAACCAGGTCTTCCAAGGATCACGGGTAAATGGAGATAGAATTTCAAACTTCTCCAATTTAGGAATATTTATATTATTAAATGATTAAAATCCGTACAGGTCTGGATCCAGCTCTGCCAGGATTCGATGAAAACACTTCACGAGATCATTCCAGGTTAGACCCTGCAGATGCCCTTTTTGTGGATGTCTATCATTCGAACGGCGGACTGAAGGGAAGGCCGGGACCCCTGGGACATGTCGACTTCTACCTCAACAATGGACGATCCCAGCCAGGATGTAACAATCGTAAGTCGAAATTCCATCTGACGCTCATTACTATCTATCAGTTACAAGGCCAACGGCGCACCCTCAACCCCAAGAAATTGTATGTTCTCATATTCTTAAAAACAATGCTACCGAAAATAAAATTAAGAAAGCCCCTTGTCCCATTATTTTAAAGTTCCTCCAAATTAAATTCCACAAAACATTCTTACTTCCAAAAAGTAATTAGTCCGTGGTACAGACCCCTTTTATCGAATTATTAACATCCGCCTAAAACTTTGCAAATAGTTTCATCTCATCGTAACCTACAACTATTTTATTTTCAAAAACTCTTGCAATTGGGGCGTTTTCAATCTGGAGGGGGCAAACTTGTATATTTAATTGGTCACTAAAAACTCGTAAATATCCATTTGCTTTCTTCTTGGTTCGTAAGATAATGTGATCACAAAATCGAGAAAAAAGGTGACTTTCAAAAATATTGAGCAGTTTGGCGTAACCTACAACCAAAATAACGAGGTTATATTGGACAAATGGCCCAATATTTTTGAAGGCCACATTTTTTATCGTTTTTTTGATCAAATTATCTTACAATCCAAGTTGAAAGCAAATAGGTATTTACGAGTTTTTAGTACATAATTAAATAGACAAAGTTTTCCCCCTCCAGATTGAAAACGCCCAATCCCAAGAGTTTTCGTAAATAAAATAGTTGCAGGTTACTATGAGATGAAACTATTTACAACGTTTCAGGCGGATGTTAATAATCTGATAAAAATGGGTCTTTTCCACGGACTATATAGTCCTATTAAAATTTGCCTCTCTCAAAAAGTTAAAACCAAATAAAAATGTGACTTCCTCAAACATTTCTAAGGCGCCATGAAACTCCCTTCTGAACACCTCAACTATCTACATTTTATAGAAGCACTTGGATTAAATTTTTTTTTGCTTTTGCTCAACCCTATCTTAGTATTTATATTGATATTAAAGGGTTTATGGATGGTTGAAATAACAAAATTACATCAGTTTGGTGCAATTTTATAAAATGTCGAACCCGGCCGAAAATGCTTTATTTTGTACCTTTGTTTGTAAAATCTTACATATATGTTATATTAATTAAGTATGGGCGAGTTAGCTGAGTGCACAGCAACGCGCGTTGCCCGGAAACCTAACAACCAAGTTACAGACGACAAAATAAATACGAGTTCGCGTCCCGGTGCCGAAGGTTCTTTTAACTCTGGCATTTATCTCCCACCCTCACCTCCTGTCCTGGGAAAACTCCTGTATAGCCTAAAAGACGAGAGAGGGGAGAACAAAGAAAAAAAAAAGTAATATTTTTACATAATCTTTATGTTGCACACATTTATAGGGCGAGGTCATTGGCGGATCCAGGATTTAATTTTGGGGGGGCTTCAGCCCAAAAGATTTTTTTTCATATACATATAACAATAATTAATTAGAAAAAAAAATAAAAGAAATTAACTACCTATATGAAATGGTGTTTAAGTGATTCTTGAAGTCCTAAATTAAATGTAATTACACGAACATGAATACTTTAAGAGATAGTTTTTAATATTTTTTTTTGTAAAACATAGTTATATTTTACCATTTTGGGGGGGAGGCTTCAGCCCGAAAGTCCCCCCCTCGTAGATCCGCCTGTGAACGAGGTTAAATTTAATATTTCACGAGAGCGCGGAAAATTTATCCCTGAATGATTTTTGGTACACGCTAGTTGTTTGGGTTGAAGAACTAATAACACTAATCTGAGGTTTCTTCTTCTTCTTTATCTTCCGCTTGTGATGTTTTCACTTTGAGCCATTGTTGGTGTAGAACGACCTTCAACAGAGCAAGTCGATCTGGTCTCAACACTTCCTCTTCGTTTGAATTCGGTTTTCCCTTTGTTTGCTCCAATTCTTTGTATGAATTCTTCGCAGAGCGATCTCAGGTCTTCTTCCCAAAAGGGCAAGTTTTTATTACTTTTCTGGCATCCCTGCAGCAGACCGAACCACTAGAGCTGCGCTTTACAAGAAAAGTCTTGGATTCTAATACTTGCAGCTAATCCTGAATGAATGAATGAAAAAAATAATTTTATTCTGGGACTACAATCCGCTAAGAATAATACCAGAGTTACAAATTCATGGTTATTAGTCTGGCTTGAAATAATAAAAAATACAAACTAATTAACTGCTTATTGTTATTGCAATTGTGCAGTAGATTAACATTAACCAGTATACAGATACAAGTAATTTTACATCTTATAAATCTATAGGTTGAGACCTAGTATTAAGAGAGAGGATAGAGGAGGGTAGAGTAAGGAGTTCCAGGATATAGGGAGGGGTTTAGGTTCTGAGGACTTGGAAAAGGAAAACACCAAGAAGGAATTGTCGTCGACAAGTAGGATATAGCCACTTCAACTCGGGTGTACCAGAGTGAAACATGTGAACGCCTGGATGTAATGGATCCCGAAGATGGATCTTTTGAAACAGTTCATGAGTTTCTTCAGTCTCATTTCTAGCCTGGCAGATAGCCCTCTATACACCAAACAGCCGTAGCCGAAGTGGAGGAATATAACGGAGGTTACAAGGAGCTGTGTGGTTTTTAGAGGAATATAATCACGGACTCTTAGGAGTTGTTTAAGGACAGTTATGGATTTTCGGGTAATGTGGGAGATATGATTATTCCAGGAAAGGTTCTGGTCAAAGATTACTTAGGTTTTTGACTGTAGAGAAAAAATGGATGAGACGGTTATTGAGGTAAGTAAGGAAAGTAAGGAAGGGAGCTAGTGAGATACTTAATGCTAATATTGAGTACGCTGCGTCTTCTCGTTTTGTCAACTATTCAACGAAATAATTTCATTTTTACTCCCGTGATTCGACCGATGAATTTGTTGAGCATAACCTAAGCTTTAATGTTTATGCAGATGTAAATGTGAAGCTTAGTTGCTTTCTCTACATTTCAGTGGCCAATTATGTTGTTACAGATCTGGTAATATATTAAGTTCATCTTGCTAATTATGTTTCCAATTTCTTCATCAATTTTACCAGAACTGCAAATAATGGTTCCTAGGTAGAGAAAATGGCTCACTATTTCAAGAGTTTCTCTGTTGCATAATATATTAATATTTTCGTATTTATAACAGGATACTTTGCTTTTGATCGACAAGGGCTTGCTGCAGTTTTTCCCTTTTGTCTGCCAAAAGAACTACATCTAAGTGTATAGAAAGGTCTGAATGACGAAAGGGTGTACAACACCTGTACACCCTCCCCCCATTATTCAGCACCCCGCCCATCCTCCCCCCCAAGATCAATGGCGCATGAATTCCCTCTTCCCTTCCTCCAAAATATTTTATTGCTATCCTCTTTTTAATAACAGAGCAAGCTAAAATATAATTTTAGAAATCATAAGTCATATAAATTAAAAGTTTCACTGGTCTATTCTGTGCTTTTCTCTTGTCAACTGATTTGAAACTTTTAATTTCAAAAATTCATAACATCCTTGAAATGTGCCCTACTCAAACATTCAAAACCCCATCAAAATTTGCCCCCCTCAAAAATTTTGATGGCGCAACTTGCACCATGGAACCCCCTTCTGGGTACCACTGAAGATGTATGTTCCATCTGTCAATTGACTTTTGTGTGAGTGTGCTCCTCTTACTTGTGATATGTATTTCATTCATAAAACATATGAATATAGAAATATAATCGTCTACGTCCCAACACATAAAAAAATTATAATTGTTAAATAATACATATATTTAAATTTGTATTGAATACTTAATAATTGACCGTTGTATTATTAAGGAAGGAGATGGCCTGGGGTGGCGGTCATAAATAGACTAAATAGTGACAAAACTATTTTATTAAAAGCCAGCGTTTCAACCCGACTTTGCAGGTCTTCTTCAGGGAGGTGTGTTCATCAAGGAGTTTCACTTAGAATTCCCTACTACTAAGTCTATTTATGACCGCTTCCCCGGACCATCTCCTTCCTTATTTAAATTTATAATTAAATATCTTTCGTAGAGAGCTGCAATCATCACAGAGCTGTAGAGGTGTTTGCTGAATCAATCAATAACCCTGAAGGATTCTACGGGCAACCATGTGACCCAAAAGTGTTAAGTTCCATGATAGGACTATCTAAGGAAGTATGTCCTTATACCGGAAATCATAAGATCCATGTAAGAGCAGGAGAATATGTCAGCCATCAGTGAGTGAAATATTCAATCAAATTACCTCTTGTATTAAGCTAGAGATATTTAAGTTAAAATTTCAACATCACATACATTATTTATAATTTAATTGGTCACTTACATGAATTTTTATTTTTTATTCGTCGCTCGAGTTGGTGATTAGTTCATAACGATAAAACCGAAAAAAGTCACGAATTTTTCTAATGCATATTTGCAAAGATGATTAGTTTCAAAGAAAACTCGTTAGGTATGTACTGCCAACTTCTAGCTGATAATGTATTTTTTTTTTTTTTACCGACTTTTCCAGGTGGACGGACACCCGATTTGGGCGGTCACCCATCCAAGTACTTGCCACTTTCAATGTTGCTGAACTTTGATTAACTATCGCAGGGGTGCCCAAAAGGGGGTTTCATGACGCAAATTTATGAAGGGGCACTTTTTGAAGGGGCCACATTTCGACGGTGTTATTAATTTTCAAAATGAAACGTTTCAAATTAAAATACAAGTGGAAGCATGGAACAGACCACAGTATGTGTAATTGTATACAACCTACGAATATTTAAATTATACTTTCGTTTGCACTGTTTTTAAAAAGAAGATAGGATTAAAATATCTTGGGAGGGGTAGTGGAAGGTTTATGCACTATCATTCTTGGGAGGGATGGGCCTTAATCAGGTCGGTCATCTCTCATGGCCACATATTCCGTTGGATATTTTTTATACTTTTTGGACATAGTTTTCCAGCTTCAAACCTTTAGTCCAAAAATATATTTCCGTTTTTACTCTCACCATGTCAGCTCTCGAGCTGTTATAAATGCATGTATACAAATGAAAGTTGAAAAAAAATTTAAAGTATCGTATTTGGCAACCGAAAAAGTCATGGTATAGAGAACTCAGGCCACACCTGGAGACCCCATCATACCTCCCAGACGCGCTACAGAAGTTGTTGATTAAATATGATTTTTTTTAATTTAAAAAGTGTAGTCTTATATGAGTTCTTTATCACTTTGATTCAATAGCAGCTCAAATCTACGCGATTTTTTTTTCATGGAAGTACCTAATTATACAAGTTGCATATCGCATTTTTTTTACTAATAATGTTTTGTTTTTTTTACTTATAATATCATTGTTTTCAGAGCTAGAGGATCATATAAGTTTGAAACTAATGCCAACACACCGTTCGGAAGAGGTTTTTCAAAGTAAAGGATAAACATAAATATAAATATTAAATAAAAATATAAACATAAAACATAATATAACCAGATAAGAAACTGTAAAGGTATACTAATATAGCAAACTGTACTGTTTAAATAAACATTTCTTACACCTTCATTTGACCATTTCAATGCTTAATATAATGCAAAATTTATTAATTGTATACAGTTAGATAATATTATCGATGAGGAGACAGAATATTTTCATTGTAAAACATATTAAAAAAAAAAAAATAATGTATGTAATCTTGGAACAACTGTCCACTTCATGGCAAAAAAAAAAAATAAAACATATTTTGTCTAAAGTTCTTCTTCAGTCTAACTGCTTGGTTGTTGAGCCATTCGACACAAAAAAATCCAAGACCCTTCATGGGCTGTAGTGGTACAGTTTTTTTTTTTTTAATTATATATTTCATTATTATAGGTATTTTTTCCATATAAAAGAGGGTTGGGGGAGGGGAGGAGGGGAGAGGGGAGTAATGGGAACTTATTCCTATATCATAGAAATGGGTAGATTGCATTGCCTTCTACTTTCAACATAATGGCTACTCAAAATTCCATTCATAGTGTGATCATGAGATCTTGCACCCGCCCACCAATCAAAGTGGAGCAACACATATGATGTAGTCTATAAGTATAGACTTGTATAAAGGTCTAAAATTAATTCATAACCTAAAATTAATCAATAAGATCAGTAATTAAAAATGAATAACTCTTTTTGTTGTATCAAAAGGAATAGAAATGATGCCAAATATTTACTTCTTTTTTTTTTACATTTTTATTTGATTCTCATAGCAATACATAGACTTTGTTTTAAAAATAATATAAATAGCAGTTACATTATGTAAGAAATATCTTAGGGAATCCCCAAGTAAGGCGTTATCTAATGATTTATCATAAAATCAAGAGAGCAATGAAATTCCTTTAAATAAATCATATGGTTAAAAAAAAAAATTATATATACAATAACACTCATTAGTCCATAAACACTACAAAATTACATGCATTGGATTCTATTTTATTGTGTATAAATATATCCAAAATCGCTTCCTCGTGTATGTGTGTGTGTTTGTATGTACGCGTGAAAATAAAATTTAATGAGATTTACAAGAGTGATGCTGAGGAACACCGCACCTGATGTCAGCATATTTCACACCTGGCCCCTGGGAAAAACCAATAATATATCACCTGTTGATGGTACACCATACTCGATTCCCTCGAGATACTAAAAGATAAATTATTCATAACAAAGACTGACATTAAAATTTACATCAATAAGATCTGGTTGTGATGCACTTTGATACTTAAATTATAATATTTATTTGATAGCAATAATATTTAACAATGAATTAACTTAATCAATTTTTGTTGGCATTAAATATCATTAATCATAATATTTTTTTTAAAACATTCATCAAGCTCTACAACCATTAAATTTGGTCTCCTGGGCTATATATTTTTCTAAAGGCTGTAGTACCAAAATGACTAATAATTTTGATAAAACTTGCATATAATCTTATTTATAATAATAATGATAAAAGGCTTAGCGAACCCGAAGGTTCGATGCCGACACTACCAATCACTTATTACACACCTCCCTCCACCGTTTGCTGTCCAAACCCAGTCCCTTCAGATCGGCTTTAATGCAATCTTCCCACCTTCGATTCGGCTTACCCCTCGGACGTTTACCATTCGGTAGATCTTATTTATATAATCATGAAAATTCAATTAAATTGCCTGAAGATAACAAAATTATAAGGACTACAATAAAAATGCAATATCACTAATTATGTCAAGTTTCTAATCCACACACAACATAATCAAAAGTCCAATAGATAATATTTAAAATAAAAAATCTAAATCAGTAAAAGTACTTTACTTTGTACTCATGCTTTTACTTTCACATACCTATATACGAAATAAGGAAAAGTAATTAGAACGTGAACAATTTCTAATCCGAGTTTTTAACATAAATACACGTTTTGAGGGCCTCCGAGTCCAAATAACCAAGTCTTCTAAAATGGTCAGGATGTGTGTGTCTGAGAACAACAGCCTATAGTCCAGAAGACCATTATAAAAAGTAAAAAGGAGGCGACTCATTTCATAATAAGGTTTGACCATATAAATTGGCCATACTCACAGGCCTGATAAGAAAAGAACTACCAGTATTTAGCAGATAGAATAAAAAATAGCATCCAGGTGAATATATAGAGAGAGCCTATAGAGAATAAAATTTATATTATTTACTGTCTTAAGACAAGAAATGATAGTCAGTTACTCCATATCCAGGGTTTTCAAGAAAAAATTTGAATTTACGATTCAAAAAGTTCAATTCTTCCAGTTTTCTGCTTATATCAGTGTAACCATGCGTTCTAGCGATAATAATGCTATACGTAAAATTAAAGCTGATAAGATTTGCAACAGAAATGCTTATATCCTTTTTTTCACTATCTTATTTATTTTCCAAGATATCCATCCTCATAATTCACAAATTTCCAAATAAAAAAATTTTTTACCTCGCATTTTTATCCTACCCCAAAGCTCAACTCTGTATGTCCATATAGGTCATATTATGGTTAAGTAGATGAGTCTTTTGTAATTAATTGAAAGTTTAGAGCGTTTGTCTAATAAGTGTTGGAGCAGTCGGAAACGTCGAGCAGTTTCTGGTCGTTTCAGTCTAGTATGCGGATTCCAAGTGAGACGTTTATCCAAGTGAAGTCCTAGGTAGAGGATTTGTACAACAGGAACAAGTGGAATATCATTGAACGATATTGTAGTTAAAAAATAAAATATATATATTAAATTAAAAAAAAAAAAGTCATATCATTGTACCCTGGGCCATTGTATTAATGTACCTTGAGCTCATCCAATTTATTTTCCATAGTCAAAATCTAGAAATAAAATAATTTAAAAATTAACATATTATCTTCAAACCATGGACAAATGAACTTCTATTTTGAACTTGGTACACATAATTCCCCTATATATTTTTGAACAAGATTAAATGCTAAACAACATTATTTTACATGAAAGAAAAAGAGTTAGCTAGTCAAATAATGATAAAAATGTGAGGTAACAATTTTTTTTTTTCAAAATCAGTAAATTATGAGGACATATATATATATATATATATATATATATATATATATATATATATATATATATATATATTATATATATATATATATATATATATATATATCGGAAAACATACAAGATAGGGAAAAAAATTAATATAACAATTCTGTAGCAAATTTTCTTGAAAGTAGATAAAATTAACATTTTTCCTCTTCTATTAATTTATTCTAAAAGTAAAAATGAGCTGAACATACCTCGAATGGCATATTCTATTCTTCGAGTTTCTTCAACAGTATTTTCCTTTTTTCACTTAAGACTATTCTCTTTAGCCTTGCCCACCTTCCACTACTATTACATCAGAAGACAAATTTTAAATATTCAATAAATTTAAATTAAACAAACATATTGAAAATGTCAGTCTTTGTTACTGTATTAAAATAAATTTTAAGTAAATTACTTAAATACTAGAGTTAACAAACCTTCTTCCAATGCGTCCACAGTTTACAGTTCAACTTTTGTTGTCTTTGGAGAATGGCTGGAAATAGATTTGTTAACATAATAATTAAAACTATTTATTAATATTTTTTTTTATTTGGGTATAATAAAAAAATAATAAAACAGCAAAGTCGGCAATTTATACTACTTCCTTGCAAATTGTACATTTATTTTATTTGTCACATTTCATTACATTGTTAACATTTCTGGATATGTCATCAGAACCATATAAACTATTCTTCTCTTTTTATTTTACTTTTTTTTTAATTATTTATTTATTTATTTTTTTTGTAGCTCTCTTTGTCTTTATATAACCATTGTTTGTTGCTTTTAATAGTTAATCACAATCAAGAGCACGTTTATCTTGAACAACAAACGGTAATATTTGAGAAAAATTGTATCAAATTTTGTTTTTAACTATAAAAAGTAACAATATTAAACAAATAATGAAAAAGTAAGCAGAATAAAACATATCCCAATGCTGCAAAATATGACAAATAAAATAAATATACGTCACGATAAAGTAATAATTGTCAACTTCACTAGTAAACCAAAAAAAAATTTCTCAACAAAAGAAATAAAAAGAAGAAATCAACCTGTAATTTCCAGAAAAGGCAGATTTATTAGAATAAAAGAGAAATGGACAAACAGTATTTTTATTATTATTTTTAAGTACACTATATAAAATACCAAATAAATTTTTGTCTTTTAAAAATACATTGTATCTTAATTACCAAGTCTTAAAATTGTTTGCAGAAAAAGTAAGTAAAATACAAAATAGTTCTATTATTATAGAATTACCTTTATGAAGGACAGAACCTAAAGGAACCTACTCAATTTAGTAACTAAATTTGTTTATAACGCCCAAGTCTGGATTACAGTGGAATGTGGATCCCATAAGTTATAAACAAAAAACAATGATATTCTAATGGAAATATAAAGAAATAAAAACTCACCTTTCGTAGAATCAAAAGTCAATAATTAGTAGATTTTTTTTTGTTGTAAAAATTTGATTAAATAAAAATTGTACACTAAACATCTAAATTTAAATTTTTATCACGGCAAAGAGAAGAGCCTGTAAGGCATGGCAGACTAACAGACTTCTCTCAGATAGTAGGACATATAACATACTGAATATCGAATTTAAACGACTTAAAATTGGTATTCACTTTGAAAAATTAGATTAAATCATAACGAATCACAACACATAACATTTACACTTCGACGAGACACATGCCCATCAGTTTATATCAGCAACAACCAAATTCCTCTGACGGACAATGTACATTACCTCATGCTAATAATAATTCGACAGAAGCATGACCTGGGGCCCACATGCCAAAATTAAACAAAAGACTTAGAACAAACGACTGAAAATAGTATACTCACTTTTTTCCAAATGAAAATTGAAAATCAGACAAAAACTAAATACATATACTTATCTGCTAAAACCCTAAGACTAATAGCTGCAGCTCCCTGGTACGTCAACAAAAAACTTTACATACCGACCTAAGACAACCAACTATTGACCAACACATACGTACTCTCTACTCCCGATTCCATTTTAAACTACATGGAAATCACAACAGACTTATCAACGACATGGCTATGGCAGACATGCTCATCAGGAGGTGACTGAAAAGGAGATAGATGAGAGATCTCCTTCCCTGATCTAAGGATGTGAACAGACCAGGGAAGAGGTGCTGCTGGGTACTATTTTTCATCATGCCATTTTGTACCGTAACAACAAATTTGCTAATTGCCACTATCATGACAATGGAAGGAGATTTGAAGATAAAAAAAATAAAATTAATTATCATAAATTTTAACAATAAATCGAAGTATATTAGTTAAGTCTGATTTTAGACTTCATAATCGAGGTACATAGTATATGAATGGAATGATTAGAACTCATTTGAATCAAAAATGAGATTTAAAACAACATTTGTTTCAAAAATGAATATCTACAATCATATTTGCAACAAAAACGGATAATTCCAATTTTCGTTTCGAAAACGGTCATCTGTAATTTGAAATGTGAATTTGATTAACTTTTAAAATTATAATTATATAATATCCTTCAAATAATTAATTAGAACTAGAATGAACTAAGAAGAAATCCCATTAAAAATATTGGAGTGAATGTATGGTACAAGGTGAGCAGGACATGCTGCTTTGTTGGGAGGATTGTGTGGCTACAGACTCTAGAAGAGTGCTTGGTTTAAGGAATTGGAAGGCAGTGGCACGCAATAGAGAGGACTGGCAATCCAAGTTGGAGCAGGATATGACTAATGAAGTGGGTTGTTATACCAGATAAGAAGAAGACATAATTTATGAAAAAAGTTGGATTACCAAAAAAATTGATCATAATTGCTTTAAATTGAAGCTGTATAATAAAAATTGGATTTTTTTTCCAAATTTCTGAAACTGATAGATGTCTGCCTTCGATAAGAAAGCCATTCATTTATACTTAAAAGTAGAATAAATTAAAAAAAGTATTAATTTTAATGAAATCTGATTAAAACTTAAAACTAATGAAAAAATATATAACTATCTAATTTTTTTTTTTTTTTTTTCCTACGCCTAAGTAACACCTGCTTCATCAGCCATACGTGCTCTTGCAGTCCAATATAATTTTGCTCCCCGAGCATAAGGGCTGTCCATTTCATTAAAGGAACATCTTATGTCCTGTAATGCAGGGCACGTATCAACATGTTCTCCTGTCATTATGTCTAAGGAACATAGAGGGCATGTCAGGCTATCTTTTATACCGATGCGGTGGAGGTGCTTCTGAAGGAAATCATGGCCTGTGAGCATTCTAAAGCATGCCACGGCTTGCCCTCTAGGGACCTCTCTAGGGATCCTGCCACTTTCTTCGAGCAATCCACTCCATCGTTTCCCTTCAATTTTTTGCGCATATTTCTCCTTCAGTGAACAGGAGGGTCTGTTTTCTAATTCTTTTCGTTGAATCCATGCCCAGTCTGGGTTGGATCATTCCAGAACCTATTCTGGCCAGTTTGTCAGCTTCATCATTTCCTGGAGCCCGCAATGGCTTGGTATTCACTGGTATTTAAGCGACTTCTGTCCCATTTTCCTTTAATTGGTTCAAATATAGATGGCATTTAGGGACATTTGGATTTATATTATATAAACTTTGGAGAGACAAAATGGCTGCCTGTGAGTCAACAAAGAAAGCAACTTTCTTGTCTTTCCGTTCATTTAACATCTCAAGGCCTAAGAGAATGGCTTTCACTTCCCTTTCAAAGTTTGTGGCTACCTTTCCGACCGGGGCTGCAAGTTGAAACTCCTTTGAATAAACTCGAGCTCCAGCATGTTTGCGTGCTTCTAGTGCAGAACCATCAGTATATACATGGAGCCATTCTGTCTCCGGGAATCATTTTCCGATGGTTTCTAGGGTTATAACCTTTTGTTGGTAAATTGGTGTTGAATCCTTAGAAACAATCTAAATAATAAGTTGCCTAAATATTAAATAAAAATACAAAAAAAAAAAAAACAATAATGGTCGATAAATACCTTTATTTTATTAATTACTCGAAACAACTTAATGCTCTACCCCCCATGGCTAGCAATCATCAATTGATTTGTTCTAAGAATTAATTTCATAAATTATATTCAAGTACTTCTTCGTTTGATTCTGGAAAAAATAAATTTACTTTTAAAATACATTTTTGGAACTACTGTACAAGTGTCACTCCAGTTTGATGGGTGGCTCAAGATCTCATGATAACCACATAAATGAAATCTTGAGAATGGTTGAGTGTCTCCGAAAGCAGGCGGAAGAGATCGAATTGTCTGGTAAGGTCCTAACCTCAACTGAAAAGAATCCATTATGGGTTTGCATATCCCAGCAAGAGTGAGTTGAAAATAGCACTGTAATCAAAGCTAATTGAGGCCACGGTTTTAACTTTAAAAGACCAGTTGGGAATCGTAAATCGCGAACTTAATAAAGAGAAGTTATAATGCAAACATGTTGTCAATCTTCGATTATTCTCAGAATCCCATTTATAGCATGATCATATGATCTTGGTCCACTCATCAAAGTGGATTAACACTTGTATAATGTTACCATATTTTTAATTTCTTCATCCAAAGGAGAGAAAAAAAGAGAGAGAGAGAGAAATAAATTGTCAAGTAAATGTAAATATTTATTTTCCATTAAAACTTTATTTTAACTCCTAAAATAATCCATGAGGTTGAAAGTGTTTTTAAGTGATCCACTATACTCTTATTGTGAATTGTTGAAAAAGATCAAATATATATACGCAAGTTGGAGGTGATGGAAACCATGTTACATTCCTTGAAATAGGCTCTTAGTAGTTCCGTAGAGTGGAATCCTTAATATATATCTGGGAGCTGAACTCCAAGAATGACGTATTGAAGCAACTCAGCATGAAGATTAATATTACCAACAGATATGACTATGGTATAACACATTAAAAACAAGTACATTTCCTCAATTATGAACATGATAGACTGTTTATCAAGAAAAATTTTATAAAACCAAACTATGACCCATAGGAACAGACCAGTGACCATAAACGTTACTAAATCTAAAAAAACCTTCGGCAACAGTTGCCATAATATCATTTGCCGTCACTATAAATAATAAAGCACAAGGGCAAAATTATAAACATACCGCAGTCGACTTATAAGATTGTTTTCCTCACACAGGAGAACGATTGCCCGAACATACACTGAAATAATCTCTGCAAGTGATCAGTGAACCATAACCAAAGATCGCAAAGGTTTCACTAATTTAAACAGTAAACTAGTAACACACAATTTTATAATTTTTAATTTTATTTCTATTCATTAAATTTTCTTTCTTTTTTTAAAAATTTAAAACAAACTATTTGTTTTGATGGTCATGTATAAACTTCATCTTTATATATAACTAAACAAAAGTCTAATTATACATGAAGAATATTTTTTGTTAAATATAAAGACAAAAAACAATAATTAAAACTACATAACAAGGTGCGCAGCCAGCAGCTATATTTTTTTCTCCCCTGGAATTACATCAAATAATATACATATGATAATTTTTTTTTTTATGCAAAAATATTAAAAAACTATACAGACCTAGTCGAAGGCCACTGAGAATTTTTATCGGTTAAAGGAACATATACTACTCCCATGAGAGCTACTCTCGAGATGGTGCCATCCATATTCTTGTCGATTTGTTCCAGCCGTTGGTCGCCACTAGGTGGTCCGATGGGAACTATTAGTCTACCGCCGGGGGCAAGTTGTGCTACAAGCTAATAAAATTATATTAAGTTTTTCATTTATTTAAAAAAATTAAACAGAAATTTTAATTAAATTATATCATCCATTAGAGCAGAACCTCGATAATCCAAATAATAGAATAATATAGTCTAAAAAAACAAAAATAAAATAACTTTCTCAAATAAAATTTGATAAAGCAAATATAAACAGACGTAGAAATGGAAATATTTGCTCTCCATCTCCAGATATTTGACTGTTAAAATTATAAGGATGACAAATAATTGGGATATTGTCATATATATTGTTTAGCTGACATTTCGACCCAAGCATCTTGGTCATCATCAGGTTAAAAATTAAAAACATAAAACTATATCAGAAAAATGAGACATAGATAAAAGTATACAAATAACAGAAAATAAATGGCACAAATGAGATAACGGTAATATAAACCTAACAGTAATGCAAACATAACAGTACGCCAAGAAATATTATTTTTGTTTTATAAATAAATACAGTTGACTCTCGATAATTCAATTTTTTTGAAAATCCAAACTCTCCAGCTGTTAACTTCAGTAAATTGAAAAAATGCTGTATTTTGATAGCTCGATAATTCAAAATCCTTTTTGTAACAAGAGGGGAAGAGAACATTCTATAGACCACTTTCCGTCTTTATAAATCGAAATTTGCTTTGTAATATACAAAATTTAAGTAAATTCATATATATTTTTAAAAATATTATAAAAATTAATAATTCGATTTTTTTTTTTCCTCTCTTGATGATTTTAACTTCTTGATAACTGAAAGTCTTGATAATTCAAATTTTTCTTTAAGTCCCTTGGATTTTGAATTATTGAGGGTCAACTGTATACAAAAAGATAACTAAATAATTAGAACAAATAAAAAAATGAAATAAATAAGAAGTATGAAAAAATATCAGGCCTAAAAATAACTGAGGTGATTTTTTTAAGTTGAAAAAATACAGAACAAAATGGGCAACTTCATAAGGTAAGATTTAGTAACAAAAAGAATATGTTGAACAACAATGGAATCAAAAGTAAAAAAATACAAATTAATAAATATAAATTTGCTTGAGTAAATATAAACCTTGACAATGGCCAATGGTTGCTGGCTAGACAAGAACCGAGTGATTGAAGGAGAGGAAAGGAGAGGGTATGGTAATGGTCATTTAACAAAAAATTTTAAAATAAAAGTTTCTAAATTAAAATGTAAATATTAGTCTAAATGTAAAAAAATGGCACACTTAATAAACAACATAAATGACTCCACATTCCAATTATTTCTCATCCTTACAAACAAAATGTAATTAATTATTTCATGAATAAAAGGTTTGATAAACATAATATAAACATGTACATGCATCCCTAACAGACTACTATAATCTGTCACTTGGAATTTCAGTCATCGTGAGTACCCTACATCTATTCTATTGGATTATCATGGTCCTACCTAAAACCCTTCTCAAATTTTAATTCTCCATCTTCTCTAATTGGGTTAAAAAATATTTAAAATAAATTATACACAATACAAGTAATATTACTAATTTATAACATACCTGATATTTGCTTCTATCAAAGAGACAATATTTAAACTTACATCTTTAGGCAAATCTGGAGATGCTGCACCAACATGAATGGCGTCAAATGGAGCATCTTCAGGGCTACCAAGACGTCCATCTCCCACTAAAAAAAAACAAATAAAAAGAAACTTTAAAAAATTAATAAACTTACTAAAGAGAAAATTTCAATAGGAACAATAAAAGGATTTTTTAGCAAGATATAGATAAAAAAATTAATTTAAATTAGGTGGTATAAATTATTCTGTCAGCATCCAACTATGAATTCTAGAGGTATAAATCAATACATGCATATTAATTTACAAAAATATTGATAAAATGTCAAAAAATGTTCAACATAGAAATAAATTTACGAAAAAAGAGGAGAGAGATATACTTTATTAAAAGTAATGCTGCCCTACTACATTTAATTATTAAATTCAAATTAAAACTAGAGTTAGGGACAATTTTTCATTTATATATATATTTTTTATAAGCAAATAAAGAAACATTAAACTGAATGGAAATAAATTACAGTAGATATTCGTAATAAATTTTAAAATAATTTTGAAAAACAAAACAATTTCCATTATTTAATAAACACCAAAATTATAAAATAAAATACCAATATTAACATAATGAATCAAATAAAAAATCACTAACATTCATCTAAGAAGGATGAATTGATTTTTAAGAAATGTCTTTATTTAATCATTTAAGGTAAGAATATGATGCACAAAAATAAATATTACTCCTTAAATAAAAGTTGTTTTTAAACTTCTATTTTTTTTTTAAAAAACAAACCTGTATATCTGTATATGAAAAAGTCTAAATTCAAAGTAATTTTAATTGAATAATAACACAATTAAACAAGATGCTTACAAAATATTAATTAATGTATAACATTTTTTGTAAAGTATAAAAAATCTTATGTTTTCAAGTTAAATATATTTTTAAGAGAGAAATAAAAATAAAAAATTTTTACATGTATTACACCAGATTATTTTTGTTAGCATTGTTGCTTTCATTGGCATGTTATTTTAACAGCAAAGTAACCACAACTTTCTTAGGAACGCATAGAATAGAATAATGTCTGAACTGTGAATTGGATTTAGAAAGGAAATCCTCTTATCCTCTTTAGAAATATTGCTCTAAAGTGTTTTACTCAAACTATATAAAGTTTATAAAATAAAATTTTCTTTATTAAAAAAATATGCAGACATCCTTATATACATATCAGATAGGGAAGCATAATTTTTTTTTTGGAGGGGAGAGGAGGAGGTGAAATCAAATAAAGCTTGAAAACGGTTGTTATTTTGTGAAGTTAATATATAGACATACATAAAAAAGGGATTATCAATCTAAAGTTTTTCAATATCATAACACTAGCGAGTAGTTTAGCTAAATCCAAGTAATTGGCTAAAAGCTCAGAATGATATCACATATAAAATAATTACAGAGATAGTAAGATTTGTTTCTTAGATTTATTGAAATTCAAATGAGCTTGACACTCATTTATCAAAAATTACGTTTTCTGACAGACATAAAACTCCTATTGTTTCAATAATAAACATTGTTTATACCGAAAACAGAACCCTCTTAAATTATAAAATCTCATAAGTATCACTGTTGAAACAATAGTTATCACTTACCAATTAGTTTTAGACGATTAGATTCAATAAGTTCAGGGTGATCTGCTTTAATATTAGATCTTGAACTATCAACCAGTTCTTTAATATGATCAATACCAACAGCTAATCCAGATGGTCCAACCATGAGAGCCATACACGCAGTAAGGTACCCTGAACCTGATCCAACATCTAGAGCTTTTGCACCATCAACCAATTTTTCCCTCAGTAGTTCAAGAGCATGGGCGTGCTACATGGAATTAAGAGTGAAATAATAGTTTCCATTTTATTATTTATAAAGGCTCTAAAGCTTACCATGTGTGGGGCACTTATTGTGACTCCATATCCAATACCTTGAGGTACATCCATGTAAGGATTATGGGAGACATAATTTGCCCGGTCAACTTGAGCCATCACCCTTTCGACAACATCACTTCGAATAATATTGTTCCCTAATAGAACAAATTTTAGTTGTAAAATATCAGATAACTATATTCTTAATAATTTAAATAAAATCTATTGAATGTTCTCACTTCTTAAATTCTGAACCAGATCTAGATTACTTTTGCCATGAGATCTCCAAGCCATGCTGTTACCCAGCAAATAAGATATTACAACAATGTTTGAAAAAAACAACACAATATTTCTAGCAGATGTAGAAATCATAAAGAGGGATATACCAGGATAGATCCTGAAATAGAAAATTAACCTAAATGAACAGGGTGCAAATTAAAAAAATCAAGAGAATTCGTACAGAAATTTAGTTTAATTTTGGATAAATAAAATTTTAAGACTCATCAACGATAATTTTGTACAATTTTAAAAGTCAATTTTTACCAACTAACGACAGACCTTAATCCATAACGAAACCTTTGGTCGGGTTATAATCATATTTACAGGAGTTTCAAGCATTCTATTGAGGCAGCATACATTTTTGACACATATTTAATCCCAAAAGAGTTTATAAATAAAGTTTTATCGAATTAATTACTTTTCTTTTTTATGCATATTCATATGAAATACTCGAAAATTAATACAATCGATTCGTCTGTTATAAAAAATATTTAAACATGCTCTATTCAATAAAAACAAAATTTCTACCAAACATTAAAGTAGCCTTAAAAAACCCATTATTTTTGCTTCTGTAGATAATAAAAATCATCATTGAAATTAAGTAGCAGTAAAAAAAAAATCAGTTGTCACTATAGTTACAGCTGTTTGAGTAAGTGTTTTCATTCAAAACATTCCCTGTCAATAAAACCGGTACTTAATTAGTTAAATAAATATATTCTATTTCTGTTATGTCAATGTCTTAAGGATTAACTTTAGTCATGGGTGAAAGTAATAACTCAATTGTAATAGAACTTAAAGAGAAGTTTCTTAAAGTTAATTACCTTATGAAAGAGGCATCTAAAACTGATCCTGAAAATGAACCCTATAAATCTAAATATGAAGCCAGGGATATTTTAAATGATATGACAAATTTAATAGTACAACACAACCAAGAAGAAATTGCACAAAATCAACTCCTAGACTTGCTTGCAGTAGTATGTTGTCTTAGTTCTATTATAGCTTATGATGTTGAAGAGATATCTACAGGTACAGAATTAGCTAAAAAAGCTTATGATATGGTAGCCAATGCAATGAGTCCCTCGAGGATTCTATGTGCTATGACTTGTTTGAATAACTTAGGGTTTTGGGCTTCTAATCAAGAAAATTACTCTCCTGCCCAAGAATATTTGGAGTTATCAGAAAGCCTTTACATTCGCTATAATTCAGAAATTAAAGCTCCAGCATTGGAATTCGAAGAATTGTTTACTGGAGAAAAGAGTTTTAAGAATCAAGACAATGATTATGAAAAATGTCATACACAGACATTATTTTATCTTGCACAAGTTTATGCAAAAAATAACAACCCTTCCAAAGCTGCCAAGTATTGCCACGTAACATTGAAGAGGCAATTAACTAACATAGAGGATGTAATTGACTGGGCATTGAATTCTGCTACACTGTCACAGTTCTTAATAGAACAGAATGCATTTGTAGCAGCTCGACATCATCTTGCAGCAAGTACTGTAATTATGGAGAATTATAGTAAAAAAATAGATGAATTATTGTCAGCAGACCCAGAAAACGAGGAATTGAAAGCTAAGTATGTGTGTCTTGTCTTTTATTTATGGTAGTTTAGAATATTACAATTTTATTTTATCTCTATATATTGGCTATAAATTGTTTTGGTTTACAAAGGTGATATTGCGGAACGTATAAATATTGTAAATTAATTGATAAATGTATTTTATTTTATATTTTTTATAATTCACATGAAATAAATGGTATTCATCTTAATAAGGACCGCTTATATGCTAAAATGGCTAAATTGAATTGTACTCTTGAGAATGTATGCCTCAATAAGCCAGGATTCTTGTGTAAGAAAGAAGACAAAAAAATCTAATTATGTTATCCATTGTCAAATATTTATTCCAATTTTAATTTTAAATGAAATTACTTTAAAATATTGTTGTTTTTTTATGGCTGATTCCTATTAACAGTGGAAACATAATTCCCAATTTTGTCTCAATGGTTTTAAGGGCACACAAATAGCTTTTTCTCAGTTCTGGTGTTTACAGTTTTTTTTTCTTATCTACTTGGTGAACTCTTTGGAGTGATGGATAAAATTTCATAAAATGATTTTAAAAATATTTGTAATTAGTTTCTATGCAAAACTTTTTTTTAAAGGTTTTAATATTTCAATGTAAAATAGCATGTCGACAGCCTCTCTCCCAAAACTTCTAAGCATAAAACATAAAAGTAATTGATCAGATAAAATAAACCATGCATTTTTTATTATATGAAGTATATTTTCCATTCAATTGTTATTGCATGCTTTATACAAAGATGTTATTTTCTAAATAACGTTTTAAGTTTGTTTTTATGAATATATCTGAGGTCAAGATTAACTGGGATTAAAGCTCAAAATCCCTCATTCTAATTTAATTGTTCTTACAGGCTTTTGCAGTGTTGCTGTTAATATACTAAAAAAAGAGACATAAATTAATTTCTAAAATGTATAAAGAAGAGAAGAATAGTTGGAGTGTTCAGTCAAAAAGGAAGGCAAAAATAAATGATAATATTTATTTTTTACATATGCCGACGTTTCGACCTGAAGTTCAGGCCTTCATCAGGGCTGTCTCCTTAAGTGTCGCAGGGAGAATGAAAAATTGAACCTAATTGGATCGGGGCCCAAGATACTCCATGTTTCTCACCACTATGCTGAGTTAAAGTGGCTTTTCCCTCCTTCCGAAGACAATATTTCCTAGGTACGTTCCTCTACCAAATCATCAACAGCCATCGTCCTTCTTACGCCTACAATCTTCTCCAGTTCAAATCCTCAGTCCATTCCCTGTCCACAAGATCTCGACCTTCTAATCTTTACATGCCTTCTCACAGATCTGCCTCATTCCAAAATTCCTTGTTGTTCGCTCTGTCAATTTCTGGAATTCCTCCCTATCAAAATTCGACATTCCCCATCCATATCCAAATTCAAAACCCTCCTATTCCAATTCTATCCCAAGAACAGTCAGATAGTTGCTAACCATTCGAGCTGATTTTAATAGAGAATTTGATACATACAAATTCATTGATTGATTCATTGATACATTTTTATTTTTTAATTCTTTATTATTTTCTTAAAAGTGTATACTAGTGCAAATAGCTTTAAGTGCCTTGTCATAGTATTAATTGTTTTGTATATAGTTTCGTTTTTTTTATATAGAATGTTTACCTTATATTTTTTTTACATTATTTCTTTTTTTCGATTGATTTTATTTTGGCCAGATGTGATCTTTTAATTTTGTTCTATTTTGTTATTCTCAAGGGACTGTGTCCCAGAATAAAATTATTTTTCTATCTATCTATCTACAAACCCTTAGAGCCATTAAATAACAGTAAATAATTTGTCAGTCAGCATTATGAGAATTTAGACATCAGGAAAACATTGAAAGTCCAGGATTCAGGACTCGTCACTCTGATGAAGGGCTGCAACTTAGGCTGAATTGTCAGCACACATTAAAGTTTGATATTTACTGGGTGTTTTCTTTTTTTAATGCACTCCTAACTAATTTTTCTTTGAATTAAACTATGATAAAGTTAAACAAATAATTAAAAGCTTAAAGAAAGAGAATTGTTGATATAACTTATTATTTTTCATAAGATTTTTTATAATTTATATGATGGGTAAGATAAATCCAACACCATTAAGTTTTATTTATTTCAGGACAGAAACAGCAAGACATAGACTTGCTGATATTTACCGCTGCTGGGCCAAATACAGTATATTCCTTTTAAATGGTTCTAAAGAGAGGCTTCTGTCTTCTGAAGGCGATAAAGTTGATCCTCCTCCGCAGCCTCCAGGTTTCTATAACTTTTATTAACTTTAATTCCTTATTTTTATTCTCAATCGTTTCTTCTTCTACCGCTGAGCGGTGTGAGGAGCTTTCTTGTAGAGCCGAATCCGTTACTCCCTATCCTGTGCAAACTTCCTCTCAAGTCTTCCTGGGTCTTATCCCGAGACCTTCTTCCATCAATGTTACTCTTCAAAGCAATTCTGGCCACTCGGTTTTTGTTCATTCAAGAGACATGACCAAAATACTTCAAATGATTTTCTCCAATTACTGTCTCAACTTGTATCATGTTCAGGTTTTTCTTATAGTAGACTTCGTTATGCGATCTCGCTTCATTTTTTTTTCGACTCTGCACAGGAATCGCATCTCCATGGCCTGAATCTTACGTCTGTGTTTGGTGGTTAAAGTCTATGACCCGCTGAAGTTGGTCTACAGCTAAGCTTATGTCCTTTTTTTTAATTTTTGATTTTTTTGAAAGTGTTACATCAACTGAAGCAATTTTTTTATTTTTCTTAGCAAATTACTAATGATGAAAAAGGCCATATTAGTAATCAACAGTTATTTTTGTTTTCTTATGTTACAAGGAAAGTAATGTTACTTTTTATGTATAATTGTTTGGAAATAATAAACCATTGTGTAATAATTTGCAGGTTTTTTTCTTTTGTTAATTAAATTTCATGTTTAGGATTGCTAAATAAATGGTTGCCAGAGAATTAATCAGTTATTTTTTATGCGATGTTATTTTTAATAGTATTCAATAATATAAAAGTGCTATAAATTTAAAGTTATTACACAGTGAAAGCGTTGAGATGGTAAATCCTCTGACCTCTGAATGGTACTCTTTTCTTTATTTTTCAACCCGTTTACCTTAAGGCTAATTCTCCAATTGAAATTATTTTAATTAATTATAAAATAAAACTGAAGTAAATTTATTGTTGTTTAAAATAACAATTACAATATTTTAGAAATTCTGAAAGGACTCGAGTTTACATCTTTGAAAGAAAAAACCAAGGAATTAGAACAGTCTGTAACTGTTGACTTTATTTTGACCTACGAAGATGCGAAACCCCTGTTTCAGAAATCACAAGAATGGTTAAATTTGGCAAAAGGCTACTATACTTTGGAAGATCATGCATCCGAACATGCCGCTATTGTGCAAGATTCCAGCAAGCTATATCATTTACTTTCTTTTTATCAAGCTGATGAAGGAATGTAAGTTAAGTAGCAGTCATAAGTTTAATTTTTTTTTTCTCTCTGTTGGCTTTACAGTCCATGTTGATCTTTCGCCGCCTTAATAAGCCTGTTCCATCTCTTTCTGTCTTGGCTAGTTCATTTTTTCATGGTTTTCTCTCCATATTAAACAAAAATATACATTAAGACAAATTCATCCAGTAATGTTTTGCGCCGCCATTCACAAGACGCTGCTGACATCTTTTTATCTCTGTTTGGTAAAAATTATAATTTAATTTATTTTGAAGAGAGGAATGGTTGGGGTGATCAGCCTAAGAAAAAAACAGTTAATAATTATATATGATATAAAATAAATAATTATATATGATTATTTATTTTTACTACATTTTTTTTTTTGACTCATCACCCCAACCATCCTTCTCTTCAATTATTCACTACAGTTAACCATCAACCTACAATTAATTTATTTTGAATTAAAATAACAAAAATCAATTAAATTTAGGTCAGAGATAAACAAAAGTAATTTATAGATGTTGACGACTTTGAAGGTTTATGCCTTAAATCCCAATCAAACAAGAATCAATTATGTTCTGCAATATACAAATGACAAATTTTTGTTACTTGGCTATTGGTGATTGCGAAATGATGAATTTTTGTCATGTGGAAGAATATATGTTAATGTATTTATTAAATTTTCCAAATTTTCTAGGGCATTTATAATTAATAAAATTTATAATTTCGAGGAAAATCACTTTATTTAAGCCTTAATCCTTCACTCCATTTTAATTTTCTTGACGGCGTTTCAGGCAATTTTGCCCATTTTCAAGTCGAAATATTTATATCATTATCCTATCATCTATGCAATATTATTTTTTATATAATATTTTTTTTTTCTTCCTCTCACATTCTTCTAATTATAAATTTCTTAAATTATTTATGAAAAGTCAATTTATTTTATAATGGGATTTAAATTAAATGGACCGTCAAAAAATTAAACATTTTTTACATCAAATGTTACACATTTTCATCCTTTTAATACAATAGCAGATACAATAGTAAATAAATTGACTTTTCATAAATAAGGTAGGAAATTTATAATTAGAACAATCTGAGGAGAAGAAAAAGAAAATTTTTACAATAATTATATAAAAAATCAATTTCATATATGATAGGATATTGATATAAATAATTCGACATGAAAAATGGGCTAAATTCCCTGAAATGTCGTTGAGAAAATTAAAATGAATTGAAGCGTGGAGTGGAGGTGTAAGGGTTAAGTAAAGTGATTTTCCTCGGAATTATAAATTTGATGTGTTAATTTAATATATTGTATATAAAAATTTAATTTATATATTGAATAATCAATGGTTGACTGTAGTATAATATTGAGGGAAAAAATGTGGGGTGATGTTCAGACATTTTTTTCTCACTATTTTAAGTTTTTTTATGCTTGCTACTCTGGACCATCTCATCCTTCATTTTTAGCCAACGTTTTGACCCAACTATGTAGGCCTTCATCAGGGCTAGAACAAACAAGATACAAAGGATATAGAAAATTGTTGATGAAGATGAAAATCTGCATAGTTGTGTCAAAACGTTGGCTTAAAAGAAAATAGTTTTTTATGACACTTAGTTTTTATATTTTTTTTATGACCATGACCCCAGACCATCTCTTTTCTCAGTATTAATCTATATATTAAAGTGAGTTACTAAAATCAGATCGATCAAACTAATATATACGGAATGCTGGAAATAGCATTCGATATTAACACTGTGATAAAATCAATTTTTATGTCAGGTTAGATTACATTTTATTTGCATTAATTATTCTATATTTAAGTTTTTACATTAGAATATCTTTTCTTAGTCTCTCTTAATTTTTTTATTTAGAAATTTCTTCTTTTCAAGAATTGATAAAAATAAATTATTATTGGTACTAGTTCACTAGAGTTCCGCACGGATTACGCATGGTTCACAATCGCTTCGGTCACACTTGTTCATGAACCCGAATGCCTTGGGTTTATCCGACAGAGGAACAGGCGACCGAGTCTCTTGAATAGTTACGATTAACTTTCCCCCATTTAATTACTTCTATAACTTAACCATGTTCAGTTATGGATTAACGATATTTAAGGTATTGACTTAAATTTCGAAATTTAGACTACACATTATAAACCTGAATCGAACATGCACATATATAATATATGTGGAAAAATGAATATAATAGATACAAACATTTAATTATTACATCTCGAAATGTATTTCTAATTTTAATGAAATTTCCATTATTCATTATTTGGAATTATCAGATATTCTTCATCAGTTCTTTCCTCATACGTTTAATTCCTTGCTCGAAAATAAAACACATTTTTTTTTTTTTTTATTTTACGAATGACTACAATAAAACGCCATTCGAATATTATTTATTATCCAAATGATAAAAAACTCTTTATACAAATTTTAAATAGTTAATATACAACAGTATAATCGTATTTATAGCCACTACCTGTTAAGCACGTGTCAATAAAATTTTATTCTAAAAGCATTTTTTATTTACAGGCCTTGGAAGAAAGACTCAAACATATTTATATATGTTTTCTTTTTTCTTTCACAGTAATGACCGTTTTAATGCAAATTAAATAAGTAACTAATTAAGTAAATACACAATTGTTAATACATTTTTAATAAGGACGTTCCACGAAGGGAATATTTTTTTTTCTTTCAAAAATGCATTAAGAAGGACAATAGCTGACGTCATAAAAGACGACAACATTCGGCTGTTTTCTGGAATTCCATGAACAAGTGTGATCCAAGTGATTGTGAACCACGCGTGATCCGCGCGGAACTCTTGTGAACTAGTACCTTATTATTTATATAAATCAATAAAAACACTGATTTTAACATTTCATGTGTTTAATTTTAATCACTTTCATTCGATCATATCCTCTGATCAATATAATCTTCACATCATACCTAATTCATATTACACTGTCATCTATATTTATTAATAGAAAGTTGTGAAAATGATTAGCAAAAACTATGGCTATTTGAATTCAATTCTGAAAGTCAATCACCTAACTACTTTTTGGCTTTCCATTTATAAGTTTGATCAATTATATGGCTGCAGGCTTTTAATTAAAACATTGATTGCCTACTTACGAGATTACTCGTAATTGTTATTCTTGCCTAGGATAACAACTGAGAGTTATCTCATAGTTGGTTTTGGTACCATATTTTTGTTGTTATGATCAAATTTGTATTGCTTTTTAATGATTACTATGTATAAAAATTGTGAGTTGTTAAAAATATAATATCTTGAACAGTACTGTGGGCAGTCAACAAATGAAATATAGACAGTTTCTATTAATTGCAGGATAAAAATAGTATAACTCCATTCTACAAAATTTTTAAGGAGAATAAAAGTGAGATTCACTTATATTTTTTTACCATTGATTTGAGTTGTAAAAATAAAACAAAGTCCCATAATAAAATTTTAACCATTTAGTAGATTGATTAAGGCAAAAACTATAAATATGTTTTTCGTGAGTTATTTCAACAATTAAAAATTGAAAAATGGAGTTATACTCTTTTTTTTCTGCTTCATTCTACAATTATTTGCGAAGTAGTTCTGAATCAATAGATTGTTTATAGTTTATATGGCATAGGAAAATATACAATCAATTAGTGATAACAACATATATATTTTTTTTAATTTGTTCATCGTATTATTTGATTTTAGACAATGCAAATTACACAAGCGTAGGATTGACAGCCTAATTTCTGTAGTCAATTCATTGAATCCAACGTATTACATGAAAGTGTGTCGTGAAATGTGGTTTGAAATCGGAGAAACTTGTATGACCATGGCTGACATCAAAGCAAGCCAGGTATCAAAAATATTCTAAAGACATTTGAGTTTGCAGTTAATTTTATTTATAAACATATTATTATTTTTTTTTTTCATTTTATTAGGCTAAAGAATCCAACGATAATAAGAATGTACTACATTGTGCCTCGAAAGTTAAGAATCTATCATTGCAGGGTATTAAATACCTTGAAGACTTCGTAAAATCTTTTATATTAAAAAGGTATACCTTCTTCAATAGTCAATTAGTGTAATTAAATTAATTTACTTTAAAAATAAATCTGTGGCTTCTGGAAAATTACTGTCTCCTGATGGTCTTCCTATTGTACTATTTCCTATTCTTGTCTAGGCTCCATTGTTGAAATGGCTTGCCACCTATTAGCCATTAATGAACTGCAGAAGTTCTCATCACTCACAAACAAAGAAAATTCCTCTTTAATGAGGAAATAAAATTATGTGTTTTTCACCATCATGGCTTTTAATATGCAATGCAGGACCACATACTCAACATTCTGTGGGACACTACAAGTGTAGTATTGGGGATCTTATTTGTTTATTTTATTTTCCTCTTCCTTTCCTATTTGTAAATATAGGAGATTACAGCAGTGGAATGTTTGCTCATTAAGTAAAAATCCACTGCTGCTAGTAAATCTATAAAATTACATATCATGCTGTGCCCGCAGCCCGTAAAGTTTATCCTCTGTCCGGCGGCCTCCCTGTCACACTTCCTTCTGTCCGTCTCAAGGAGAATCGGTCTAGGTATACAATAGTTTTCCATTCATATATAAATTATTTAAAGTGGAGGTAATTTTCTTTGTTAACGAGGTGATTGAACTCTTTTTCCGCTAAAACAAAAAGTACAGTTTACCTCTAAGTGTCTCATAGGCAGTGCAGACCATAGATGGCCAAATGCTACTCTGATTTCTAAATACTGGGCGTTTTACTCAAATACTGACTTTTTTTGAATTTAATTTCATCTAATGCCAAAGGATTAAATGAAGTAGTGATTGAATATAATTTTAGTAAAACACTTAGTGCTCGGTACTCAAAGTAGTATTTGCCCATCTCAGGTACATGCTATCATTATGTGTTTGGCAGTCTCAAGTACTTCGCAACAAGGGCAGAACATAGAGGTTCGATGTTCTTCCCAAGAGCGAAGAGCTGTGCTCGAAAGTTCTTATGCCCTGCGAGGAACTGTGAGACGCAGTAGTCTGGTGTGATCCATTTGGCTTCTAACCTTGAACCAAGTATAGGAAAATATCTTCTCAGGGTTGCCCCTTTTGTGGTCTTAATCCACATCCTGTTCCATTCTTCAAATGTGTTCTCATGAAGGATTTTTTGGGTTCTTCACAGATCCTCATTCGGAGATTCTCCAGTATATCTGCTGAACCTTCTCTCTTCATCTGATACCTTAACTTGTCTTTTTGAAGGAGCAGATAGAGAGGTACCCCTCTTGCAAGAAGCTGCCCCGCCTCATGAAACACTGCCCTAAACGTCCTGACAACCCATCACAGAGCAGCCCGCTGGGTGGTCACCAACCTGCTCTTCTGCTGGTGGGAGAGGTTTCAATTCCAGAGAGGGGATGCGTACCTCAGAATACCCAAAATTGGGTATTGGGGATCTATTTGCTGCTGAAGGCTATGTAGCTTGGCTTGAAAATCCCCCTGTTTCCTGAAGAATTGTGAAACCCAACAGCCTAGGAGTCTCCCAGAGGGTAGAGTTGCCGAACGGGCTAACATACGTTGGCTGGTAGCCTGATAACTCAAAGATGCCTGGGGACTTTTAATTCTGATGTTATCATTATTATTTAATCCGCCACCCTCTCCTCTGTCCAAAAAAAGCTCTGTATGGCCAAAATGCTGAGGTAGGGGAGAACAAAAATAAAGTAGTACAGAAAGACCCATGAAAGGATACTCACTTTCAAGATCGTCACCCACCTGCGAATCCGTTCCTCAATCGATTCCTCTCATAATATTATCCAACAGTCTTTCAAAATCCTCACCTTTAGATTTTCCATCACTCTTGCCAACCCTTGATTCTTGTGCCTTTCTTTGTCAAATCTTCTCACTGGAGGAAGTCAAGAGGTCCTATCCCTCCCAAGATCTGTACCGCTTCATATGAGGTTGCCCTCATGAGACTTCTTTTCACAGTTTTAAAAACTGCATTGAAAAAATGCAAAGATTGATTTTAATTCAGGGAATTGAACTAGAATGTGTTCAATGGAACTGTGCTCTTCATATTTGAATACACTTTATGATATTTGGTAAAAAGTATTTATGAACTGTGTAAAATTGCTTTAAAAATTAACCATAAATATAACTAATTTTATTTTTAGGTATATATATATATAGATATTATGAATTTTTTCTCCTCCATCTATGGAAGAGAAAAATTTCATAATATTTATATCTAAAAAATAAAACTCTTCCTTATTAAATAACTTGAAACATCAATATATAAAGATATTAATTTTATGCAACATATATATTTATTTTCAACTTAATCTATAAAATATTATAGCAAAGAAGAAAAATATCCTGCAGAATTTGAGAAGACTATCATCCTCAGTTATATGTACCTTGGTCATTTGTACGCGACACTAAATGAACCAGATAAAAATGCAATGATTGGCTTCCAAGAAGAAAGTTTACGATGTTATGGCGTAAGTTATACAGAGACATTATATATTTTATTAACTATTAGATAGCGAAGATTGGGTATGGTTGTAACAATTTTCATTTATCCTAATTTTGGTGTCTTGAGGTTTTATTTTTTACATAAATTACGCCAATTATCACCAAACATTTTATTGATACCCTATTAAATTCGACGTTTAGACCATACTAAGGGTCATTTTCAAGTCTTGATGAGTCCTCCGTTATATATTTCAGTCCCTCCAGAAATGATGTAGGCGAAACCCCTATAGAGCATGACAATTTAATGTTCACTGAACAAATTATTTGCGACATTAATGATGAATATATAACGGAGGACTCATAAACACTTGCAAATGAAATGACCCTTAGTATGGTCGAAAGGTCGAATTTAATAGCGTATCAATAAAATGTTTGGTGATAATTGGCCTAATTTATGTAAAAAATAAAATTTGCATTTAATCGTCCTCAATTTTCTTAGTATACCAATTATATAGAAGGGAGGTGTTATTTATTGTAAAGTGTGCTCTTGACTATTTATAAATATCAATCTTTTTTTTCCATAAGTACAATGGTTATCTCGTAGGAGGAAATTAGGAAAATGTCACAACCGACCCCTAGCATGGTTGTGACAGTGCTCAGGATCGACAGTGACAGGTTAAAAAAAAAATAGCGTAAAGTCACTTTTTTGCTCTCACTTATACTGTTATATAGTTTTCTCAGTCCAGAGGGTGATTTATACCAGAGTTGACACATGGCATCGGTACGCGAATTCGCAGTTATTTGTCCATTTAAAACTTCGGTTAACAGGTCGTTGAGCAACACACGGTACTGTGTTAATCGCTCTTTACTATTAAGTCATAAAGATTTGTGTAAGAATCAACTTTCGGTCTTCCCCAAGCGTTTTCTGGGTATCTAAAAGCAAAAAGATTTATTTATGCCATAACTATACTCAACGCACTCCTTTGCGAAATACAGTGGCCTCGATAATATAAAATTATCTATGTACAAAGTAAATGCTAATTAGCAGCTAATGCTTTACTTATAACGAGGAAAAAAATTTGTTACTCTATCTGTACATATATAACAACGATTATTCAAGGAAATAGAATAAAGATAGTTACTTATAAAGAAGTAATAAGGGCTTCTAATAGCGTTAATGTCGCACGATGAGTTAGCAATACTGTTAAATACGTTCAGACAGTCAAAACATCCCTTTCTTCCTAATAAACCTATTGGAAATTCCTTATAGTTTCACTATTATGACGACTGCCACAACTGTGTCCAGTCTCTCCTTTTCTATTATATATATATATATATATATATATATATATATATATATATATATATATATATATAATTTGATTGTATATATGAAATACTATAATGATGTAGAGATAGTTTACCGTTGATATAATATGAGAGGGAGTTAATCGGGGGGTGCAGTAAAATAAATACTAAATTAAAATATAGTAATTATTTAATTTTTGTCGATGTTTCGACCCACTTTGCAGGTCCTCTTCAGGGCGTAGGATGTAACACTGCGGGAGGCAGTTGAAACACTCAACTCTCAGTGTTTCAACTGCCTCCCGCAATGCTACATCCTACACCCTGAAGATGACCTGCAAAGTGGGTCGAAACGTCGGCAAAAATTAAATAATTACTATATTTTAATTTAGTATTTATTTGACTGCACCCCCCCCCCTCCCGATTAACTCCTCATGAAATCATGAAATACTATACATTTGATTGTATATAAAATACTATGTATTTGGTATGTAGTATATTGTGTTTGAATATATGAAATGTCAATTTCCAGAGTATAATGCTAATGATAGAAAAAAAACCTCACCATAACCCTAACCAACTTCTGTTTGATTAAAGAATGTTGTGTTGCTCTAAAACCTGCTTATAGAGATGGGCAGTACTCGATTACTTTCATGATTTGAGTAATTTTATTAGGAAAAAGTATCGAGTAGTTTCTGTACTCGGCCTGACATCGGCGAGTACTGAGAGTACTCACGCTGCGTCAATCATGATTTAGTTAAGTACAGAAAATACTCGCGCTGTTATATCGAATTACAGAAAGTACTCAGCCGAATTCCTACAAAGAGTACTTTTTATTTTTCAACTACTCCGTCATTATTATAAAGAGTAAAAATGTTTTCTTTTATTTCCTTCAATAATAGCGGCCATATTCGACCTGACCAACCCCGAGCCCCCATTAATCGATATTAGACTAACCATCATGTCTTGGGGGGCCCTTTTTATAAAAATATACTGTCGGATTTTAGATAGTGCCCCCGGGCATCGAATTTTCATAACTTTTCCGGTTAAATCGATATCAGGGTCGACTATTATGTTTTGGGGGGCGCTTTTTATGAAAATGCTATCGAATTTGAAAATGGGCCCCCCGGGCCCCGACTTTTTTAAGTTTTTGGATTAAATCGATATCAGGGTCGACTATTATGTTCTGGGGGGCGCTTTTTATGAAAATGATATCGAATTTGAGATTGGGCCCCCCGGGCCCCGACTTTTTTTAACTTTTTGGATTAAATCGATATCAGGGTCGACTATTAGGTTTTAGGGGGTGCTTTTATGAAAATGATATCGAATTTGAGATTGGGCCCCCGGGCCCGACTTTTTTTAACTTTTTGGATTAAATCGATATCAGGGTCGACTATTAGGTTTTAGGGGGTGCTTTTTATGAAAATGATATCGAATTTGAGATTGGGCCCCCGGGCCCCGACTTTTTTAACTTTTTGGATTAAATCGATATCAGGGTCGACTATTAGGTTTTAGGGGGTGCTTTTTATGAAAATGATATCGAATTTGAGATAGGGCCCCCCGGGCCCCGACTTTTTTTAACTTTTTGGATTAAATCGATATCAGGGTCGACTATTAGGTTTTAGGGGGTGCTTTTTATGAAAATGATATCGAATTTGAGATTGGGCCCCCCGGGCCCTGACTTTTTTTAACTTTTTGGATTAAATCGATATCAGGGTCGACTATTAGGTTTTAGGGGTGCTTTTTATGAAAATGATATCGAATTTGAGATTGGGCCCCCCGGGCCCCGACTTTTTTTAACTTTTTGGATTAAATCGATATCAGGGTCGACTATTATGTTTTGGGGGGCGCTTTTTATGAAAATGCTAGCGAATTTGAAAATGGGCCCCCCGTGCCCCGACTTTTTTTAACTTTTTGGATTAAATCGATATCAGGGGGGAGAAAATGATATCGAATTTGAGATAGGGCCCCCCGGCCCCGACTTTTTTTAACTTTTTGGATTAAATCGATATCAGGGTCGACTATTAGGTTTTAGGGGGTGCTTTTTAAGAAAATACAGTCGGATTTGAGATTGCACCCAGTGGATTCACTTTTTGGAATTAGTCGATATCAGGGCCGTCTATTATGTTTTAGGGGAAGGATTTTATAAAAAAAAAAAATCCAACATCATTTTCGTAAAAAGTTTTCCCCAAAACCTCATAATCAACATTGATATCGATTAAATCCGAAAGGTTACAAAAAGTCGTGCCCCGGGGGCACTATCTCAAAATGTATGAAAATGATTCGTAATCTGATATCATTTTCATAAAAAGCGCCCCCTAAAATATAATAGTTGACGCTGATATCGATTTAATCCAAAAAGTTAAAAAAGTCAGGCTCGGGGGCCCAATCTCAAATTCGATATCATTTTCATAAAAAGCACCCCCTAAAACCTAATAGTCGACCCTGATATCGATTTAATCCAAAAAGTTACAAAAAGTCGGGCCCGGGGGCCCAATCTCGAATTCGATATCATTTTCATAAAAAGCACCCCCTAAAACCTAATAGTCGACCCTGATATCGATTTAATCCAAAAAGTTAAAAAAAGTCGGGGCCGGGGGGCCCAATCTCAAATTCGATATCATTTTCATAAAAAGCACCCCCTAAAACCTAATAGTCGACCCTGATATCGATTTAATCCAAAAAGTTAAAAAAAGTCGGGGCCCGGGGGCCCAATCTCAAATTCGATATCATTTTCATAAAAAGCACCCCCTAAAACCTAATAGTCGACCCTGATATCGATTTAATCCAAAAAGTTAAAAAAAGTCGGGGCCGGGGGGCCCAATCTCAAATTCGATATCATTTTCATAAAAAGCACCCCCTAAAACCTAATAGTCGACCCTGATATCGATTTAATCCAAAAAGTTAAAAAAAGTCGGGGCCCGGGGGGCCCAATCTCAAATTCGATATCATTTTCATAAAAAGCACCCCCTAAAACCTAATAGTCGACCCTGATATCGATTTAATCCAAAAAGTTAAAAAAAGTCGGGGCCCGGGGGGCCCAATCTCAGATTCGATATCATTTTCATAAAAAGCACCCCCTAAAACCTAATAGTCGACCCTGATATCGATTTAATCCAAAAAGTTAAAAAAAGGCGGGGCCCGGGGGCCCAATCTCAAGTTTGATATTATTTTTATAAAAAGCGCCCCCCTAAATCCTAATAGTCGACCCTGATATCCATTTAATCCAAAAAGTTAAAAAAAGTCGGGGCCCGGGGGGCCCAATCTCAAATTCGATATCATTTTCATAAAAAGCGCCCCGCAGAACATAATAGTCGACCCTGATATCGATTTAATCGAAAAACTTAAAAAAGTCGGGGCCCGGGGGCCCAATCTCAAATTCGATATCATTTTCATAAAAAGCGCCCCGCAGAACATAAGAGTCGACCCTGATATCGATTTAATCGAAAAACTTAAAAAAGTCGGGGCCCGGGGGCACTATCTCAAATCCGACAGCATTATCATAAAAGTCAAGTGGTGTAAAAAAGAAAAAAAAAAAACGGTCCGCAAAGTTGATTAAATCCAAAATATTTTAATAATTCTTTATTTTATCGATTTACATTAATATCGATACTATTTTAAAAAACTATACCCCCATAAGATAACAATGGACTTAAACATGGAAGAAATATTAAATATTCTACTCCTGTAATTTTTATAATGAAATACTCGATTACTTTGAAAAGTACTCAGAGTAAAATATTCCCGAGTAGATTTGAAAATAGAAAGTACTCACGAGGCCAGCTGATTACTTTTTGTACTCGTCAATCATGAGGTCGAGTAGTGATTGAAGTACTCGATACTCGAACCGGGCGAGTATTTGAGTAAATTACTCTGTAATTGTACTTTTTACTCCCCAACTGCAGTGTTTAAGAGTCCCTGTTCTGTACAGCTACCATCCAAGTTTCGAATAGTAATATTCCTCACATCATTGTCCACACTCTCAAATATTTTTACTTTTTTTTTTTGTTGTGTTATAATTTCTTTTTCTGATCCTCGGTTCATATTATTTCTCCGGAACAAACTCAAGCAAACAAAAACCTTTTATTGAAGTAGAATTTAGTACCATTTTCTTTTGTATATCCTAGAAAGCTTATTTTTATCAAGGACTTTTATGATTTTTTTTATAATAGAAGTCATGATCCATTTTTTTTATATTGTTACTCACTTAATTACTGGCTGTACCCTCTAAAAGAGGCCTACCTGACAAAAATTTAAAAATGATCTTTCTAATCTAACCTGACTGGTGCTGTATTCTGTTGTCAAATTTTCAAACTGTTTATTCAATAATATAAAGTTGGCAATTAACAGTTTATATAGGTTTGTGAAACTAAGACCTTTTTTCTTCACTTTTTTTAAAGCAATATTATTTAATGTGTATGTATGTTTTCATTTTCGAAGAATTAATTTAAACTTGAGTGAGATGGGATGGGCCATAATCAGATAGATTATGAAACCGAAATCCTTAAAAAAATTAGAGTTTCTTTAACATTGGTCATTTAATATTTTTTGTTATAAATGATGATCTTGGGAAAGATACTTTATTAAGTATAAGTAGAAAAAATACCTTTTTAGTCGCAATAATTAAAATACTTTATTTTAAATTTAACCAAATTTTCAGCTCTTCAGGCATCTTCAGTGATAAAATCTGATTTGACAATTTATTGTGAATTTTTATTCCCTCATAGCAGTGCACCATCTTGCACATCTAGTTATAATACACAACCGTATGATGCTTTAAGGGAATGAAAATTCACAATATATGTTGTAAAATCAGATTTTATCTCTGAAGGAGCAAAAATTTGGATAAATTTAAAATAGAGCATTTTAATTATTGAGATTAAAATAGGCCTTTTTTCTATTGATAATTTTTTTTTTTATATCTATGCATTCATTGTGTAAATTCGGTCGCAGGAAGATTAGTTTCCCATGTTTGTTATTTCAATAATTATTTTATGAAAAGTTATAAGTAAATTAATAAATGTAATTTAAATTATAATAATAATATTAACTTATACTGTTATATTATAATCATAATATTTTATTTATATTAAAATTCAGATCATTGTTTTCTTTCTGTTTTAGGCAATCATTGATTATTGTACAGCTCACCCAGATGTAAAAAAGACTTATCCTGAGGAATATTCCATTTGTCTGGAAATGGTTGATCTCATCCCATTGAAAATTACTAGAATGAAGAAAATGTTCAATAAATCTCAACCAAATTAAATCTTATTAATCTTGATTTTAATTAATTAACTATTGACTGAAGATTAATCTTATATATTCATTCATTTTTAATTGCATTCAAAATACAAGCATCGTTTGCTGCTCTTTAACTTGAAATTTAGTTGCCTGTGGTTTGATTTAAAAAAAAAAAAAAGAAGAAGAAGAGAAACTGCTATTTTAGAATGCACAGTGTGTACTGAATATCAAGGATAAATATAGTTTGTATTTATGTTGTTGTTTTTTTTAACAAAATTTATGTAAATTTCTATGCTTTATAATAGAATTCATCTGTTGTATGCCACTTGTAAGCATTTAGTAGTCCAAATTACATTACTTGTAAATATATCTATATAAAAAAACAAAACATTTATATAGTATTATTAAAATTTAAAATTATTTACCAGTTCTATGTAACATCTATTATGTGCTTAGCATATACTTTTCTTATTGATGTTAACCTTATAGAACATTCCTTATCTTTTATGTTTTGTTTTATACCAAATATATTTATTTAACAAAGAATTCTATCTTAATTTAAAACACTCATATTTCCAGTTTTCGAAACTAAAACCTAAAGGTATTATTATTATGGTCAAGTTCCGTAACAGCATCACAAAACTGTCCCAAAATTACAGAAGTCTTCACAATTCTGCAGTTATATTGAAATAGACCTTACTCAATGAAGCATGAGATTATTTTGAATGATGTAGAGATGGTTGACCGTTGATATAATATGAGAAGGAGTTAATCGGTGGGTGCAGTCAAATAAATTCTAAATTAAATAATTACTATATCTTAATTTAGTATTTATTTGACCGCACCCCCTAATTAACTCCTTCTCACGAGATTATTTCAATCATGAATTATAATCAATGTTAATAAAGACTTTCATTGGTAAATAACAGGAACAAAAATTATGTCCATTAGAGTAAACAATTGAAAAATCATGTTATACAAAAAAAATAAATTATTACATATAATGACAGTAATGGGTATAAGAAGCCAAGGCATTTTCTATCCTCCTCCTACATAGTTTCACTGGCTTTCCAATATTATACAGTCATTTCTTTAAAATTACTCAAAAGAGTTCAACTATCCAAATTACACTACATTACAGGTACTAAATTGATGATTGGGCTACTTTATGTATGCCTTTCCTCCCCCCACACTAATCATGATAAACAGATACAGGTAAGATGTTCTGAAACTTTTTTGGCCCAGTATACATTACAGATGAAACCAAGTTCATTCCTTACGAAAAGTGTTATATATTTTGAAGCTATCAGTAGTCAATACAGGGATAAGAAAGGATAAAAAATAATAATCACCACTCTGGAATAGGTAAGTATCTGAACTCAGCTTTACGAGCTCTGGCTCATTGATAGGAATCAGAAATCCATCAGGCCAGGAATGCACACAAGGGGGTTTGATGGAGCAAGTTGCGCCATCACAATTTTTGATGAGATTTTGAATTATTGAGGTAGTCACATTTCAACGGAGTTATGAATTTTCGGATTGAAAAGTTACCAACAAGGAGACAAAGGGAATATATGGAACAAACCTTTGTAAGTATAATTGTTTATGATTCACGGTACTTTAATTTCTAATGTTTTTAAAAAGAGGAGAGCAGCTTGTGGTTCATGAGCCATCAACCTTGGGGAGGGGAGGGATGGGCAGCCCTACATCAGGCCATTTCTAAACTCATCAATGTATCTATAAATGAAATCCAGAACATTGCTTTATGCGTTAATTGAATCACCAATAGTTCAGAGGTTCCATAGGCATAAATTGATGGACTCCTTCAGGGAAATTAGCACTGAGTTTAGAAACTTGCCCTTTACTCAATCCTCCTAAACTCATAGATGGGAGACCATTTATGGAATTTAGCACATCCCTTTATTCATGTATGGGTCCGGTTGATATAACCTTAATATTATTTCTCAATTTACTATTGCTTTATGTATATTTACTTTTGTTTTGATATTAAACAATTTAGTCTGGGGTACAGACCCCTTTTTATCAAAATATTAACCACTTCTTCTACCATAAAACTTCATGAATAGCATTTTTTATCAGAAATTTTTTTATTTATGGAAAAAATTGGGGCGTTTTCAACCTGGAGATCAGCAAACTTTGTCTATTTAATTAGGTAATAAAAATTCACGAACACCCATTTACTTTCTACTAGAATTGTAAGACAATGGGATCTACGGGGGGGGGGGGGGCTTTCGGGCTGAAGTCTCCCTCCCAAAATGGTAAAATACAACCATGTTTTATAGAAAAAAATATTAAAAAAGTATCTCTTAAAGTATTATTGTTCGAGTAATTACATTTAAAAGGGCTTTGGGAATCCCTTAAAACACCATTTCATATAGGTAGTTAGTTTCTTTCTTTTTTCCAAAGTAATTATCGTTATTTTTATGAAAAAAAAAGCTTTCGGGCTGAAGCCCCCCCCAAAAAATAAATCCTGGATCCGCTAGTGAATGTGATCACAAAAACAAGAAAAAGATCTGGTGCGCACATCACACTACTTTCACTTAACACCCTCTTATTAGCAGAAATAAGTATTTTCAGACAAAGGGGAAGTGAAAATAAACATTATTGACGCTATATTTTATTTACGATTCATTGTGGGTATTTTTTTTTTAAATACCCTTATATATACAAATTTTAATTTTTATATCGCTGTATTCTATACAATTAAAAAGCACCAACGATAGCATTTATGAAAACCGCATCAGTATATGAACATAATATTGTCGGAATCATATTATATTAAGCTCATGTTACATAGTCTGTTGTAATCTTCCGGGCAAGCTCATATTCCTTTGATTCCTCTATTACATCATCAAATTCTTTCATATTTTACGTTTAACAATTATTTATATCAAAGATTAATATGAAATGGTTAATTATTTCAAATAAAAAAAAAAATAAAGGAACTCTAGAGGAAGTCAATATTGAAAATTAGCCATTTAACCCCTGATAGAGAATATCAATGAGAATAAAACCTACATTATATTAAAAACTGCTTTACAATACTCTGATATACTGAGATTAATGAATATCGTTGGAACCGTTTTTGAGAAAATCGTAAAAATGTGCTAAATCGATTATATAAAGTACTACTTCCGGTTTGCAGATTTTGACGAAAATGTTGCTGTAACATCGAAAGCTTATATTAAAAACCCTAATATATGCAATTTCGCTTTCATACGACTTTTAGTTTTTGAGCTAGATTGATAACATACATACACACACACACACACACACACACACAGAAACCATAATTTGGACTTAGGAGACCTCAAAACATGTATTTTCCGTTGAAAACTCGGACTCAAAAATTTTCACGATCGCAATACTTACCCTTACGATATATAAGTAAGTGGGAGTAATACCCTTACTATATATTGCAAAAATAGGTAAGCACTAGCGGATCCAGGATTTAATTTTGAGGGGACTTCAGCCCGAAAGTTTTTTTTTTCATATACATATAAGATAATTAATTTGAAAAAAAGAAAGAAATTAACTACCTATATGAAATGGTCTTTAAATGGTTCCTGAAGTCCTATTAAATGTAATTACACAAACAAGAATACTTTAAGAGATAGTTTTTAATATTTTTTTCTGTAAAACATGGTTATATTTTACCATTTTGGGGGGGGGCTTCAGCCCGAAAGCCTCCCCCCCCCCGTAGATCCGCCTGTGTTGGTAAGTGAAAGTAAAAAGATTACCAACAAAATTATTTTGCCGTTAGGCATGACCATCTCCAACATGTCAAAATAACAAGGTTATAGAGGCCAAACGGCCTAATATTGTTGAAGGGCCCTTTTTTTTCGATTTATGATCAAATTATCTTACGATTCAAGGGGACAGAATGAGTATTTAAGAATTTGTAGTACCTAATGAAAATAATTAATGAGAAAACGGCTCATTACTGAGAATTTTCATCAATAAAAGAATTGTTGGTTAAGATGTAACAATGATCAAACCATTTACAAAGTTTTAGGTGGATTATTTATTATAATTTGGTAAAATGGTGTCTCTACCATGGAACTAAACTAATTCAGTAGGCAGGTACGTCGTTTAATTAACCATATCCTTATCTTCTTTAGTTTTTCAGAAGTTTTTTAATCTTCCAGGAGTGTTTTAACCTTCCGCTAGAAACTCAGCAAAAGTTGCTGTGCATCGGAGCTGGATGGATGGATAGAATTGATGGATTGATGGATTGATGCATTCAAACGATTAATGGATTCCTTCGACAGAATTAGAGATGATTCGGTGACTTTCCCTAATCCAGAGAAAGCTGTACCCGTGAATTAAGACGTTCTTTCCAAATCTTTGAAAATAAAAAAATATTGTATTCGTTAACACATGTTTATCAACATGATTTAGTATTAATAAGGTTTCACAAACAATATAATATAGTTGTAAAATTACTATGTGCGTTTTTCCTTTTCTAAATTAACGAATATGCCTCGCGGTAGTAAACATCACCGCGAAAAACCTTCTGACTACTGGAATGAGGTGAGCGAAGAATTTATCCAACAACTCCTTTCTAAATTTGAATATAGCAATCGTGAACAATTTCGAACTCGAGTTTTCAACGGAAATTTTCGGAAATGACTCAAGACCCACTGATGATCACGCAAATATATATGTGAACAACCTAGCTCAAAAACGAAAAATCGTACGAAACTGAAATTACATAGTATGTAAGGTAAGATATATGTCTGGGTTATTACAGCAACTTTTTCGACATAATGGAGCAATCCGAAGTAATTCTTTATTTTATCTATTTTAAACGTTTTTACAATTTTCTCGAAAATGGCTCTAAAGATTTTGATTAAGCTCAAAATCATTATATAAATAGACAAACACAAAACGGTTCAGCCCTTTTTCTTCTGTATTGTTCAACCGATTTTCTTCCTTCTTTTTTTGTTTAATAGCTATTGACGAGCTTTAGTGCCATCAATAAATAAAACTATGAAATAGTATATGTATATAAAAATATAAATGGTAGTTTGTTCAAAACAGCTAATCTCCGAAAGTTCTTCACAGATTTCTTTGAAATTTTGACACAACGTTACAATAGGATTTAAAAAAACCTATGAGATTAATAAGTTCAAAAATTTGACTTATTAATCAACTTTGCGACAAGAAACCGCTCGACGTTTCCGATAACTTCAGCACTTCCTTGACAAACGCTCCACACTTCCAATCAATTACAAAAGACTCATATACATGACTATAATAAGGCCTATTTGGACTTACGGAGTTGAGCTATGGGGCTCCACTAAACCATCGAATTCCTCTCGTATCCAATCCTTACAATCTAAAATCCTCAATGCTCCCTACTTTGTTACAAATAAAACCATCCATTATGAACTTAATGTTTCTTATGTTTCAGATCTGGCCCAATCCAGACACCTATCCTTTCATAATAAACTTCAGAATCATCCCAACCCTCTCTTTTCTAACCTTGCTTCCTCTTCAATTCTGATAACACACCGAGGTGTCTGAAAAGAAGATGGCCCCGTGATCTCCTAATCTAGACATATTATTAGAGTGCTACCATTGGATAGTTTCTCAACAAGTCACGTCATTATATCCATATGTTCAAATTTACTAAATGTATGTCTTTAATACAGTTGTAGGTAACATGGAGAAATAAAAAAAAAACATTATAAAGCTTCATTATACCAAAGAGAGTACCTCGGTGAGTTAGGCATTTTGATCCTGCAATCACGGTGCAGGATTCGAATTCGGTTGTGACAGTTAATTATTTGGCCCTCAATTCCTAATAGTTGGTACCGACTACTACGGTTTCTAGTACTCCAAGTGGGGCATAAGGAGTCCATGTTTTTTTTTTCTTTTTTAATTTTTAAATTAAAATTTTTTTTTCCAGTACTTCCCAGCGTGGAACTGTTTAGGGTTTTCACCTATCGTAGTTCCATTCGTCCACTGTATCCTCCCTGAGAATCATCTGCCATCTTCCTGGGTCTTCACATATCATTTCTCGAATGTTCGCTGGTAAATCAGCCAAGCCATATACTTCAGATATACTTATTTATGGAGAAATAATTTGTTTCTTCCAAAGTAATAATCGTTATAAAAAGTTATAACCCTAATACAAAAAATAAAATATCCATCTCTAAACCCGCTATTGTATGTTAATAATATATAGATCTGGACCACTCGAAATGTGATCGAAGCCTAGTACTGGGTATACACTTTTTCCTTTGTGTGCTTACAAATATTTGTTTTGTTTTTTATTTTACGACAGAAGCAAGGGAGTAATTAAACACTGGCAATGTTGGTTTAAGCATGGAAGGATAAGGAATTTGTTGTCTGTAAATACAATCTTAAATGTTTACTTAATGATAAGCTTCTCTTGTATGCTAACCATCAATATCAATGGTGTTTACCCTTTTCTAATGATTATTCACCCACCTATGAGTTTCCTATGTAATGTTTCGTATCACATAGTTGGAATATCACAAAGAGAAGATTCATCAAATTATTCACTAATGTAATTTTCTAAAAAGTTATAAGACAATATTTCGGAATTAACGGACGTTGATACCTAATTACTTAAATATAATATCAAATCTACAATTATTAAACTACAATAAATGTATTTAAGGTTATAAACATATAGTTTATACATCCATGAAATGATTTTATATTTCAGTTCTTTTTCCACACAAGTACAATGAAGTAGTTTTTTTAACAATGCCATTGCTTTCATTAGGTGGATTTTAAATACAATTTACAAACTTAAAAATAGTTTTTATAGTTTACATTTAGTTAGTAAATTTCATTTCATTTCCTTGAAAACATGTGATTTACGTTAAATATTATTAGTTTTCAAAAATTATTATTTATAATTTTTTCCCCACTCTCCGTTGCCTTTTACAACTTTTTATGTTAGATATTGTTTTCTAAAATTCTCCGCTTTCCAACGATATATTATAAGTATACCTTCTGACTAGTATTTCTGGAGAATCATTTTCGACCTGGATAAGCATTTTTGTTTTTTCTGCTTTATTCAATAATGAAATTTTTAAAAAGTTATATTTAGCATTTTTTCGTAACTTTTAATAATGAGAGATAGTTAATTATTTGAAATAAACATTATTAAAGGAACATTAGGGGAAGACGTATATGAACAATAGACATTTAAGCCTCGTAAAGTGTCGTCAACGGGGATAAGACCTAAATGATATTAAATACCACTTAACTATACAATGATACACCGAGTTTAATCAAAAACGGCTCTAACGTTTTTGAGAAAATTGTAGAAATGTGTTTCAGCGTTGATATAAAGCGGCACTTTCGGTTAGCCGATGTTAAGGAACAATTTACCAGGACATCTAAGTCATATAATCCATCTTAAATACATAATGAGAGTTTCGTAAGACTTTTCGTTTTTGAGCTAGTGTTCACATACAAACAGGCCATTTTTCGGGACTTGGTTATTGGGACTCTGGGTACCTCAAAACGTGTATTCCCGTTGAAAACTCCGATTAAAAAAATTTCACGATCGCAATACTGACCCTTACTATTTATTACTTATATAGGTAAGTGAAAGTAATATATTTACAGTAGTTTAATAACTTTATATCTGATATTATATTTAAATAATTAGATATCTATCTTCTATTTATTCCGAAAAGTTATCATGTAATTTTTAAGAAAATTAAATTAGTGAATAATTTTAAGAATTTTCCCTTTGTGAAATCTCAACATTATCGATTTACTATTAGTGTGACAACTTTTGACCTGTCTATGACCGACAATGAAAATCTCTTAATTCCATTTTAGTAAATTTTGCAATGGAAAATGACAGTTTAATAAGTAATAGTCTTATAATCCATAATCAACGGATTGTACAATCCATAATCAACCGGTGATATAATAATAAGTTTTGTTTTTTTAATGGTATTTATGATTTGTTAGCTGTAAGCCTTTACCTAGAGCTCGGTTAAAAATGCAATTCAAAAATTTTATAATAGTCCAACATGGCCATAAAATAATTCCTATTCAAAGTTGAGCAGTAAGTGAAATTGTGTGTTCCGCGCACCATTTTACAATTGCTATATATCGATAGCCACTTTCGATAATGTTTGTTTTGGTCAAAATGAGAAGGTTGCCATGAGGGTTGTTTGATTATGTTATCACAGTTTGTAAACACAGTTCGTTGACTTAGTAATTTTATTTCATTTGTTATTTGTAAGCTTAAATGAAAATACTTTAAATGAGTTATTAAAGGAGTAATGTTTTCCTTAAAGACTTGGATTAAAGAAAATAAAATTTAAACGATTTTATCACAAAATGTAACAGCCAAATACAATTTAGAAGATCTGTAATATGCCTACCTTATGTATATCTGTTGCCCAATAATAATATAAATAGACCTGTAATAGATAAAGTAATATTTTGGTAAGAACATTAAATTATCTCTTCCATTTTTTACAATGATATATTCTGTTAAGGACATTAGAATTGGTAATAGTTTTACCATTACAGCCGTCGTAAAGTGTAATGTAGTTTTGTTTCTCTTTCCAGAGAAATTATTTCAGTATTTGCTAAAAAATGATGCATTACTAATGAATTAACTCAATTTTAATTGTATATAAAAATTATGAAACTGTTAAGGTGCCATGCTGGATGGTGGTTGACTGATTTTAGAATCAAGAATATTGGGAATCAGTCAAAGGTGTTTAAAGAAACTAACAGGTTGTATTTTTTTCTGTTGGTTTTTATGAAGGAATAATTCTGTTGCTGGTATGCAATATTTCTCTGGCTTCCTGGATCACGGTGCCCTCCTATCTTAGACGTGGTCTGCACTTCCCTCTTGTCCTGCAGAGCTTCCCTTCAAGCAACTTCCTCTTACGCACCATTTCTGGCATACGGGGAAGGTTAAGTTTCATTTCATAGGTCTCCGCCATTAAATAAAAATCAACCACTCTCAGGCCAGATTCGAAACGGCATCACTAGCCACGAGGATGCTAAAACGGGCAATGCTCCAACACACTTGGCCATCACGACCTCAGTATACCAATATCTGACATCCTCCTCGAAAAATTGGAATAATAAGATTTCAGGATCTCCTAGACCTCTATTTCATAAATTTTTGGTTTCTATATATTCCCCAAGTATATTTGTCTGCTTTGTTGTAGTCTTACTGGAAACCGTAACAGATATAAAAAGTAGCAAATTAGGAAGGTCTCTCAATGGTCGATTTAATGTCCTAGGGACAAGATCTATCAGTAAGGGCACCATACCTCTGCTTTGTCATTTATTTATTGTAGTGCTTTTAGATTATGTTTTAACTTATTTTGTTAAAGGAATTAGAAATATAATAGATATCAACCACTGGATCCTTATATTGAGTTTTTTGCCATTAGCTGACAGACCTCTATTCACTTTAATTCAAAGAGATATACTTATAATAATGGATATTAAATTAAACAGTATTTTAACGGGTATTGAAAGAAATCATTCAATACTCTCTTGTTAAAAAAAAAACTAGTGATGTGGATTACATACAAAGCAAAAATAGGATTTACTATTTCTACAAGCAGGTTATTGACTGTTCAGCATTTACCGATAAATCTAAGTCAGAAAACGCAAGACATTTATCTTATAATTAGTTTAAAATGATTTTTGGTAATATTTATTTTAAAATGGAGAATATAAAATTTCAACACTTTGTTTTGCATAAGTACAACCTTATTCTTATCCCTGTCGTCAGCTGCAGGAACTAATCAAATCAAACAGTCTCAGCTACAGGTACAGGTGCAAAATAAAACTATTCTTTAAATTTACAATTTTTTTATATTAAGGCGAATGTTTCATGGATTTTAAATGTGTCTTGGTAAGGTGAGTACTTCTATAAGATGAAAACATGAAAAATATAATAACATTTTTACACGTAAAAGTTCAAAGAAATTTCCTTAAGCATTTCAGCTACGGGTGCATTTAACTTTTATTTATTTATTATTATTATTTATTTTTTGAAAATACTCTGATCCACCTCTGGTTTGCCTACAATAATTACCTAGTTGTAGTATTCAACCCATGATATATTATTATTATTTTTATTTTTTTTATGAATTAATTAAAATATTTGTCGTTTATTATAGGTTTCAAAAAAGGTTGCTAATACTAAGTATGTGAGGGAGACCCATGATGATTCTTTCAGGTATTCGGTAGCACCCGAAATTCAGCCTGAAAAAAAATTCAAAGTACAGTTCATTGACGCTATGCGCCCTTCTTTAGAAGGAGCAGCGATGGCTAATTCAAATATTATGATATTGGAACATTACAATATTGTCATAAGGAAGGATCATCTTATGTTTAATAATCAAGTTAAACTAATAACTGGTGGAAAAACTGGCCATGAACCTCTTTTTATTAGTTATGTTGGTCCCGGAATGTTAACAGCGGCCGTTGTCGGATCTAATGGTTCTGCTCCCTCTGCCAGTGATATTTATGTCTGCTTGAAGGAATTATCTTACAATCACAACAGTGGAATTCTGGCGATAGTTCCCAATAGTTTCGAGGAAGTTGTCAATTTTGGGTTAGGCATCGAAAAAGCCAGGTGTAAAGGGATATTAGTCGATATGGTTACAATTGGAGATGATTGTTGGGAATCTGGTAAATTAAGATTTGGAAGACGCTGCCTTGCTGGAATTGTTCTAGCCTATAAGATTGCTGGAGCTATGGCAGAAGACAAAAAAAATATGAAAGACATATTTCTAAGGATAAAAAAATTATGCATGGGTACGATATCATGCCACATGTATAAAACGGCATTTATTGGTACAGATTTAAATGCAGGAACTGGATTATATACTCCGGAAGTTAATGTATGCCAAATAATAAAATCCATGCTGGATTATCTCGTCGATCCCAAGAAATATTTTGCACTTCCAATAGATACAACGTCTTCATATTTATTAATGATTAACAGTTATACATGTGACAGATTTTTTCTTTATTCATGTCTTAAAGAAGTAATACAACAACTATCATACAGAGAAATAAATATTGTGCGAATCTATGCCGGGACTTTTGTTTCTGGAGAAAGAGGCTTTTCAATTACTCTGCTTGATTCTGAAAATGATATAAAATTGCTTAGGTACACCGATTCTGCTTGCTCATGTCACTTTTGGCCACGTATCGACCTCAGGGGAGTGCCACCACTTGTTAAAGGACCCACCCTGCCAGATCAGAGTTTTAAACTCGTACCGATGGGACCCTATGTTGAAAAGAAAGAATTCATTGATATCCCATTGAAGTAAGTTGTATAAGATATTGTTATATCACTATTATCATTTTATAGTTGATAATTAAGACGCAGTCATTTTAAGATTTTTATTGGTGCCGACGTTTCAACCCGAGCATGACAGTCAATACAAACAATAAACCGTTTAGGATGATGAGTTTTTTTAGTTTGTATAACTTATTACATATTTCATTTGCCTATTTAATGTACCATAACCAGTATCATTCTTATAATATATCTCTGATTGTATTAACAATTTTTCAGTCCTGTTGATGAGCCACATGCTTGGGTTGAAACTTCAGCACCAATAAAAACATTTAAAATGACTGTGTCCTGACTATTTATCATCTATGATATGTAGAGCAGTCGAATAACTTCCTTCAATATTATCATTTTAGTAACATTTTTTTTTACTATCTTATACTTTTATTTCTAAGGATTAAAATAACCCATATCGTGTTTTTTTTATTATTGTTGTTAATTTTATTATTTTATATTAATTATTTAGCCTGATGAAGTCTGTTTAAAGACCAAAACCGGTAGCAAAGATCTGGATTGACTAATTAAATATTATACAAAGTTAATTTTTTTTTTTTTTTTTTAGCTCAGTGAACAATAAGACAAATAAGACCTACCATATCTGTTAGCATACTAAGTAAATAATATGTTTCTTTTAATGGCCAATAGGAGTTGCTGAAACTGTTTCACTATTTTTTTTTTTTTTTAATTTGAGCAAAAGTAGTTCTACCCTATAAAAGATTAAGCCACTGGAAATCTTTAATTCAGGAATGAAATTCCTCTGCATTCGGATAACGCAATTGGTTTCTTTCATAATCATTGCAACTAGGCAGATCAAATTAGAACTTCAAACTCATTCATAGCCCCAGAATTAAAAAAAAAAAGATAAATAATTTATTTTAATAAGACTAATATTTTTTATTTATTTTTTTTTGTTATCAAGGTTTGCATGTAAAGCATTGATAGCTTCAGAAACAGTTTTGAACCGTTTAGATGCAACCCTTCACAACTTTGGCACTTCTATCCTTCCAGCTATACAATTGATAAATCAAAGATGTTATGTTGAAACATTTCCGAGAGAATACCCATACAATCTTTTGAATATGATTGGTTTTATATGCCAGGATAATATTGCAAATATTCAGGGAACAATTCTGTACATATTCTTCTTGGGTGCTGCACAGGTGAGCCATTTTACTGTTTGTCATCACATTTTATACTTATATAGTTGAAATTAAAAAATTTCTTTGAAATTGCATGAAATAACTATGTTGCATTTAAATATTTAATCATAATCCAACTCAATGACTTTATGCATTGATTTTAATCGCCACAATGATAAAGATCAGTTCTGATTAGGTGATTGTGTAGAAACACTTCTTCATAGGTAACATTAAAAACAAAAATACTGAATATGATGTAACTGTTTTTTTAGGAAAAATAATAATTTAATCACATTTTCCTGTGAAAATAAATTTTTCAGTTTTACTTATATAATAAGGAAAAGTATTTAATAAAAAAATTCAAATCCACAACAGTTATCACATTAATTTTTAAAATTATTTTGTTCATTATAATTTAAGTATGTCTGTTAAATATTATTGATGGCTCACAGAAACAATATTTTTATCATATTAATTACAGCGGATATGCTCTATTCTTAAAAGATCATAAGGATCATTGTGCAAATTATAGAGAAATAACCCTACTGAGAGTCCTGTATAAACCTTTCTAGTTTAATATTAAAAAGGCTGTTAAAATATGCCGAGGAAATTTTGGAAGATTACCAATGTGGTTTTAGAGCTGGTAGATGTACTAAAGATCAAGTTTTTGTTGTAAGACAAATGATAGAAAAATGCTATGGTTTTGATATTGATCTGCATTTATTATTTGTTAACTACAAGTAGGCGTTCGATAGCATCAAGAGATCAACACTACTAAAACTACTTATAAAAAATGGAGTACCGCATAAATTTATTAATTTAATAATCATAATTATTGGAAATAAAGCTGGTCGATTGTTTAAGGGACAATCGGAAGTTCGTCAAGGAGATGCATTATCAACAACGCTATTCAACATAATTCTCCGTATAGCTGTGAAAGTTGGAGCTAAAGTAAACATTATTGTTTATAAAATCTGGCAAACTTGTGCCTATGCTGATGACCTAGTGAATGCTGCCAGCAGTAAAAGGGTACTTAAAGATACCTTTGGAATAATATATGAAAATGGCAACAAAATAGTGCTTGTTAACCTAAAACTGTCATCGGCAGCACGTAGAGGATACTGCAGCGACGCCGAAATAAGGAATTTTAAGTTTCAAAATGTACCCACATTTGTGTATTGTGGTCCTGACCTAAATAATGAAAATTTAATCAGCAAAGAAATCAACAACAGAATGGTAACAGAGCCTACTATGAAAATCTTAAACTTCTCAAGTCTATTGTTATCAAAAGCTATAAAATTTAAGCTACAGAAAACTCCTATAGTGGAAACGTGTTTTTTGTCGCAAGAGGATTGCTGTAATACTAAAAGTAATTGAAAGAAAGATAAAAAGTAGGATTTACGGTGCTACAGTGTTTCTAAGTTAAGTTTAAGTGCAGGGGAAGGAAGCTGGCACAGCTTTCTCCCACTCAAGTTCCACTTCCCCTCTTCACCATAGCAACAATCTTATTCTGGAAAAGCGTTATTACATTTTCTTCAAATTTTGCACAAACATTTGTTAAAGGTAGGGATTTTTATTAAAAAATAAAATAAAACCCTGAAAAGGATGGTTAAATAATCAAATTGAGAAAAAATATATATATGAATTTGCGAGGTCTACTGTTCACAGAACTCGATGTTATTACTAGGATCTGTAGATCTAAATTTACCAAGAAATAGATTGTAAAAAAAATCAAGAAATAGATGGAAAATGTAGAACAGAAAAGAATCCGATACTATGTTATCGGATATTCTATAATGGGAAGAAGCCTTTTTCATTTACTTCTGAATGTAAACAAAGAGAATTGTCCACATTATGTATTATTTTAGACTGTAATATAATAGCTCCAATCAAAGGGATGCAGTATGTAAACAGCCAATCTTTCTGTGAATCAACTGTATCGTGGAAAGTAGGCTGAGATGAGCAGGACATGTCCTGTCCTAGACATGAATAGGTGTCGAAGAAAATACTAGAAGCACACTTCAGTGTGAAGAAGAAAAGGGGGAGGAAGAAGCAGAGGACCGAAAGAAGTGGAAAAGAATAACTCAGGAGGCATGCTACCCGGTAGTCCCTGGAAGTTAGTTAGAGTTAGGAGGGTTTTTGGCACGCTAAAATTATCACGCTCACATTAGTGTTGCTATTGAAAATTTAATCATTTTTATGCCATTATTTTGATTTAATTAAGATTTAGTCTTCTCTCAATATTTCTCTGATATTGTCTAATTGAAAGGATGATATTCCGTCGTGATTATCAACAAAAATATGATGAATAAAATATTTAGGTAGGGATTATTATTATTATTTTATGTATTAAAATAATTATTTGTTTTTAGGCTTTTTTAAACTATTCCCGAGAAGTTACTGTAACATTCGAAATGTGGGTCGATGCAGTGAACCGTGGAGTGGATTCCGTTAAAGCCTTCACTCAGATCAATGAAAACGATTTGTCGCTGTTGTCTTCTCTTTCACCGTTTGCACTTACTTTGAAGTTTTTCTCGGAAAACAAGTCAGAAGATTTAGTAAGTACATTAAGCCAAATCATAATTTGTAAATAATGATGAATTGAGATTATATTTCAACGAATTAGTCATTAATTATGAATGGGCCATTCCACCAAATGATACGAAATCATGTCCCAAGGAGATTATGGTTTCTGTGTAAAATTTCTTGTATACAGACTTATAACAGTGGGAACTAAGTGCTTTGAGCTTGATGCTAAATAATTTTCATCTAAGGAATTAATTAGTTTCTATGATTAAATTTAAAATCAAATTGTCAAAATATATTTCAATCACAGATCCATATGGCATAACTCAAAATAAAATACATGATTAAATGAATATCAACAAATTTCAATGATCTTTATGAATCAAAATTCAATAACCAATAACAGAGGATATTACAATTGATGATGTTAAACCTTTTTGGAGATCAATGGAGATCAACAAAATTATAGTTATCTGTTTGATCATTCCTTAATACATTGAAGTAACTTGAATAAACATTATAATAAGTATTTTATAACGACGTAAATTTTAAATGACAGGACTCATGACTATAAAAAGATCAGGTGAAAAAAACATAAAAAAGATTCATAAAAATTAAGTGTAAAAATTGACTTTTTTTTTTTCCAAATTATTGACATCCCTCTAAAACTTGATGGATTGCTTCATTTTATTGTTACCTATAACTTTTTATGCAAATTCTTCGAAATGGGACCTTTTCAATCTGGAGATCACTTAACATAGTCTATTTAAAGAGGTAATAAAAACTCATGAACCTCCATATCGTTTCCACTTGAATCGGAAGATAATTTCATCACCGAATCAAGAAAAAAGGTAGCCTACAGAAATTTGGCGTGGCCTCCACTCTCAACATTTTTTCATGATTTTGTGATCAAATTAACTTAGAATTCAATTGCTTTGCATATGAGTAGAATATATATTTATTTGTTTTGGGGACTGCCCCCTTACAAATACAAATGGAGTGTATACACACATTTTGATTATTACAATATAATATTAATAAATTAATTTCCAATACTGAAATCTAAGTACAAATGGAGTGGTATGCACATTGTGATTATTACAATATAACATTAGTAAATTAATCAAGTGCACTTGTGTGTCTGAGTGTGTTTGTGAGTATGCATGTATTGTAATGTACACTTTTATTGAAAGTGGTTAAAAAGGGTTTAATAAATTAATGTTCAACAGTTAATAGGCAAGCTAATCTAGTTCTACTAGTTCAGGGAAAAGAAAATAGCTGCTCTGTAGTTTTCCCAAAATGGAAAATTCCAAAGAGGGATGGGACAACAGTTTTTGTTTTGGTAAGCAGTTGTGTGACTGCAGTGAAGAGAGGATAGGACAAGGGATCCTGACTCCAGTGGGTAAAACCCAATAATAGTATTACCACATTGGAAGTTGTTGTGTGGCAGGGAGACTAGTTGTTTGGAATCGCAAGAGAGAGGATGTCTCAGGGAGTTAAGAGTTGAGCAGAAGAAAGTGTCACCATTTTGGAAGCTGTGTTTGACGGAACATAGGAAAATGTTAGAAGTCAAATGAATTTAGTGCAACAAAGGAAGAAACAGTGCATATAGAAAAAAAGTTAGCGTGTTTAATCAGTGTTTAATTTTAGTATAAATAATAATAGTTTGCCTGAGTGTTTTGATCTGATTGTCAGTAACCCACACCTGAGATAAATAAATATATTAATACTCTTATAATTTTGTTTATTATTTAATAACCTCTTATTTATTTAGGAAGTATCCCAACAGTATAAAGTGGTCTTCCACGAGGTATATTACTATTTGTAAAATATACGAGAGATGTTACACTATGTATATATATTATCTACACAAAACACATTAACCAGAAAGGAATACTACCTACCCATAGAATAATATAATAGTACATAACATAAAACAACCTAATAATATAATAGAATATAACTCTATAACCACAATACCACACCAAGCCACACAACCACCATGTATGACGCTACAGGTTTCTACTATTAGAGGATATCACTACTACAACACAAATCGAAATATTCTACAAACAAACAATATATAACAGAAAAATATTGATAATCTATAATTATCTATACATTTTGGATAAATGCTCTTAAATTGAGGGTATAAACAGTATAATAATATAAACTTGATATCTGCTCTCTAGTTATTGTTTTTATAAATGATGTAAACAAGGCAGGGGTCATTGAATTTAATGTAGGTAATAGTTCTAGCCTATAGGAATATTAAATGGGACAGGTTATGAAAAAGTGATATAAATCTTTCCTTTCATTCAAATTACGCAACGAGAATAAACATTCTGTTTGAAGTTCTTATCTGTGTTATAAGTTTTATAAATCTAAATGGGGCTGGAGATGTAAGGGCGGCTTGAGTTTCTAAATCTGGATCAAATACTAATCTGTAATTTGGGCAGTAGGTAGAGGATTCCATGTTTTGGACATATCTCTATGCCTTAACTTGCATTTAACCTGTTCGATTACAACACCTATCAGTGCAGTTCTTGATCCATCACAACTTCCCAAATGAGTATTCACGAGTTTTTAATTCCTCATTAAAATTAATTAAAATTCAATGAGAAATCGTGCCATTTTTCACAATTTGGTATGTAAAAAAGTTGTACATTATGATCAAATAAAGCCATTCACAAAGTTTTAGATAGATGTTAATAATTTAATAAAATATGGTCTCTACACAACATATAGTTTACCATGGGAAAAACTATCTTCCCTTAAATCCAACTTCAATATCCTGAAAAGTTAGTTTCTGCACTTTATTTATAGTCAATACCAATGAAACTTTTAACAGAAAGCTTTTTCTTTCTTTCTTGCTATTTTTTAAATCAGTTTATTTTAAAGTGCCATCTTAAATTTTATGCATAGATGTTAGGTTATTATTGAAAAATTCCAAACCACACAGCCTTATGCCTCCAAAATACAAGGAAAGAAAAAAACAGTCAATGTTTCGCCAATTGAGACATCATCAAGACAGAAAAGAACAGCTAATCGGACATTACTACATGAAATCCAATCGCATACTGACTATATCTTCAGTATGCGATTATATCAGTAGTCAGTATTGAATTCCTTTTCTGTCCTGATGATGCCTGATGGATTTTTTCTTTGTCTGCATTTTGGAGACGTAAGGCCGTGTGGTTAAGAATTTTTTTCCCAATACTAACCTAGCATTTATGTTATGTCTCTTGGTTATTTTGTTATTAATTTATAACAATTTGTACAAAGATTAAGGTTTTATTAGTTTGTTTTGTTCTGTATCGTAAGACTTATTAGTAATATTAATACATAGGTAATATAATATAAATATAATTATATTACCTTTACACTCCGACGCAATTCCTGTCCACCAGTACTCTTTAATTCCATCCAGCTTCCTTACTCAGACGCAGTCCGGTATCTTGGCTTTCATTTAGACCGAAGACTAACTTGGAACCCACATACTAGACTCAAAAGATAAGAACTCAACCGACGATATGTCCAACTATACCGACTACTAAACAGAAAATCTAAACTTTCCATTGAAAACAAGCTACTGATCTACAAGACAATACTGAAACCTATTTGGACTTACAGACTAGAACTGTGGGGATCAGCAAAATTTTTTAACATCAAGCGCATCCAATCCTTCCAGTCAAAAGTCCTTCGAACAATAGTCGATGCTCCTTTCTATGTAACCAACAAAACCCTACATCATGACCTCAACATCCTATTCGTCCTAGACCTTATCCCAGAAAAATTCTCTAAATTTCACCAGAACCTTACGTACCACCCAAATCCTCTTGCACAATCCCTATCAAGCACCTCCCATCCCTAATATCCTCCAAGAAGGTTGAAACGGCAGTGGCCTCGCGACCTTTTGTAGATTGTATATATTGAAGTTCTGGCAATGGCCAGATTCTTCAATCAAGACATGAGTGTATGTGGCTAAAGTGCTCTCGATCAATCTCTGCTGGCTTTAGTACCAGTGACGCGGTTGAGAGAGTAGCGCAGGGTTCTCCTGGAGTTCTCTCGCCTGATTGTATATAGGTATGCATGTATTTTTTTTTTCTTAGTTTTAATTTTCTTATTTTTTAGGTTATTTTATTTGATTATCTATTGTATATACTTTTTATTATTATTTTGTTTCTATTTATTTTTATTTTTTTTTTTTTGTACATATAGTGTGAATGTCATTCTACCTCACTATAACCAATGTCCAAGAGACAGATTGTTGTAATATTCAATAAAGAAAAAAAAAAAATACATAGAAAATTTAAAATTTTTGTGAATAATCATTAAATTAATTGTTTTTGCATTAACAGGAGGAAATGCTTGAAGACGCACTTACAATAACAAATAAAGTTCTTAAGGATACATTACCTTTGAATGCTCCTGATAAAATGCCAGGAATGCCTGAAGTAGCGGGACAAACTGGCCTTATCTGTCTAACAGCAATAGTTGAAGGATATCGATTAATTAACCGTCAAGCTGAGGGAAAACAACGGACGCCTACCATATCAGATATTTCTTTAGACGGTGACAGTAGCGAAACGAATGCTGAAACTATAGTGATTTGAAAAGAAGTGTTGTTTTTTTTAAAACACAATATTATGTAGATTTTAAAATAAATTTTTATTTATAAGAAAGTTGAATCTCTTCTATGGAATAAAAGATTTTTAATTTTGTAATCAAACATTTTTTTATTGCCTTTAGACCAAATTCATCTTCCATAACCTCTTAACTACATAATTGTGTACTTTACATGATTTTTTGAATTTTTATTAGTCAGTGATGATAAGGTTATTTTAAGACAATAAACACACAATAAGTCCCAAATTAAGGTCATTGAGAAACTCGCCAAGACAAGTAGGCCAATAAGAGAGGCAGAGCAGATTGGCCTACAAGTAAATGAAGACAAAACAATAACAGGATCTGCGTAGAAGAAAATTCATTCCTGAGAGTAGAAAAATTGAAATACTTCGGATCCAAAATAAACTCGATGAATGACCAACGGTTGAAAATCTCAAATTAATTGTGTACACTATGATAAAGCCTTTTCGGTAATATTAATCAAATGAATAAAAATATATATTTATTAATGAAATAGTGGCTAAAGGTATCGCTTCACTTGAAATAATAAAAAAATATACGGAGTACATGGGGGGTGCTCGCCACTTGTAAGATTAAAAAAATTACAAAGCATATGAGAATGATTAATTTTAGCCTATTACGAAAGTAACAGAATTAGAGACATATCGAATGAATTAAAATTCAAATAATACTTAATTTGAAATCAAGTATTAAGGGAGTACAATGCCTTGTACAATGTATAAAGCTAGTTCTAATATATGGGTGTGAGACCTGGACAATAACCAGCATCCTAGAAAAAATTATTGATAGATTTGAGAGAAAGATCCTCTGCACGATAACAGGAGCGATCTGGGATCAGAGAACTAATACATGAAGAAGAAAGACCAATAAAGAATTGCTTATAGAAACTGGTCAATCAATATTCCATGATATGAAGGCACAGAGGTTAAGATGAATGGGGTATGTAATCTGTATCAATGAATGCCTCAACAGAAGGCAAAAGATCATGTGAAAGGACAAAAAGCAGATGGATAAGCAAAGAAGATTAGAGACTGGATTTTCGTGCAGTAAAAACTGAAAAACTCAAAGTGTGCTAATTATTGTAGTAAAAACCTTAAATATTTAACCTAAAAAAAGCAATTATTTTGTTTAAATTATTACATTAATAATTAGTGACCAGATTTCCATGTTATTTCACAATTTATTCAATTTGATCAGATTTGGATGATTAGTATAATAAATTAAACCAAATAGATGATGATTTTTGGGCATTGATTACACAGTTTTAAATATTTTAGGTTTTTACTATACGATTTTTCACATTTTTTGGATTTTTACTGCACCAAAATCCAGTCTTTAGTGATGATTGATAAAAAAAAGTAATATCACTTAGGCCCTCCGCTCACGAGGCGAGAAAACTCGAGGAGAACTGTGCGTCAAGCTTAACTTACTCGTCATGTGCGTCAAGTGCCTCCCCAACGAGGCGAGAAAAATCGAGAGTTGCACTCGACGAACTGTGCGTCTTATGCGATTTTAGCTACAATATATATGTATATTAATACTTTTTAATATCAGGAATGAAGACTTTGTTTTTCACTGTTAAAACAATTTTTCAGCAATGTAGAAGTAGACGAAAATAAGAAAATAGTGTAGATAATTTTCTAAATTTTTATTAGATTTTTATCTTGTGAATAGCTGATAGGTAGAAATTTTCCGAATTTTCATTCGCTTTTCCTCTTTTATTTCGGAAATGGATGCTCGGATTTTCACAATTCCAATCATTCCATTAAGAGGAAGAGGAATGAAAACAGTACTGATACAAATTTTCCAAAGTTTCTTTCGCTTTTCCTTTATATTAAGGGAATGGACGCTTGATTTTTCGTCCAAACAATTTTCCAATTGTTTAGAGTTTGGCGAAAATGGAGAACGAGTGCGAACCTTTTCCAAATTTTCATTTGCTTTTCCTCTTTTATCTCGGAAATGAAGGATCGGTTTTCTAGTGTTCCAACCATTTTTTGGTAATGTAAAAGTAGGCGAAAATAATGAAATAATGTAGTGAATTTTCATTCACTATTCCACTTTTATTTCGAGAAAGGATGCTCGGATTTTCACTGTTCTAACCATTTCCCAATTGTTTAGAGGTAGGCCAATGAAAACAGTAGTGGTACTAATTTTCCAAATTTTCTTTCACTTTTTCTCTTTTATACGTGAATGGACGCTACGATTTTCACTATTCTAACCATTGCCAACTGTTTAGATTTATACCAACGGAAATTGTAGTGGTACAAATTTTCTGAATTTAGATTCGCCATTCCTCTGTTATTTGGTGAATAGATGCTCGGTATTTCATCGTCTCAAATATTTTTCAGCTGTTTAGAGTTAGGCGAAAATTAATGAAAAAGTGCAAACGTTTTATGAATTTTCTTTCGGTTTTTGCATTTTTCCAACAATTTTTTCGGCAGTTTAGAGATGGGCAAAAAAAGGGAAATGGTGTAGAAAGGTTTCCGAATTTTCATTCGTTTTTCCTCTTTTCTCTTATGAATGGATTTTCACTATTCCAACCATTTTCCGAACTGTTTAGAATGGAAACAGTAGTGGTACAAACTTTCCGAATTTTCTTTAGCTTTTCCTCTTTTATTACGTGAATGAATGCTCAGTATTTCATCATTACAACAATTTTCAAGCTGTTTTTTTTTGGTGAAAATGTGTAAAAAGTGAAAATTTAATGAATTTCATTTCCTATTCCTTTTTGAACTTGGGAACGAAGGGTTGGTTTTCAGTTCTCCAACAATTTTTCGGCAATGTATAGGTAGGCGAAAATGGAAAGATGGTGTAGATAATTTTTCAAATTTTCATTCGCTTTTCCTCTTTTCAAACAATTTTTGAACGGTCAAGCGAAGCAAAAATTTCGTTTAGAATTCGCGAAATTGTTTGAGCCGCGAAAAACGAATATAAGCTATGTTCCTCCCTAAAAAATTATTTACTCTGGAAACAAGACTGATTTTTAATAAATATTATATTTGGTTGATAGCTACAGTATTAGTATAATTAGGACCAAACTATGTGGGGGTACATATTTTTTTATGACGAAACTAAATTTGTATTCGTTTTTCGCACCACAAAAACCCAATACAAATTTTTATAGCAATCGGAATTAATTCGAAACTAGAGGGACTCGAAACATGTGGGATTCCCCAACCACACTACTTCCAAGTCAATTTCTACATAGATCCCCAACAAGGCGAGATGGAAGAGGGGGAGACTCGAACTCGAAGCGAGACAACTTGACCACGAAGCGAGGTGGAATCGAACTGTGCGTCAAGTGCCTCCCCAACGGAGCGAGAAAAATCGAGAGAGTAGAAATCCAAGCGAGATAGCAGTGAACTGTTTAAGCGAGAAAATTCGAGCTTGACGCATGAATTACTTTATAAAAAAAATTATGGCCGTATTATAATTAATAAAACTCATTCTTGTTTCTATTTCTTTGATTATATCTATAGTATGATAAGTGATATTTTATTTAGGACTTCTTTATGGTGTAAAGAATTTTCGTTCGCTTTTCCTCATTTATGTGCGAAATGAGTGCACAAATTTTCAATGTTCCAAATATTTTCCTAATTTTTAAAGATAGGCCAATGAAAACAATATTGGTGAAAATTATCAGAATTTTCATTCGCTTTTCCTCATTTATCTCTAAAATGAGTACTCGAATTATCATTTTTCCAAAACATTTTCAGCAATGTAGATGTAGACAAAAATAGCGAAATGCTGTAGAAAATTTTCCAAATTTTCCTTCGCTTTTTCTCTTTTATCTCCTAAATGAGCGCTCGGATTTTTAATGTTCCAAACATGTTTCTAATTTTTAAGGATAGGCATTTATCTTTTGAATGAGTTCACGGATTTTCACTGTTCCTAACATTTTCCCAATTTTTAAAGATATGCCAATGAAAACACTATTGGTGAAAATTATCCGAATTTTCATTCGCTTTTCCTCATATATCTTCTAAATGAGTGCACGGATTTTCACTGTTCCAAACATTTTCCCAACTTTTAAAGATAAGTCAATGAAAGCAGTATTGGAGAAAATTATCAGAATTTTTCATAATTCGGAAAATTTCTGCACTTCTTTCTCATTTTCGCCCAAGTCTAAACAACTGGAAAATTGTTGGGACGATGAAAAATCTAGCGTCCATTCACGTAATAGAAGAGGAAAAACGATAGAAAATTCGGAAAATTTGTATCAATACTGTTTCCATTTCTCTTCCTCTTAACGGAATGATTGGAATTGTGAAAATCCGAGCACTAATTCAAGAGATAAAAAAGGAAAAACAAAAGAAAATTCGGAAAATTCTTTACACTATATCTTCATTTTCGCCTACTTTTACATTGGCGGAAAATGGTTATTACACTAGAAAACCAAACCTTCATTCCCGAGATAAAAGGAGAAAAGCGAATGAAAATTCGGAAAAGTTTTGCAGTTGTTCCCCATTTTCGCTCAACTCTAAACAATTGGAAAATTGTTGGGACGATGAAAAACCGAGCGTCCATTCACGTAATAAAAGAGGAAAAACGAATGAAAATTTGGAAAATTTTCTACACTATTTTCTTATTTTCGTCTACTTCTGCATTGTCTAAAAATTGTTTTAACAGTGAAAAACAAAATCTTCATTCCCGATATTAAAAAGTATTAATATGCATATATATTGTAGCTAAAATCGCATAAGACGCACAGTTCGAGTGTATCTCGACTCTTTGTATTGGCGAATTAAGCGAATTTTGACGAGTTTGACGCACAGTTCTCCTCGATTTTTCTCGCCTCGTGAGCGGAGGGCCTTAGCGCTACCTCTTTTTATATTCTGGTCATTCTTCACACAAAACGTGCTTGATTCAAATCAATCATTAATTGTCATAAGCATACAGTATTAACGGTTTTAGCAGCTGATAATGGATCATACCCACGTTCCAAGTAATTCATTTTTCACATCAAAATCACTATTTTTGATTTTCTTAAACCACCCAAGGCACTGTGGTTTACTCACCATAAACTTCGACAAGCATTATATGCGATTCTTTAGAAGCTTTCTTTAAGTGGTAGCATAAAACTAATGCTGTTCGCAAATCATAGTTTATAGGCACAAAACTTGACATGTAAGGCACAACACTATTAAAACAATGTTGTATTGCCATCGTACCTATGGCAAAACTTGTATTGTTATTAATTAATACTAAAATAAGCAAAAAGTTTGAAAAGAGATATTAATTACGTTTTGTACTGTTACTAACTAGAACACTGGACAAATTCTCGTTCTTGTTTGATGTTTATATACCCGGTAAACTTCCATAAATAATACGAAATGCTTTAGAAAAATAAACTACATTAAACAAAAATAAATAAAATTAAAACAAACATTTAAAATAATATATTTGTTATTTAATGATGTAAATTGAATAAAATTATTATATTTTGCTATATAAATATTAATTTATTATTTACTTGTAATGTACAACATGTTACAGATAAATATTTATAATGTCATTGTTTACTCGAGGAACAAGCTTGCCTCTTCCTTTCCGCTATCCAAGTTTCAATCTTTTCCCTTAGTTCGGTGTTCGATTTCACCATATTCATTGTTAACGGTGATCTGTTAAAAGGATCTGTTTGATCACTCAGCAAGTGTCTAAAACAAAAATTTTAATTTACTTATCAAATCGATTTTTCTTTTAAAAATAATAAGATTGATAAAAAAAAAAGTATAAGGAAAAATACCTTGCAATAGTAGACCTGTCAATGTTAACCCTTGACGAAGGAAGTATAACAGGGTCCGTCATTAGCGTAGACATAATGGGGTCGAGGAATTCCTCTGGTGCTTCAGATAGAAGTTCCTCGTCGCCCTGCTGAATAGAAGCCAATCTGGCCACTTCTTCGGAAACTCTTTGAAGTTCCATTACCATTTCCATACCACCACCGACACGAACTGCATTTATGAGAATATTAAAAATTGTAGTTTAATTTTTATTAGAACACAATGTCTATCCATGATATTTAAACAAGAGGTTTTCATAATTAACTAAATAGTTGAAAAAATGTGGACCTTTTCGTCTGATATCTGAACTATTGAATTGGCAATGACATGAATAAAATTATTTAATGAAATATGTGTAATATAGAAAAATACCCTTTTTATTCATCTCATTTTATTTTTAGATTTCAGTGCATGGCACCATATTCATCTAAAACATCGACATACATATACCTATTCTAATAATATATCATTCATCACAATTCATAATTGTCACCAGGATTCTGCAAATTCTACATACCTATTTCAAATCTGTTTCCAAAAAGAGACTGGAATAAAATTAGGTATTTTTCATTATAATAATCTGGGCTGCATACATTTCACCAACTATTTATTTTTATCCATAACCATGACAACGTTTTGGCTTTTTATGCCATTTTCCAGGCATTATTTATTATTATTTCGGTTTTTACATCCTTGTTTCTAACAAAATTCTCTTCATTTTGAGTTTCATCCTTTCTAGGTTGGTGTAAAAAATATTACTACTATGTACTATCACTTTCCATGTCCCACATTATTTTTTTTTTGTATTGCAAAATTATTACTATAATATTTACACTACAATATGATAATGCAGAAGAAGAAAAAATCATACCCAATACATCACTTGCTAACGTAAATAGTTGAGGGCTGTATGAACGGCCGTCCTTAGAAACAGCTGAGCAAAATTCAGTACTAGAACCTAAATGAATATAAATACCACAAATGTCTTTGACTATCGCACCAGGGTTAAACATATACTCTTCGTGATCTTTTACCTAAAAGAATAATATGAATAAATAAATAAAATATTAATGTCGAATGCTCATGATGCTAAAATTATTTAAATAAAACTATAACCATACTAACCATCATTAGTAAGTTAAATTTATATTATTTATGAGAATAAGGCTTTGATAATTACTAGATTAGATAACAGAAATCCAATTTTTCATTCGTAGAGACATAGAATTTTTCTTTCATAGAAAAATAAAAATTTTCATTCATAAAACAAGAGCATTAATATGAACTGGAGTCTTAAGGTACTATTTCGCTGGCGCGGTCCACGACCGCGACTGTTTGCGGTTGACCACTGCTTTAGTAGAATAGAAAGGAACCTATTTCGCTGGCGCTGCTCAGCAATCTAGGTATGACGTCATATCTAAGCTGCTCCTATCTGACCGCTCTTGAAGCAGTGAAGCTGTTGGCGGTTCGGCGGTTGTAGGTTATGTTATCATATCAGAGCATTGTTTTGATGATAACAGTCACGTTGATACGTTTTATTTCCTATGTTTCTTTCAAGTAAGGCAAAATTATAAGAAATATTGTTTAAAACTTAAACAATGCAATAGTAAATTATATTTTTAAAGTTGAAGTAACAAGATTATTTATTTATTTATTCCACCAACAATATTTTACAGTGAAATTCAAATATACCTACATCCAAACTATATTAAATAAATTAAAGAATCCAACAAATTTTAACGACAGGTAAATACTAAAATCCACTCATTGAAAAATTGATTTGTATTTTTTAATTAAAGTGGGGATTTACTGATTACTATTGATAAAACGAAATAGTACCTTTAGATTTGAAATAATTTCAATAGTAACAATTAAATATATAAATATTTAATGCTATACATAAATATTATGCTATACATAAGTATAACAAAAAACAGCATCGATTTTGAAACATTAATTTGATAATTCCTAAAATTTTTCAAAACAATTTTTAAATCAATTTTCTCAAACATACTATATGAAAAGAAAAGAAGAAAATCAATAATTTAATATCTATATATGTACTAGATTTGTAATAGTTAAGCAATGGCATGATATTAGTTAATAATAGTTACGTAATAGTAAAAAAAATAAACTTTTGAGATCTGCATCCTTCCAGTTGTGTCTTCTGGAAGCTAAACATGGTCTCTCACATGATTTCAAGAAAATAAAATAAGTCTGGCAAAATGCTATAGAGAGAAGCATGGTAAACATCAAAAGAAAGGGCAGGATACAATTTATTGATATTCAGAAGCAAACAGAGCTCAGGTACTCCTCCATGCTAATAAAAAAAATTAAAAGAGAAGGAGTTGATCGGGGGAGGGGGGGAGGGGTGAGTACGGTCAAATTAATACTAAATTAAACAAGTAGAATTATATAATTCTAATTAATATTACTTGTTTAATTTAGTATTAATTTGACCGCACCTCCCTCCCCTCCCCCCCCCCCCGATCAACTCCTTCTCTTATTATATCAACGGTCAACCATCTCTACATAAAAAAAATTAAAATGGAAATGGGCAAGACATCTGTTGAGATTCACCGATCATATTAGCCCAGTTAAGTTAGATATGTTGCCTTGCAAAAGGTCGGGTAATTCAAATATCTAAGTTTCCGCTCTTAAAAAACTTGTGGGTTCACTGCATTGCTCTAAAAACCATTGAAATTTCGAACTTTTTTTGGTTTACTCCAAATATCTCCTTTTTAAAGTGACATACATAAAAAATGGTTATAGCCAATCTTAAACAGTTTAAAATTATTTAACATTTTTTTACATAACATTTTTTTTTTAAACAAAAAGAAAGCATACTATCGAGCTTCCAAAATGTACCCATTTCGATTTCTTCACAATAGTGCTTTTTCAGTTTTGAACGTTAGAATTCTGTAACTCCATTTTGAATCTGGTCCAGGAAATCCAGAGGTTTTTCTTGAAGATAATGAGTCATTGACTGGAACGGTAGATGGTAGTCGGGAGGTATTTAGAAAAGTATGTGGCACCCTCCCCCCACATCCCAATAAATTGAATATAGTTGTGTTGCTTGAAACTATTTATTAAAAAAAAGTGGCATTCAAACATGGCAGATTGACGTCTTTGATTTGAGTTAGTCTCACGCTCACTGAGATTTGGCATTTGGCTTAATTTTGTCATAATTGGCCATTTATTAAAGCTGGATAGTTAGAGAATAATAAAACATGAAAAATATTTTAAAAATAATTGGCAAGGTAACAAAAAAACACTAGTAAAGTCAAGTTTTTCTATTTGTTCAAACTAAAGTTGAAAATGAAGCGTCTTTTGTAAATAAACGACCAACAATAATGAAAAATGCTTTGATATAAAAATATCTGGAGAATACATTTTTCTTTCTAAATCATTGATTCATTTTTAAAATATATTTTTAAAAAATATTTGAAGCAGTTACTTAAAAAATAAATTTAATCGGTGGAAAAGTGGTACTGGCAAAGGCATCTAGAGTCCTCTGCCACATTATCAAGTACTCATAAATAGCATAGCTATTTGTGATATAATGATTGTATTTATATTTAATTGCATTAACAAATAAATATTAATACAATAATTGAATTGTCAATTTTTTTTGTACTTTTAAACTTAACCCATTTTGAAAGCTCGATAGTTCGCTTCCTTTTGGTTTAAAAAAAAAATGTTATGTACAAAAATAATTAAATAATTTTAAGCTGTTTAAGATTGAATATAATATAAGAATAGAACAGGCTTCCATACTTAACATGAGCATAATAAAATATGGGCTCCGACAATATTGTGTACTTACATGTATACGGTTTTCATAAATGCCATTGTTGATATTATTTAATATTTAATTGTATAGATTACAGCGATATTAAAATTTGTATATATATGGGTACTTAAACAAATAAAAATATCCACAATAAGATGAAAATAAACAAAAGGCATCTATAATTTTAACTTTTACTTCCCCTTAGTCTGAAAATATTTATTTCTGCTAAGAACATGGCAGTAAGTGAAACTTGTGTGATGAGTGAACTGCACCAGATTTTTTATTTGAAACAGAAGAAAATATGAAATTGAACAATGCTTACAACAAGGTAACTGCTATCGAGAGAGGATTTCTTTGGAAAAATTGAGAAGTTATTTCATTAAGAATCGTTAAATTAATTATAAAGAACTATCGACAATCATCCTTACTAATTAATAGAGAGGAAGGATTAGTTACAAGAACTAAAATATGAAATTACCTTCAAATTTTTCTTGTTAGGTCCGACCAAATGATACAAAAAATAATTGAGCATAGCAGTAATCCTTTCCACCATCATCGGATGGCAAAATATCGACTTAATTTCTGAGCTCATATATTCCAACGTGTGTATCGTTTCTTGGCCTAGAATATTATCAAACCTGAAAAAAATTAAAATATTGCATAAAATTACAAGATATAATCTTTCATTTATTAAATATATATATATATATATATATTTTTACAACTTTTCCTTCATCGACCTTTGAGTATTAAATTCAAACTTCACTATTTTATTGGGAATAAGGTCATTTAATTATTATATATATATGAGATTTATGATTACTGCTTCTTAAAATTATAATTCATTCATATGAAAGGTCAGGTTTTTAAAGAGAAAAACTATTAAAATGAAAGTAAATAAATTATTAATTAAAGCACAACTATAATTTTGAAGTGAAAGTTAATACTATTCTTCAGGATTAACAATTATTCGAGATAAATCATGTAACCTTTCTAGGGCCTTTGCATGTTTTCCAGGACCAGTGAGTGACTGATCACTTTTGGGAATTGCATAAAAGCCAAGGAATATATTTATAATAATTAACAAAATTAACTAAACAAAGTCTGAACGCTTGCAAATGCAAACTAAACAGTTGATATTTTACAAATTCAAACACCTTCGAGACAGAAGAAAATATGACATATTATCAGTAAAAAAAAATAAAAATGCTACCATAAATTAGAATTCAGATATCACTACAAGAGGGTCCCAAGAATGTTGAAGCAACAATTTTTAAAGAAATTGAGAATACAAACTGCTTTATTAAAAATTCCTGCTGAATCTGAAGACAATACTAGTCTAACTAAATTAAAATTAATGTAATGAATTAAAAAAAAAAAAATATATATATATATACATTTTCCACAGTTATACTTACATAAGAATACAGAATTTAAATTTTCTATTGAAAACAAATTACTGATCTACAAGACAATACTAAAACCCATCCGGACCTATGGACTAGAACTGTGGAGGACAACCCATTTTTCTAACATAAAATGCATTCAATCCTTCCATCCTAAAGTCCTGTGAACAATAGTCAATGCTCCCTTCTATATAATCAATAAACCCTTGCATAATGAACTTATGCAGGTTCAATTCCCATCTGTGTCGGCTAATGTTTATTATTCTAAATAAATCTTATAAATATAAGGAAATAAATCTTGACACTCCCACTATGCTAAATATATACATCAAAGTAGCCATGAGGGATTGCCAACAAGGATTACAAGGCCCACCCAACATATACCAGTACAAGCACATATACACAAAATCCCACCACACACACATTCATACGTGTTGATGCCTACAATTCTGTACAATACTTCATTCAAATTTTAATGAATAACCTGAGCTTTTACAAATTTTAAATTATAGTTTTAGATACTAATAAATAATAAAAATCAATCAACATGATATGATCACCTCGCTGTCATTCCTATCTGCCTAAATATATGTTCATTTCGATCTCTCTCATCTAGGGGCAGCCTTTCCCATTCTCCTGCGTCCCTGTAAAAAGGTTCTAATATCAATAAAAAAATTTAAATTTATTTCTTAATAATATATTATAATTAATTTTCCTATATTTATTTAAATTTAATTATTTGTAATATTTCTCTTTTAAGTAACAATAATAATTGACTAAATTCAAAGAATTATAATTTTTATAACCTTAAATTTGATATTAAATATTTTTTAAATCTAGATAGCACTGAATCAAAACATTAGGTGACTGTCTCGGGTCCACAACTATATATATATAAAAAATAAAATAATAACCTACACCACTAACAACTCATGAAGGGTCTTTGGTTTAGTAAAATGTGAGGAAGTACTGTTACAAGGCCAACAGTTGTGCAGGGAGGTGACAGGTCAATATCACACTCAACCGGCATGTTTTCCCCTTAATTAAAAATACCCACCACTTTATAGAGGCTGGGTTTGCCCCAGGAGGGTCTCCCGGCATTTTAACTTTACTGTAACAATAGTTATTCAATTTTCAATCTATTTATTCGTTAACATTCATTTATTCGTTAACATTCATGTAATTCGTTAACTTCTTCATATTTTATATATACTTATGTTTATTTTTTATTTTATTTTTATTTTTTCAACATGTTTGTATCTTTTGTAGCCCTGAAGACGACCTGCAAAGTGGGTCGAAACGTCGGCAAAATAAAATAATTTATATTTTATTTTTTTAAAAATAATTATATTTTAATTTTTATTATTTGACCGCACCCTCGACTAACTCCTTCTCATATTATATTAACGGTCAACCATCTCTACATCATTAAAAATATTACTCTTACATATATATTCAGTAAATTGACTGCTGACGAAATGGATAAATAAAAGGAGTTTAAATGTGGTTAATAATGAGGATTTGCATATGAAAGTAGGTATGGAATTCCAAAACAAAGTAGTACGTATGAAACAAGATTTTTTAATTAAACAGCTCTATGAGAAGGAATAAACAGATCAAGAAGGTAAGGTTTTTTTGTTGTAAAGGTTCGGAAAAGGAAAACACCTAGGAAATACTGCCGCCATGAAGCTGGATAGAGCCACTAAATATGGCTAAATAAAAAACATATTGCCTTATTCATTAATTAAACTAGAATATTAAAGTAGTAATGATATTTATTTATTTACTTGAACTATAGCTACCTGGCTGTTTGAAGAGTACGCAATTGTGCCATATTAGAAAGTGCTTCATCAAGGAGAAAGATGGCATCATTCATCAGAAGGTTGAGAAATCTGAGGAAGAGAGGAGGGGTGACTTCTTCCATGTTTATTTCCGCATCTTGAGCGAGCTGTCTATACAATAATATTTACCTTTAATCTGGCAAAAACAAAAAAACCCTAACAACGTATAAATATATATGTTCTAAAGAGATACATAGTTTGGTATGATTTGATAAAATAAATTTAGAAAGCTTACTTAAAAACGTCTCTGTGTTCTTCTATATTCCATAAATAGTCCATTACAGTATACATTGGTCTCCTGTAGTTGAATTTTTGTTCGAAAGCAACACCCTCTCCAGTCATTTCAATTGAGACGAAAACATTTATAAGGCAAACAACAATCTGAAATAATATAATTTTATTTTAAAAATTACAATTCATTTGAAGATCTTATTGATTGAAAATTATATTAAAATGGCTATATCAATGAACTAAATCTTAAAAAATTATAAAAGTTCTCATGTTATGAAGCCCTTACAGGGTGGCTACCAGACAGTTTAAGTAAAATTTCCCGACATTTCTCCATTTGAGGATAGTTTTCCCTGACCAATATTAGAAGGTCCCGAGGCCCTCATCTTCTTTTCAAACGCCTCGAAGGGTACTCAGGAACAGAAGAGGAATCATGGTTCAGAAGTTTGTAATGGAAGGATAGGTATCTGGATTGAGCTAAATCGGAAACTTACGGTACATTAAGGTCAATATGGATGATTTTATTTGTCACAAAGTAAGGAGCATTGAGGATTTTGGATTGTTCAGATTGGATACAAGAGGATTTGATGGTTTAGAAGAGTCGCAAAACTTGATTCTGTTAGTTCAAATAGGCCTTATTATAAATTATTACAAAAATAGTGCGGTTAAGCTTTTAAGCAAGCTGACCTAATTAAGAGGTAAGTTAACCTAATTCAGATAATACCTAGAGCTTTTCAATTTGAAAGGATTTTTCTAGTTTAAGAAAAACACACAGGCGAATCTTCAGAGAACAAACAAAAAGATGGCAGCTCAAGGAACAAAAATTAGTTGTTAAGCGGGATTGAAGAGAGGATAAGAGAAGAGATCTGGGCTCCAGTAGGCAAAACCCCGTAATGGTGTTACCATAATAACAGAATAATTGCAGTGTCACCAATGAAGATAGAAAGTAATAAAGATTGACTAGCTGGTTTATGCGACTTTAGTGAGAAATGAAAATAGTGTTGTGTGTAAAATGTTTTAAGTTTTCTAACAGTTTTGATTTGAACCATACCTTGAGGTAAAATAATTATAAATTTCATTTTAATATATCAATATTCTTATAATTTTGTTTTTTATTTAAAACCTCTTATTTCTTTTGGAAGTATCACTACAATATGAAATAATCTTCCAGGAGTTTTATAAGTAGTAAACATAGTAGGTATTACAATGTACTACTTTTAAACTATTTTGTGGCCTCCCCATTCGGTAGTATGTAATTTTTCTGTGACTGGAGAAATTATGGGAATTTTTTAATAATGCCTCAAATAAAAACGCATAAGTGGTCAGTAAAGGTGATGAAAAGTATTATGTCCTCAAGAAAGCTCTACCCTTCCCGCTTATCGTCACTGAAAGGTTAATATTTTTTTGCTAAATGTGAACTTTTTTTATTATTTAAATAAATTAAATCTCAATCTTATACATGTACTTTGTCATGTGAATTCTAATGCAACTTGAATTTACTTCATTTTTTATCTCTGCAAGTACTCAATTCATTTTTAATTATGAACTATGATTTAGTCGTATAAAAGTCAATAAAGAATTAACTCAAAATACAACTAACGCATTTAGAAACTGAATCATATTTTGTGGGTAAATGGTTGACTGTTGGTTTGATCAGTCAAATAAGAAGGCAAAAATAAATAATAATATTTATTTGGACATTTCGACCTGAAGTTCAGGCCATCATCAGGGCTAAGAAAAGAACCAGATAACAAGGTATGAGGAACATAAAAATTAATTTTTATTTTATTCATTTTTATTTTTAATTTAATTATTTTTATTTTCAATTTAATTTTTATTTATATTAATTTAATTTTTATGTTTCTCATACCTTGTTATCTGGTTCTTTTTTTAGACCTGATGATGGCTTGAACTTTGGGTCGAAATGTTGGCAAATGTCAAAATAAATATTATCATTTATTTTTGCCTTCTTATTTCACTGATCACCCCAACTATTCTTCTCTTCATGAATCATATTTTATTTATTGAACAATTAGCCTACTCTAGAAAGACTTTAATTATTTACTGCAAACATTTTATAAGTTATACCTGGGTCTTGTGAGGATGGTCAATAAAAAGCCTTTCTCTGTAGAAGACACCCAGAGGATTCGGGTCGAGAGTAGGAACCTGCCCCTGATCTCTTGGAAGAAGGCATTCGAGGGATTGAGCTAGTTCTGCGCGGAGGTGAGGATTGCTAGCTCGTCTTTTTGATCCCATCATGACCAGCAGCAGCGACAGAAGTGGCTCCATCAGAGCAAGACCACCCTCCTCGAGTGATTGTGGTGAGTAAGACTTCACCAACTTCAAATACCATGCAACACTTTCCACAACCAACTCAGGTATACACCTGCAAATATATAATTTTTTTTTATAAATCTAATGAATAAAAAAAATATAAATATAACCCTTTCAAAATGTTGTGAATTTAAACATAAAAACTAAAATCCTTTTGGTTGTTTGTTTATGGTAGGTAAAAACTGAACAGAACTACACCTTAAGGTCTTTGATATTAAATAGAATATTAGGCCTGATGATAATGAATCTACTGAGGAATTTAGAAGACTATAAAAAAATGTAATTTTATACGCACAAAGCTTATATGATACATGGGGAGAAAAGAATGAACAAACCAATTTTTAAAAGCATTTTTAAAGAACTAAATCATATATATATTTCGGGTCGTTTTCCATCTGAAGATCGGAAACTCTATTTAATTAGGTACTAAATACTCATGATTTACTTTCCACTCAAATCATAAGATAATATGATCACAAAGTAAAAAAAAAAAAAAAAAAAAAGGTGGCATACAAAAATATTATTGCATTCAGCGTGACTTCTAACCTCTAAATGTCAAATTAACTAAGTTATATAGGCCAAACGGCTCAATATTTTTGAAGGCTAAATTTTTTTTTGATCATATCACCTTACCATTGAAGTGGAAAGAAAATAGGTATTCATGACTTTTTAGTACCTAATTAAATATATAAAGTTTGCCGATCTCCAGATTGAAAATACCAAAAACCTGTACATAAAATATTTCTAGGTTACAATGAGATGAAAGTATTCCTGGATTGATGTTAATAATTTGATACAAAGAGGTCGTGTACCACAGACTACTATTTTGAGCCTTGTTCAACAATTTTTTTTTACTAGTTTTATGACCTCTGAGCAGTAGTAAACTTCAAATAACCCATTAAAGGTAGGCAAGGCAATTATCAAAGCAAAATACTTAAAACCTATGAGGGTAAAAGTTATATGTAAAAACTACAAATGCCTAATAACATAAACTTTTGGATAATTCCTGAACTTATTAAAAATACTAAGTATTTATAAGTACAGCAGTTAAGCAAACAAAGAAGAATATATTTTGAACTATTTAATAAAACAATAAAACACTTTTTATTCAACGAAAAATGATAATGAATGAGAAAAATAATGTAAAACATTTGTTTTTTTAATGATAGCCATAATGGAGATTACAATAAAGAAGAAAAAGATTAATGGTTACAAAGAGGTTAATGGAAACATCCCGAGTTAATTGCAAAACTTCAATAGCATAAATAGCATTCCATAAAATTACATTACTGTACTTGGATGAATTTTCCCTTTGCGGAACATCAGAACATTCTGCATGCTCTTAATATAACTTCATATGATATATAAAAGAGCTTATGTCATTTTCATGCACTTAAGAGTGTTTTAGTATCCATAAGGTCGAAATTCACATAAACATATTTAAAAATTGACATACATCAACAATGAACTTAGTAACTTTTTGCAATAAACAAGATAAATATATCTGTTTAAGTAATTTGCAAGAGGAAAAAATATTTGACTGTTATGAATACTTGAGTATCGGTGGTCCGTATTCTGGCAGAGGGAACGCCAGCTGCCGGTGAACTACTGGTGTATAAGAGTTCCTCTCCTCTGTAACGGGGTCGAGAATCACTTGTATCAGCCAAACTGATGTAGCCACTTCAAACTGTCCCAGCATCCTCACCATCGTTGGTTCAAGAAGAGCGCATCTCATACACAGGTACCTATCCAAATATAGACATACTTTTTTAAAAAACAAGACTATTGAAAGTAAAATGTACATCATAATAAACTACGAATCAATGTTTTTAAAAGTATTTTGCCCATGTTTTCATGAAGATTTATTTGTTCAGTGTTCCTAACTTTTCTACCAAAAATATCATAGTTGGATAGAATCTCATATGTGAGTTTTTTAACAAATGTTTATTATGCATGTATTTAACTATTACAGTATTATTTTTCAAGGGCACTCAATGTTCTTATATAGGGTGTCTTCAAGGAATATATACACCCTTATACTTTAAAGATTTATTCAACATTCAATGACGTTTCGAGCTAATTGGCTCATTTTTAAGTAATAAAAAATTCAAACAAAAAATTGTTATCTATGAAAAACAAATTTCTATATTATAGTTTCATTAATTATTCATTTCTGGTACACTAAATACAAAAAACTACACTATTCATCATCTCATTTTATGCGCATTTACTCAAATGCTTGTCCATTGCCGAAACTCAATACTACATTCTCCTATTGTTTAACATTTATGACATTGTTTAACAATGTCAAACAATACAAGGAGGATATAGTACCGAGTTTCTTATATATATATTTATATTTGGTGAACATCTCACAGACAAAATTAATTTTTTTTCTTACTCAAGGCCTTGCTAAAAAGCAATTTTTTGACTTAACAGAGGTTAAAACTTGAAAATTTCAATATTGATCATTATTTTCTGTGATTTCTTTATTGCTATTGAAGAATTTTTAGCAAAACTACATAAAATGTGGAGAACTATTTTATTGAGTATAATAAAAGACCCAAAGAGGTATTTTATAGAATATAATAAAATAATGAGATTATTATACACAAACCTGGACATTTCCATTTCCATTCTTTCTCGGAATGTTTCAATTATTTCCTCCCTAGGTTGAGATCTTGCCTCGTTCAAGGCCCGTTGTAGCCTTCCTATTTCCTGGTATAATTGCTGAGTTCTTTCAAGTAAAACCCGAACGCTGAGGTCTAATGCTCTATAAATATAAGCATAAAATCTAAATTAATCCAAATTAAAAAAAAAATAATGTAATTTTACATCATAAAGTTGTAATATAACAAAAAAAAACCATACAAATTTTTAATTTTCAAATGGATTTCAGCAATAAACAATAAAATCTGGTGCGCATAACACACAACATTCACTAACCACTCAACTTTAAATAGAAATTATTTTGGCAATGTTGGGCAATTATAAAATGTTTGAAGTGCATTTTTAATGGAGCTACAGCTTAAGGCTTACAGCTAACAAATCATGAGGACCATTAAAATAACAAAACCCATATTAATTATATCAATGGTAGGCAATAAATTTCACATACATAAACAATTTTGCGGGACATTGTCATTTGGACTCAAGGGAACTCAAAACGTGTATTTCCCTTGAAAACTCATCAGATTCAAAAATTTTCACGATTGCAATACTTATCCTTACTATATATTAAATATACAGGTAAGTGAAAGTAAAAATATCTATTCAATTTATAACTTAATTAGTTTTATAGCAAGCTATGATATTTCTGATATCAATATTTTTTTTTTATAAAACAAACAATAAATCACAAAATAAAATCACAAAGTTGATAATACTACATTCGACAAATCAAATCAATAATTATGTATCTGCTCATAGCGTCGGTTTAATACAAAAAGTAATTAAGAGGGCATTTATAACATAGGTTAACTTTCAAATATATTTTTGTGAATTTCGACTTTATTTATCAATGAAACTTCATATAAATGACACAAATCCTTGGATTAGTCTACAAGTAAATGAAGTATCAGCATCTCATGATTTGAAGGCAAGGAGGTTAAGATTAAGATTAAGGCAGGGAATGTAGCACAGATTAATCCACCCGGAAACCCAAAAAGCAGATGGATAGATCGAATCAACAGAGATATAATAGAGCTGCGAGCAGATAACAGGAAAGAATTAGCCCAAGATATTTCTCTTCCAGAGATGGAGTAGGGTTGCTAAGGTGGTAAAAGAACTACAAGATCTGTAATGCTAACAGAAAAGAAATAATAAATACAATTTTTATAAGTTGAAATTATTTTTTTAAAAATATTATACAATTAAAAGTATAGAAAAACACAATCAAATTGGTGCCCGTCACTTGATTATTAACCTACAGCAGTCTCCTCGAGAAGAAAAAATGTTCATGCTCTTGAACTAATAGATAAATGTAATTCTCATTCAGATCAATTTATGTATGACTATATATTATTTTTTACAGAACATATGGTTTCAAATAAATAAATATTGTTACAGAATTTTTTATTTTTCCTTCCATAGTTGGAATATGCAAGGATGATAAATTCAAATAAAAATAATTAAATCACACCAGCTAATTACTAACACACTTCAATAAAATCATTAACCAGACATTAACAAAATAAACAGAAAGAGAAAAATAATCCTTATAGAAACATTTTCAATAAAATCTAACCTAAGAGTTTTTAAAAACAATTTAAAGATCATGAATAATCAATAGATAGTTAAATACCTATGAGTAAGAAAAAAACATTCAGTGATAAAAGAGAACGGAACAGTTGAAAGAGGTTTCTTCTCTCCTGATTCAGTTGGTTGTAAACATGTTTCGTTATGCAGAGTCGTGCAATGAACTCCAGCATTATCCATCGCTTCTTTGTTTGTTCTGTCCACCTGAAATAATATTATAATTACTTATAAGATTAATTTTTTAATACAATATTTATATATCCTTTATTTTATTTTCTATTCTCCTCTGCCTAACAGACAAATCTATATAAATAAAAATGTAAATGTTTGTTTGTTCAAAACCGCTAATCTCCGGAACTTCTCCATCGATTACTTTGGAATTTTGACATAATGTTTCTATCAGATTCAGGAGTATTTTTATATACATTTAATTACCATCTGGCCTTTCGTTTACCAGAAAGGAGGCTGAAAAACGTTTGTCGCTATAGACTGTAGCGCCTAAACGGCTGTAACAATTTTAATTAAACTTGGATAAAGTCTTCTCCATGAAGCCCTTTTAATTTATGCATATAACATTGCTTCCCCGAAAAGAGTATGAAAAAAAGTTTACAATGGATTCAAGACTATATTTTTGAATAACTCAAAAAATACACAATTTTTGTATATCCAAAAGTAATGTATTAAGTATTCGGTAAAACAAATATTTATTTATTAATGAAATTTACAACTGTACAAATTAATATACATTCAGTAAATGTGATACAAAGAAAAATATGACATGACAAGGCTTGTAGAGAATCTACCCATTGGTAGCACTCTAATAAAGTATCTAAGTTAGGAGATCATGAGGCCATTTTCTTTTCAGATGCCTACGAGGGTTATCAGGGATCGAGGAGGAAGCAAGGTTAGAAACGAGAGGATTAGGATGGTTATGAAGTTTATTATGGAAGGATAGATATCTGGATTGGGCCAAATCGGGATCCTTCGATGTCGGCTCTTCCTATCATTGCGAAGCAGACTTCGCCAAAAGTAATGTGAAATAAAATATACTAGAAACATCTGCTTCCTTTTTTATTTATTTTTCTATTCAACCATACTGTGCCACAGCAACGCGTGGCCGTGCACAGTTAGTAATAAATAATATGTAAATAATAGGGAAAGCAAGATTACAGGCTTATTAGTATTTACTGAGTGAGAATTCAGTTAATAAATATCTAACCTTTTTATTATTGCAGTTTTAATAAGATAATAATTTTTGATATTAACTTATACCATTTCTGAGTGAAATTACATTTAATTCAATATTTTATTCATCAAAATTTATCTCTCCTGAGAGTCGGTAAAGAGATTTATACTACCATATTATAAATAGTATAGAAATTACTATATAATCATAAAGACTGATTATTAACAATTTTAAATAATTAGTCATAGTGATAATTAAACCTGTGATATTTTAAAAGCCAACAATGGGCAATACCATATTAAACAAAGAAATAAAATGTTTAATAAATATTGAATTCGTAGCCTCTTATTATATTATAGTTAAAAAATATCAATACCTTAAAAGCAGGATATGTAGGATCAATTTTGAGAAGTTTTCTCTGATCTTTAACAAAAGGCTGCGAAAGCCTCAATAGAACTGATGCCAGATTTATAGAGAAGCCATCACTGACACATCCCACCTAAGAAAAAAGAAGTTTATCAATAAAATTAATAAATACTTCACCATAAAATATTTAAAATAATTATATATAACTATACTAATAATAAAAAAATTATGTATTAATACAGTTACACCAAAAAAAAAAATGCTGCAAATTATTTCACAATGGTTTATTATTTCCAAACAATTATACATCTAAAGTAACATTACCTTCCGAGTTACAAAGAAAAAAAAAACAAAAGGTGATTCCAATTATTGGACTAAACTGTTTTTCTTTAATCATTAGAAATATGCTAAAAAAAAAATAGCATTAGTTCAGTAATATTCAAAATTTAAAAACCAAACCAAGGATATAACATTTGGAGTAGAACATATTTAAAAAAACCGGAGACCATATATTTGCTCCTAATTGTCCGATTTTAACTATTTTTTTTTTTTTTTTTTTTTAGAAAATTTTGTAAAGTTTTAAAAAACTAATACAAGTGCATACTTTTTGAGTTATACGAAATTTAATTTTACCATCCCTCGTAACTTTTTTTCCAGTTGGAAAAAAAGTTACGAGGGATGGTAAAATTAAATTCCGTATAACTCAAAAAGTATGCACTTGTATTAGTTTTTTAAAACTTTACAAAATTTCCTAAAAAAAAAAAAAAAAAAATAACTTCTTTTCGTTGAAGTGTGTTATATAGATAAATTTAAAGGGCGTTGAAAAAATGACTTTAGCGAAGTTTCATTGAAATCTGTACATTCGTTTAGGAGCTACAGTCTATAGCAACGCAGGTTTTTCGGTCGCCATTTTGAAAGTAAAAGGCGGATAATAATGTCGATGAAGGAGGATCGTCCTCGGGTGACCTCTGATTTTATATCAAAATTTGAAAAAAAATCGATCAAGTAGTTTCAGAGAAAATGCCCTGAAACGTGAAACCTCAAATTTTGAGAGGGGGTTAAGTTTTTGAATTTTTTGGTCGATCACAATGGTTAATTATTGAAAATAATAAATCAATATACGTTCACATACATCTGTCACAAATATTTCTTTTACAGGAATGGAGATTCTTGGAAATCCTAATATTGTTTATCTTCATAAAAATAAAAAAACAAAAACCAAATTGAATAACAAAACAAAATTTAAAGAAAAGCATATCCATCATGAACTTTGTATTCTAACTAAAGATGATTATTTAAACATTTTTGTTTCATAAAAATATTTAAAAGTGCAATCTCATGTAACACACAGCCTTAATAATATTAAGAAATACTTGACAAAATTTTAAACCTAAAAAACATTAGAGGTTTGACTTGCATTATGATTATGCATTAAGAATATGATTTAATTATATATTTGATTATAATTTACTTATATTATTTGGATATCAATCGATCATACCATTAATTATAACAACTAATATTGATTCATCACGATACAATTCTTGTTAACTTTATTTGGTTCGGCTGGAAACATTTTCCAGAGTTAAAATATAAAACAAGAATTTAAAAAACTCAAGTATTTATTCAACTTATATATTCCTTTTTTAATTTGTACGAAAATTTTAATTACAAACTATAGTATAAAATCAACCGTACTTTATACATAAATTAATATTATAATTAAAATTAACATTTTTTCATTACTATTAAATTTTTTTTTGCAGTAAAGCTTCTGATATTGAGTTCTTTGAATTTAAAATATGTGTTTTTGGAACATTGTTTCCTATTATCATCTAGTTCCTAGAAATTTATTGACTCTTTAAACTCACAAGTGTTTTTGGTTTTCTCAGTCCATGTCTGAACAATTAATGAGATAGACATGAGTTTTGTATTTAAATATTACCTGAATTATTACTGAATTAAAAAAAAAATAATTTGAAGTTTTTAAAATTAATTTTTATATATAATACAAAAAAAAAAAAAGTAGTTTTTGTCCTTCAAGGAAATGTAAAAATTGCTGAAAGGTCATTTATCTGGACTAGGGATGGCTTAGGTTGGCCTGGATAGTCGAATTTATTTACAATATGACTGAATAATAGATAATATTTTAAGTTAAATAATTTTTTTTCCTATAAAATATAGATTACAGTAATTTATCACAGTACAAAATTATGTAATAATTGTTTTTAATTGCTCTATTTTAATTGATAACTAGATTTCTCTCTATTACATATAAAAAAACCCATAAAAGTAAAGAACACCGCCGCCATGCGGGTTTTCGGCTACTGCGCCCTAATTCCATTACCTAAATAATATTATTTCGAACTGTTAACGATGTAAGTTTTCAACTATTCTCTTTTTTAACAATTTCTGACTATCGTACATCTTTTTCATTTGTATAATCTGTAAAATGGGAGTTGGTCTGCTGTTATGTGGACAGGGAGGGGGAGGATAAATATAATACCCCTAGTATTATATATTTTATTAAAAGTTATCAGTCATCATTCACTATTTACTGCAATGAATCAATGAAGTTTTAATAATACATATGGCATTATTTTAAACTTTGCATTAATTATTTATATTCTTCCTTAACAACATTCTTACAATTTGTGAGCCTTTGATAATCAATTTAAATAGTTAGTTCATCATGCACTAATAGAAATATGTTTTTTTCAGTCATGTTTAAGTAAATTGTTTATATTATGAATAAAACAATCAGGAAGAAAACAACTATAAAATAATATTAGCAGTTGGATAAGTTAAATACCGCTCCAGGTAGACCTAAACTTGTAGTTGCTGAGATACGACCTCGAGGAAGGTTGGAGTCTAAACAACCTCCTATCCACTGAAGAACTTTCTTCCTAAGATTTGGTGAACCACGAAGAATCTGTTCAATAAGACTATGAAACCTTTCACATAGTTCCCCCATGGCAGTCCATAGATTATTGTCTAATGCATTCAGAGCCTGAAAAAACATGGAGAGATATTACTATTTATTAACATAAAAGATATATTTAACTCTATACTTACAGCTTCTAAGGGGCTTTCAAAGTATTCGATAAATCCTTCCACGGTCTTTGGAAGACATGATAGATTAAGTATCACTCCAAATAGTGTCTCAGCGTAAGCTAATCCTCTTTCGGTATTAGCAGGCATAGAATATGTAACAACGACCTAAATTAAATAAATCATATATATTTCTCATGTATTTTGTATTAATCAAAATAATATGGTAATAAAAATAAAAACTGACCTCTGCCAGGGCTGGGATGGAAACGAAAGAACTTAACAAAATAAAATGAGATCGGGGAAAATTTATAACTAAGGCACGAGAAAAATCTAAATGAACTTCATTTAAAATAGGGCTAAATGCATCGTACAAAGTTCCTTCATCTTCGTTTAACATTAATTGGGCCAACTCATTAATAAAACTGGTAACTTCAGAAGTTTCTTCTAGTTCATAGAGTGTAATGACCTAAAAAACATAAATCATGGTTACCAATCCTCATTGTTCCCGACTTCATACAATAATCCACAAACTTCATGGTATATAACACACCTGTCTATAAATATTTTGCATTTCAAATAAAGCGGGTTGACGGAGAGCAGTGGAAACATTTTCCACTACATATGCAGTCAAGTTTTCTAAAGTTTCTATTGGAAGATTGTTTGTTTTGCTTCTTATCAAATGGTTCAATCGTTTGAAACATTCAAATAAATATAATATACTATGAGTTTGAATGACATGAGCTTCAGTTCTCTCATTTCTCAGTTTCACCACTTTGCTTTTAATTAAATGTTTTGAAGGATCAGTGAGTAAAATCCTTTCGAAAACAGAAAACTTAAGCGTGTCAATGTCGACAATCGCTGGAGTTCCTTCGATATATATTAATTGTCCTACTCGGCCTGATGTTAAAGAAACATTATTTTCTTGAAGGGTGATTCCAAAAACATCCTCAGCAATTTTATTGATCTCTTGAGAAATTTGTTCTTGTTCGGAATCACCTCTCTCCGGTGATTTTTCGGATTGAGTACTATTTTCCCCATCAGTGTTACCAAACAATTGGTAAAAGGGATTATTTCCATTATCTTCAGACATTTTTCGAAGAAAATAATTTTAGCTACATATATATGTAGAGGTTAGGTTTTAGATAAAAAGAAAAATATAAATAATAATAAACCACTTCCTGAGTCATTGAATATTGCACAACACAATCAAAATCACTTAATCAATAATTAACAAAATAAAAAAGACGAGCTAATTGCTGTCAAGCACTGTAAAACAACTTCTGAAGGTTGTATTCAATATTTACATGTATGAACGATCCATTAAGTGTTCCATGTCTGATATGAAATTAGAATAAAGGCGATTTGTAGGCTCGATAACTAATTAAACGATTGAAACTAGGTATATCACAGTTTATCGAAAAAGGAATGTTCTCTTAAAATGATATTCATGATTTAAACGTATACTAGCACTACATTGGCGCCTGAGGCGCTAATGTCTAGCAGCAGATTCTCAGATTTTGTTGATAAGGTAGGTTATCAGTTTTTTCTTTATCACTTCTCCGTTCTTACAGCCCGTACTTGACAATTTCGTCATTAATTTCAATCCGAAAGGACTTTATTTGAATTTCAAACTGAAAATCTTTGATAAATACGAACTGAAAAGGAAACATATTTGCTCCAAGGTCTTTCCTTAACAAGGACGTTTTAAGTTGCCAAATTACGCTAGCTCATCTATTTTCTTCCCCTAGAAATTCTCTTCTTTTTATTTTGTTACAATAAATAAATAGGTAATTTAAATAAATCAATATTAATCCGTATAGAAAACTGAGATCACCTGACCTCATAACCGAAAGTAGTTCATTAGTAATAATAATAATAATTTAAAATAATAAATAATGATAGTTGACAAAAAAAAAAAAAAAAAATGATGTATCTCAAATTTATTTATCTTTAAATTGAGTAATTCTTGACAGTAAATACATATTTAATAAATTACCTATTTAATTAACGATTGTACCTAATTGTAAATTAACAATCGTATGAACAAATTGGTAAATGTAAAGCAATGAAAAAGTTGCAAGAGATTCATAAATTGTATCATCACAATTTTATAAGCAATATTTATCAAAATTATTGATGACTTGTCAATTCATGAGTTGAACGATAAGGTCATAATGACTTTTATTGGTGGAGGGGGAGAGTGAAAGAAGGGGTGGTAGAATTAAGTCTACCCCCCTTCCGGCAAAAATCATATTCTTGGCCCTATTTATAATTTCGCCTCACATACCCTACAACAGTATTTAACAAGATTACATGACTGGTTCAAAATTTGGAAAAACCGACTAAATCAAGACAAATCGCAGCACACCACATTTACGCTTCGACATGAAACATGCCCTCCAGTTTTCCTTGACTACACACAGATTCCACAGACAGACACCGTTCACTACCTTGGTCTGACATTTGACAGAAAAATGACGTGGAGCCCACGTATAATAAAGAAACGAAAAACGCTAAATGAAAGGTTAAGAATTCTAAGTTCACCTCTTTCGAAAAATTCAAAACTAAAACTTAGACAGAAATTGAACACGTACAATTACTTACTAAAACCTATTTGGACTTACGCATCACAGATATTTGGAACTGCTAAAAAGACTCACTTAAACAAAGTTCGAATCTTTCAAGCAAAAACATTCAGAACAATTACAAAAGCATCTTACGTTAGCAACATAACTTTACATACTGACCTCCATATGCCGACTGTTAACGAACATATACGAACTCATTAAAACGATTCCATGACAACTTACAAGGACATCCTAATACACCTATAAATGACATGGCCACTACGAATATGGCAGGTAACGACTGTAGGAGACTGAAGAGGAGCTGGATGAGGGACCTCCTCGCCTAATGTAGATATCACGCCGAGTGAGGTGCCGCTGGGCACTGATCCTCCTCATGCCTTTCATGACATTATATTTTGCAATCGACCTCACATTCACTGGTTGTCATTACCATTATGACAGGTGTAAATAAAAAATTAAAGCTAAAAAAAAAAAATTAAAATTTATTGAAAAATTCCTTTTCATACTTGAATACTTCAATCATAGTGATATTGATTTATTATTTTCAATAATGAACCATAGCAAACGACAAAAAAATTCAAAAAGTTAATACCCCTCAAAATTTGAGGTTTTACGTTTTACGATACCTTGATCCTGAAAATCCAATAAAAAAGAATTTTGTCTATTCATAGGCCACCCCTTTTCTTTACGAGACTACTTGGCAGAATTTTTTGATTTTCGAAATTCGGAAGTCAGTGGTCACCACTAGCGGATCCAGCAGGCCGCGCGCCCCCCCCCCCTGGAAGCTGGAAAAAAAATTAAAAAAAAAACCATTTAAAGAAAAAAGAAATGTAGGGAAAATTCATCCTCATAGATGAATTCCCAATGTAGTAGAAAAAAAAAACTATCATGACCAACACTAGCGAATTCTGCCATGGCCGCGACCTCCCTTGGATGGTGGAAAAAATTCCGAAAAAAAGTTCCAAAAACACCTATTTAAAGAAAAGAGAAATATAGGAAGAATTCATCCTCATAGATGAATTCCTAATGCAATGGAAAAAAATTATCGTGACCAGCACTAGCGAATTCAGCCAGGGGGTGCGCCCTTCCTTGGATGGTGAAAAAAAAATTCTGAAAAAAGTTCCAAAAAACAACAATTTATATTAAAGAGAAAATTCATCCTCATAGACGAACTTTTTAATGTACTATTAAAAAAAAATATTATAATGACCATTTTTATTAATCTTACAAAATTATTATAATGACCATTTTTATTAATCTTACAGTTTATCATATTACCAAGCTGTGGCGCACGGCGAAATTTTGTGAAACCAAGAATAAAATGTAAGAGCAAAAGTTGGCTCCTTAGTTGAAGTGATGTAGTTTTTGGGCCACTATGAATTGCGAATGCTTGTGCTCCAGTCGTAGTTTGTTCCTACTCACTTTGAACTGATTTTCGCAGGTGAAATACACGATGGAGGAAAATTAATTAATAAAAAAACTTTATTTATTCTTTCGAACAAGCTTTTGACTTTACTTATTCAAGCCAAAAAAAGTCCAGTTTTTCTCCTGGACCCAGTTTTTATTCAGTTACAATAGATCTCGACGCATTGCAATCTCCATCAACTATTGTCTCCTTGAAGAATCCATGGGATGCATAAAACTGGTCACAATAATAATTTGTATATTTCTCATTAGAAAGTGATATTCTTTTCTTAAAATACTGAACTATTTTTCAATCCCCTCCAATAAAAAGAAACAGTTTTAATACAATATTTTCAGAACTACATTAACAAACGTCACTACCTCATAACATTAATCTCCAGGTATAATAAAAATAAAATTTCCCAATAAATTCGCTTTCTGGTATAAGTAAGTGCTCCCTTTGTCAGTATCTACCCTGAACTTCAGGGATGTCCACCCCCATACCCAAGATCGATGGCGAATAAATCAACACCTCTCCCTCCCAAGAAGTTTTAATACTCACCTCTTCTTAAAAATACGCAAGCAAAAGTAGAATTTGAAAAATCATAAATAATATACAATTAAACTTGTAGTCTGGCCCATGCTTTTTCCTTTGTCGCCAGGATTGAAACATTTCATTCAAAAAATTCATAACCCTGTAGAAATTCAGCCCCCCTCTAACATTGAAAAATGTGTAAAAATTTGCTCCCCTAAAAATTTTGATGGCGCAAACTTATGCCAGGAAACCCCCTTCTGGACACCCATGCTGAACATTACCAATATTGTTAAGAATTTGTTGGCTCAGAGCACCTCAACCCTTAATAGAATCTTAAAATAGAACCTCCAAATAGAATATTCGAAAAACAAAGCCAACTTCATTGGGCTAGTTCCTAAACTTAGCGCTGAGATCATTGGAAATCCACCAGGCCCTAATTCCTAAACTAGGTGCTGAAAACATTTTTGAGCATAGGAAATCCATAAATGGATTAGCGCTGAGTTTAAGAACTTGCACTTACCTCTTAGTTTACTAGACCACGATCAACAAAATATAGAACATGTTCATATAAAGCATAATTATAAAAAAAAAAAAAGTCAAGAAATATTATTAGGGACTGGGTGTGCAGCACTGGATAGCTATTCACGGATGTAAGTTATCACAAAATATTAACTTATTTACAGATGCTCTAATGATGCCTGAATTGGCAACAGTTAAAAATAAATTGAATTTATGACAGAAACTTGTTAAGATTAATACCTTATTTATACTTCAAATATAGTCTCCTTCCGGTTATCCTCTTTGATGAAACATTTACTTAAAATTTTATTATGAAAAAGTTGTCTCAATCAACAAGAAATATGGTTGGAATGAGAGAAGAGTTATCATGGCATAAGAATTGCACCTCTGATTTTCCAGGTTTAAAAATAATACCAGTCAAGGGAGAGACAGCGCAATTATTATATTTTATTCTTTGGAGGAGATAAACTTTTAACTGAGTATGAATTTTTGGAGAGGATCATACTTTCGTGAGGTTTCAAACTGGGATAACTTTCAAACCAGGGAACAATGTAACAAGGTAAAAAATAAGCCAGAGAACTAGTGTAATTGTTTATAAAATACATATTTATAATTCTAATTTCACTTGCACCGTCGGTAAGAAGAGATCAGTAAAATGTTAAAGCTTTTAAGTAAATACATGACTAATAATTTTGAATGCTCTACTAATCAGAGAAAAAAGGGCAATGCAAATTATTTGTTAAAAGAAAGAAAAACCATTAGAGAATAAAGAATGCTACAAAATGTGGAATAGCATACACCCTGGTATGGTTCCGTTATAAAGACTTTTTAATCTAAAATGAGCAAAAGTTGACTCATATGATCTACATATAACCAGAATAATGAAGGCATCCATAAAAACTTTATTCTCCAACTCATTATAGTTTTGGGTGGATCACAGCTGTCCACTTTCTTTCACTGAACAGATGAACTAACTCTACAATGCATCCTTTATTAATGAATTCAATCAAAAGTAGTTCAATTCAATCAATGAAGTTAAAATTTACAAAATAATTTTATTAAACACTTTAAATCATGCTAAAGTTTTATGAGTATCGATATTTGACAATTACAGAATCAATACAAGTGATATAAACATCCATGCACGGACGGCTATTACTATATATTAATGCTTTATACATATGTAGACTCTTTAAGGTGATGCATAAATGAAAAAAACATTTAAGGGAAATAATAATATATTTATATATTCTTAAAAAAAAAAAAAAAAAATACTGATCAGTTACACTATAAAAAAACAATCTGATTCGTTTCGGACATTAGAAAAAAAATGTCTTAATATATATATGTTTTTGTTTCTTCATTGTTTTATAGCACTTAATGGAACAAAGGTATAAAATATTATTCGAAAAAAATTTGTACAAATAACTTTAGATGAATAACACTGATTAAAAATTTTAAAGTCATGTTTCTTCTGGCTGCCAAATTAGTTTTAACGACAACAAATAATCGTATATTTTTCTAGTTTTATTAACGTCTATTTTTATAAGTGTTCGTGCTTGGGCCAGTTTTAGCCCATCATGCTTTTTACATTCAGTAATTAATAATTCTTTAAAGGAATTATAGGTTTCTGGAACTATCCTATTAGTTGAGCATAGCAATTTTTCATCTTCACTCAGAAGATTATACCTAAAACCAATATAAAAAAAAATGAAATAAGAAAACTTATAATTTAATATATATATTCTTATATTTCAGAAAATGTATAAAACAAATACTAACCCAGGGAGGTTTTCTAATGCTAAGGGTTGCGTAGGTTTTCTCTGCGGAGCTTTATCATCCAATCGACACATATTGCGCTCATATTGAAGTTCTGCATGATATTTGAGTCTTTTATTTTTTAATTTTTTGTAAATATCAATCGTGTCGAGATATATGAGACCATTTCTTCTGTAATCAATAAATGAACTGAGGTTAATCCGGATTTCATTTTGGTATTTCAATCGTTCGACTAAGAAATCAAATTCAGGACCGCTTAAAAACCTCATAACCGGTACTAATGCTTTTAACGTCTGTTTGCCAAACGGTACCTAAAATATCAAAGATGATCAAATTTTACTTAAATTAAAATCAAATCACAATATATAACCAAATATCAAATTTCACCTACAGACATTTGAAATAGAAGTTCAGAACGATAATTAACAGCAACAATGTATTAAATGAATCTTGATAGTCTATGAAATGAGAATAAAAAATTACACAGAATTAATTTAGACCCTCTTTTTTTTACTACTTTTAGCAATATTTTTCTAATCAATTCCTCGTTTATCTTATTACAGGTTGCTATAGAAACTAGGCTTCAACTCTAATACGATTAGAGATACACCTTAAAACTAATATTTTCAGATATTTTTTCTATCACAAGGCTGATTTTTTCGGTTCAAAATATTACATGAAAGCACCCTTTGTAGGATGGTAAAGTGGACATTGATAAGCAGATTATAGATAGATAGTGGTCATTGCTTAGTACAGATACAACTAGCTTTATTATTCAACTTAAAAAATCAGACAAAATGGAGTGTATTAATTAAATAAGAACAAAAATCTGCTAACTTTCTGCCTTTGTAATACAAATGAAAATCATTAAATTTAAGTCTAACATTTTTGTTTTTAAATATTTTATACTGGGATGATAAATAGGAGTTGTTTAGCAGTTTATTACAGGTATATTGGAATGTACAATCAAGTAAAATTGCCATGAAGAATGGAAATGTTTACCCTTGGTCTGTCGTCGGTCAGATCAAAGACTTCAGTTATGCCTAGCATCCTCAGAAAAGCATTACACTGAATGAATGCTCGTTGATAGGCAAGTTAACAATGGAGAACACCATACTGGCCCATCTACAGCTTTTTTTTAGGTTACATTGAGCCGTGAGCTGACAATAGAGCTCTGACTGTTGAGTATTTATTCCAATGTTGAAAATAGGAAAGAAAAAATGAATATTAAAACTCAACACCATCCAAAGAAATATTTTAAATACAGAAAACATTCCTTTATATTAAGATAACAAACTTAATAGAACTACTTTACAAGTGTTATTTCACATTGTTTGATGGACCAAAGATTTACTAACCACTTATCTAAGGGAAGACAACCACTTATCAAGTACATGTATGACAGTAGGCAAAATTAAAATTCATAATTTAAACAACCTACGACTAGGACTAATATTATTCATAAATTTAAACTTCAAAGTATTAACCTCTAATCTTTGGAGCATCGTATATGTTTTTCTCCTGTCCACAAGCCCATGATTTCTTACAATACGCTTGCGATAGTTTCTTTCATCTAAGCACGAGTTGTAAGACTGCAACAGAGCCTGCTCCATTTCAGCAATTAAGTCAGAATCTTCATCAGCTACTGGCTCTTCTTGTTGATTCATACTTATAAGTTTAAGGATACTTTCAGCATTATCGTTATATTCAACAAGAAAATCAGAACGAATGTTGCTGTAACCAGTACAAGGCACAGAGCAAGTCAAGTTTTTCACATGAGGAAATTCACAAGTGATGGGTCTTTGTTCTCTCCATTTCATAGAAGCTAACATATTATTCATTTGCCAAACATGAACAGAACTACTTATGTCAGGACCAGCATTTTTGATTTGGATTTTACAATTATTAGAACAAAGAGGAGGTTCTCTTATTCCATCAAAATCTTTAGCAAACTTATCAAAATAGTGCTTCTCACATTGTGATGGAGTGTAGGGTTGTACAAGACTAGCTATATCCTCCCAGTTACCTAGGCCGCAATTACTTATTGCATTCAATAATTTTAACTCATCCTCTACATTCCAATTAACATTTGACTGTTTTTCAATCATTTTTGATGTATGAATTGCAGGCTGGTTAGTGAAAATATTCATAATGAAACACCACCAACTATCATGGCATAAAATCAATGCCTAGAAACTTTCGAACATAAAAAAAATCAACACAGAATATGCATATATAAATTGTTGGTTTCATTCTGGTTATTGACTGTCCTAAACCTCTGTAGAACAAATTTATCCACTGAGAACTTCGACTACTACCTAGTCAACAATAGCACGTTGACATTGGAGAATATCATAGAACAGAAAATTATTAACACACCAATACATAACGTAAACAACTCACTATCAGAAAATATCGCGTTATGGGAAGGTTACAATTGTTTTTGGAAACGGTACTGAGCATGCGCAGTTCTGAAGTATGTATATTCCACACTTGTTTTTGATATTTTCCATCTGAGTTCTGTATCAAGAAAAATAAAATAAATAGTTTGATTTAGCATTAATGTTACTGTCAATTAAGTTAGCTAGTTGTGTTTCCCATAGTTCGTGAAATGTTTAAACGTACCCTAACGATTAATAATTTTTTTGATTGATTATTTGTTTATTGATAAATATTACAATCTGTCTTAATAAAGGACATTTATTATAGAGTTCTGAGAGCACATTCACACCATATTTACAAATTCAAAAAAAATAAGCTAATTTCAAATAATATAAAGCTATAAAAGAACAAAATAAAAGTGAAGGAAGAAAATATAAATAATATAAATAATAGATTGAAAATAAATGAATAAAATAGAATTAAAATTATTAATAATTAATCTCAATTAATATTCTTGTTGTGATTAATTTAATGATTATTATATTATATAATTTAATGAATATTGAACGTCTATTTTTTTCTCTTATTAAATGAATTATCATAGAGTTATTAAAAATTCACAATTTATTTTGTATTTGGAAGAACAAACTATCTCCTAATGCCTAGAACTTGCTAACTTCCACCAAAATGAAGTATTTTTTGCAATTATTTGAACATTCCCACTTAAACCTCTTTTTATCAAAATGAAAAAAAAAAAAAATTTACAATTGGTTTTGAATTAACATGATAGAATTTGCAACCACTATCGATGGAAATGTTTTAGAACTTTTGGGTTTTTATTAGATAAATAGATGCTGCTAAATAAATTTTACTTTGAATTTTATAAAAATGTTGAGTTTAATAATTAAAATGATACTATTACTGTGTGTATTAAATAATTTTAACCAAGCCAAAAAAGACCGTATACTTTTCAGTATTATATGGATTGATTTAATTTATTTTTTATAATATCCTAATGTAATATCACAACTAATGAATGGCTTACATATTTAAATATATAAAGAACAAAGAAAATGTTATAACCCTCAATATTGTTATTTGTTATCAATATGAGATTAAAGTGAGATCCCTAGAGCTTATCACAATTTTTAGAATTTTCATAATATATTTTATTAGATTATTATAAAAATAGGACTATAAATAAACCAAATGTAAAAAATGAAAAACATTTTTTAGACCAGTTATTTTTGTTAAAATATTTCAGTGATTTTTTAAGAAGTTTGGTTTATTATGTTTTCTAATAATCTATCATTAGTGAATAAGGACCATGATTGAATTAAAAAAAACAAAGAAAGTTTTGTTAACTAAATATAATTATCAACAAAACATTACAATTATATATACATATATTTATATTCATATGATGCCATTCACTATTAACTTACTTTGTTTCACACATATTCAGTCTTAACTGTTCTGTTTACAACTTAGCTTTGAGGTTATCCATTTTACTACCTGCTTTTTTCAACAATCCTGTGATTTTCATAGCCATGCCCATGTTTCCTGTAATTTTTATTTTTCCCTGAAAGTAGGCTTTCTGTGGATTGAGTTTACCAGACAACAGATCAATGACATCTTCATCGTTAATAATAAATGTGACATCTGGCTTTTCCTTTCCATTGAATGTAACAGAACCTTTACCAGTCGAAGCGTTTACAGTCCATATAGCTTCCTTTCCTTCTTTATTTTTGACTTTGAAATTGTAGATTCCTCGAGCCTTTTCGATAGTTCCATCTGTGTCTTCTTTGAGGATAAGATCCAATGTCTTGAAGACACCGGAAGACTTGAATGCCGTAGAATCATCAGCTGAGCTTACCAGTCTCATAGAGAGACCCGAATCCAGTGGGCTGAGTAAGCAAACTTCCGAAGATCTCTTCATGGCGTCCAACGTTAGACTGAGCTCAAGCTGCGATAAACGATAATTTATGTCTACGCAATCTAATCTCGATGACAAGCGGATTTTCAAGGTGTTTCTCACTGGTTTTTCTACAGGGGTCAAATTCTTTTTATCCTTTACCATATGCAACAATAAGAAGACATTTAAGAATAATGTATGGTAATTTTATGAGCATGAAATAACTACAAAATGTTACAAGGATTTCTGTCATTGATAGTTTTATATCGATAGTATTATCAAGATAAACGAAAACGAATCGAGCATATTTACCAGTTACATCTTAGTTATTGTTTTCGTATTCAGATAATCGTAAAAACAAGATTCGATTACTTAATAATTCTTTCGCTATCATTTATTTGTTTTCAATTACATACATATCTGGATATTATTCTATGATATTAGTCCACTTAATATTATTATTGTTTATTTATTTTTAAACGGTAATCGCTAATCTTAAATTACGTCATGAAAACTATAAAAATTCTGAATGGTGTGAAGATAGTTGACCGTGATTATAATATGAAGAGTTGGTTGAGGGAGGGGAGGAGGATGCGGTCATATAAATACTATATTATAAGGATAGTATTTTATTCATTTCGCTGACGTTTCAACCCATATTGCTGGTCTTCATCAGGGCTTCAAAATAAAATAAAAGAATTATAGATATTGAATAAGAAACAGTTGTCTGATAAAAAAATACTAAGATGACATCAGAGATATAGTGGGTGATAGTGTTGTTAAAATATCAAGTATTACGTATATAGAAAATACAAACAAAAATAGAAAATAAGTGTGAATAATAATATAAAACAAAGCGTAATACAATACTATTCTTATAATATAATATTTACATGACCGCACCCTCCAACCAACTCCTCATATAAAATTCTGAATAAAATAAGAACAACTAAACTCTTTCGATTCGGATGTTTGAACATCTGAATCAATTAACATGAATTTTAAAGTACAATGAGGCACTTGTGGATCCAGGATTTAATTTTGTGTGGCTTCATTCCGAAGTTTATATACATACATACATATATAATAATTACTTTAGAAGAAACTAAGTACCTATATGAAATGGTATTTAAATGAAGTCCTATAAAATTTAATTGCACGAATATTAATACTTTTAAGATAAATTTTTAATGAGATATGGTTATATTTCACAATTTTGGAGGGGGGTTTCAGCCGAAAGCCCCTCCCCTCTCCTTGGATCTATACTTTAGAGGAAGATATGGTAATGTTGGGATTTTACAAAGGGAAAATTCATCAAATTATTCGCTAATTTAATTTTCTAAAATGTTACATTGAAAATTTTCGGAATAAACGTTGATATCTAATTATTTAAATATAATGTTAGATCTATAATCACTAAATTACAGTAAATATATTTAAGGTCATGAACATATGCTTTATACATCCATGAAATAATTTTATATTTTACTTCTTCTTTCACACAAGTACAATGAAATAGTTTTTTTGACAATGCTATTGCCTTGATTAGGTGGATTTTAAATACTTTCTACAAGCTTAAAAATATTTTTTAAAGTTTACATTTAGTTAATAAATTTCATTCAATTTCCTTGAAAACATGTGATTTACGTTAAATATTACCAGTTTTCAAAAATTATTATTCATAATTTTTTCGCCACTTTCCGTTACCTTCTACAACTTTCTATATTAGATAATGTTTTTTTTTTCTAAAATTCTCCGCTTTCCAGCGGTGTATTATAAGTATACCTTTTGACTTGTATTTCCGGAGATTCATTTTCGACCCGTATAAGCATTTTTATTTTTTTCTCCTTTATTCAATTATCAAATTCTTTAAAAAGTTTATTAAGCATTTTTTCGTAACTTTTAATAATGAGAGATAGTTAATTACTTAAAATAAACCATATTAAAGGTACTTTAGAGGAAGACGCATATGAACATGGGCATTTAAGCCCTGTAAAGTGACATCAACGGGAATAATTATTATACAATGATACTTAATTATACAGTGATACACCGAGTTTAATCAAAATCGTTAGAGCTGTTTGTGAGAAAATTGTAAAAATGTAATCTGAGGCATATATCTATCTTAAATATGTAATATCAGTTTCGTACTACTTTTCGGTTTCGACCTGGAGTGTTCACAGACACACAGACCATTTTTCGGGACTAAGTTGTTACCCCGTGTAGGTCGATTCATAATTGTGGGTTTATGGTTGACTGTAGTGAATAATTGAAGAGAAGAATGGTTGGAGTGATCAGTCAAAATAAAAATAGCAAAAATAAATAATAATATTTATTTTTACATTTGCCGACGTTTCGGCCCGAAGTTCAGGCCTTCATCAGTGCTGTTCAATCCGACAAACGTGTCCAGACAGAGGTGTAGTAGCGAGAGAGGGGGAGCTTTAATAATAATAATAATAATGATAATAGTCTGACTCGATATCTAGATATTCTGAAACAAAAGCTGGCAGTTTACGCCAGCAGATTGCGCAGATATAGTGAGGCAGCTTTACGCAGGAAACAAAATCAGCTGTTCAAGCAGAATGAACGTCAGTTTTATAGAAACCTTGTAAAAGAAGAAAAAATATCGATCAAATACCCTGATGACATTGAAATCCATTGGAGAAATTTATGGGAAAAATCGGGGAATCACCTCGAGAGTTCTTGGATACAAGAAGAACTGCAAAGTCTTCAGAATGTCAATGGAATGATGGAAGTGACCATAACTGTGGAAGATGTTTCGGAAGCGGTCAGAAACATGAAAAATTGGAGGGCACCAGGACCTGACGGAATCCAAAATTACTGGATTAAAAGATTTCATTGCTTCCATGAATTGCTGGCCAAAGGTTACCAGGAAATACTTGAAGACAAACAGAGCCCTCCTGATGGTTTCTCTGAGGGCATCACGTATATGCTTCCGAAAAAGAATGACTTAAACATGCGTCCTTTCGATAGTCCTTAGATTTTCGGCCAATAACCTGTTTAAATGGTCTGTATAAAATTCTAACTTCCATCTTGGCAACTAAGATATATGAGCACCTCAAAAGTGAGAATATGATACCCATAGAACAGCTAGGATGCAAAAAAGGGGCTAGGGGTTGTAAAGAACTTTTAATAATAGATTCGTTCATTGCAGCACAAGTTTCGAAAAAACATCGAAACCTCTCTATGACATGGATCCATTATAAAAAGGTCTTTGACTCGGTTCCACATAGCTGGCTACTTAAAGTACTAGATATATACAAGGTTGAATCTAAAGTAAGCAGGCTCCTTTCAAACTTAATGACAGGATGGAAAACTACGCTGAAAGTTGGAACTATCTGCACAGGGAATCAAATTAAAATATTGAGAGGAATATACCA